TAGAAGTAGTAGTAGTAGTGGTGGTGGTGGTATTGGTTACCAGGCGAACGAGGGGGGGCACAAGATAGTAAAGAAAGGCCCTAAAGGGTCTCTCATTCGACTAGTTGAACCGACTTTCACAAATAGTGCCCCTTCATCCAGACAGAAGAGAGGCTAGAATAATAGAAAATAAATTCAACAACAGCCGATCAGGACGCGACGTTCGAGGGGAGATTGGGTCTCCACTGAGGGAGAAACTAGCTCGTATAGAAATCGAATGAAATGGGCTGGGCCCGGAGTAGTTGTACTTAGTATGAATCGAGAGAGAAATAAGGAGACTCCAATTCAAGTAGTGACAGGACAATCTCCCGATATGCGCGATCCAGATCGCCGTCAATGTTTCAGGAGCAGTTAAATCCTCCGGGGAGAGAGGAGTGGGAGTAGGGAAGGAGGAGGAGAAGTGGATTAAGAGTGTTGAAGGTAGAAAGTAAGTAAGTAGTAGATCCTATAGGTACTGTCTGTCTGCCTTTTGGAGATAAAAGGGGGGAAGTGGTTATATCCAGTGCCAGTCCGGATGACGTCTACCCCAGCCAATTTGAACCAGATGGTAATGCGACGTTATGACGCTTGGGACGGAGTCTTCGGTCCCGACCTCTGGGGTTTTTCTTTTTTTTTCTTCTCTACTTTTCTATTCTTTACTTTCTTTATCTCTTCTTTGACCAAGATGTAATAGTTTTTAAAGTTCTGGTTGCTGAGGAGGGGAAGAGAGGGGGCAAGAAAGTACAAGAAAACCCATACTACGCACCGTACAATGAATGCCACACCTATCTATAACTAGAGCTATACACATGTCGCAATGGGTCTGGGCGACATTCACAATGGTCCGTCCCCTTTTCTACGGGGGTTATAAATAATCTCATAGATTTAGTCTGCAGACATTCACCAATCTCAGAAGTGAATGTGCATTCATTCAATGAACATAGTCAACGCGAAGGACGATCGTCCCAGGTCAGAACAGATCCAGTACAATCAGTGCCTATAGGGAAAGAAAAGACCCATATTCGGGCACATCGTCATTCCCATGACTCTCACATCAGCCAATGATCATGAGAGGAGACCAGACCAGAGAGAGAGAGTCCTTGCTGCTGACGAGATGCTGATACAGTTTACTGATGCTGCTGCCTGCCCTCACTGCCCGAAGCATGATTTAAATCTTAGTTCAAATGGTTCTTGTCTCCTGCATGGAACGTGGCTGGTGCCATGCATAAGCACCACTCTTACGTAAATTAAAAGTGTGGCTAGAGAGTTGGTCCCCACACTCTCTTTTTGCCATTTTGGGCAGTGTGGCTCGGGGTCGGCGGGGGGGGGAATGTCCGTCCAGCCAATCTAGTTCAGTCGACTGACACTATCTGCGCAATCCGTTCTTCATAAGGCACCTTCGATGGAAACTCCCCCCTTTTTCCTTTCCCTTCTGGAGTCTCCTCCTGGCTCCGTCCTGGTGCCGAACCGGTGGCAATTTTAATCAAACCATAGGCAGGCAATGCACGCAGGAGAAAAGGAGACTCCCGGGCGGATCTTCGGGGGAACCCCGACTGTTCCTACTTTACTTACTCGCAAGTACAGTACTCCAACGAATAACTACTACGGTAATCTCTGGTCTTTCCCATTCGGGTATCGGCGAGGCAGCAATCCCAGGATTCCCATCGATCCTCGACGTCATGCACGGTTCATCCACTCCATGTCGATCCGGATGGTCGACTGGCTCTACGAAAAAGAACCACTGACACAGTTCGCGAGGAAGAACCACCGATCTTGAGGTCAGTCTTCTTGCTGTTCCTCTTATCGATCGTGGAAAGATCGAGTCAAGAGCCACAAGCCACATTCCAAAGGTCTGATGGGCTCGCTTTCTGCCCCGCTCCACATGACATCTTTTTTTTCGTTCGGTCTGCAATGCACGCATCCTTGACGTAGTCCTTTCACATACTACATCCTCAGGAATGCGGACCAAGTGTGCGAGATCATCCGTTACTCTTGTCTTGCATATACTCTGTAACTAAGCACAGTAAGAGGAGCAACGTATTCACATGCTCACTCGAAAATGAGGCGATTTGCCCATTGTAGACCGAGTATAGGGTACCGTCTTGGTCAGGAGGGGAGGAGGACGAGGGGCCAGCCCCAGCTGTGTGATATCATATCTTCCCCTGCAGCGATCATCATGCATCCCTTGACTCTTGGATGTCAATAGAATTGCCGGGGAACCAGCGGGCTGATTGAAATTCCATACTGAAACCCAGTGGAAGATGCTTCTCCTTGCCTTTCTAGAAGCCTGGGAAGACGGGCAGGGGGGAACGAGGGGTTGCACTGGGTCGACGCAACCTGCCAAGTCGAGCGACCAGCCAGAGCGTTCCTTTTCGTGCACAATTTTAGGTTTACTGTGGCAGCCTTATACAGTAGTTACTCTGGCGGCGGAGATAGGATGAAGGTACTAGGAAAGCCAACCTGGTGCACTCGAATGAAGTGTGGTTTACCCGGGCGTCAATGTCTCCTGCTCTGTTTGATATACCAAGAATCGCTCTTACCTGGGTCTGATTATTATAGAGGGTCGATGCTCTGCTCTCAGACGCTGAACCCTGATCCAATGCTTGTTCTAAGCCGATGCCCGCAACTGTGCGGAGAATAATCCCGCTCGCCTCCCACTGCAGTCATGCTCCGGCTCCTGCCATTGCCACTCTCAATCGCTTTCTGTATCACATTATGTGAGTGGGCGGAGCGGACAGGTCTTGACACTTAAAGACTTGGGATTGCGCATTGTTTCACCTTTCCTCTGGTCAACTTTTGGCCAATGGCAAATCGACTGCTTGGATAAGCGTCTCAAGACGCGACGAGGTCATGAGCTTTATCCTCTTTCTCAGAAGTACACTTGAATGGCCATCGAGAGGTATCCGGTTCTACTATATAGCTTCTGTGGAAAGCTTTGAAAATGCTCTACGTGGCTCGCGATAGGTTGCTGTCGGTAGGAATAGAGGAATTTTGCGACCGATCGAGTAACATGTTATGCTGTGGGATATATATACCATCGAATCAGAATGGATTCAGTGACTGGAAGCTTGTACCAACAGGAACAACTCGATATTAGGTCCTGGTTGGCAATGCAACAGTCGCTATAGTTCCCGCCAAGTCCGCCTTGCCGGACTCAGGCGAGCTCTCACATGGTATGCACTGCAACTCTTCACCTTCAATTGAATCAGAAGGTAGGCAGGACGTGAAGCAACATGCGCTCTCTCAATTGACTGCCTTTGACATAGAATGCCTGCATAAAGGATACTGTTTGAATGGTTCAAGTTGTCTCCATTCCCCCCGGCTCGAGGTCTTTCCTGCTTTGATAAGCTGACTATGTGATTGGTCGGTGCCCCTCCAGCGCTAAGTGGAAGATGCGGAGGTGAGCGCATTGATCTGGCCCTGGGTCGGAAGTCCGCGACATAGACACCTCCATATGGCACTAGCTGCAATGGCATTGGAGGGATTTCTAAGAAGGTCAATTGAAGTATAACACGGAGTATCTCGGTGCACAAGCTATTACCATCTACAGCATAGTTGAGTAGATCGCATGGGCTGCCGAATCTCTAGCGCTTGCAGCGGGGATCCATGACTATGAGAGCACCATGCACCTCGCTTGCTCAATGGCTAAGGATTTCGTGTCTTCACTGTAAGTCTCATACGTATGGTAGATCGGATCGATCGCTTGCTTATGCCGAGGTATCTCCTTCAGGCAAAGACCAAGACGGATAGGAAAAAGGTGCATTGGTGGATGTGCCAAATCTGCTAGCTGAACGGCATCTGGGTAACGCAATAATTTTACACAACAAAAGAACCGGGAATGGAAAGACTGCGCGGGAAATGTTCAACGAAACCGTTTCTATGATGCAGGAGCGGAGGATGTGGGAATCTCGATACCGTATGCCTCCTTGATTCTGTCCCGCCGTCTCTCGGCATATCCAGGGCCTTTGATACCTGTAGTTATGGATTAGCTCTGCCTGCTCTCCGCTGGGTCCGATGCTGTTCGTCAATTGAACTTACCGCGCCCTTCACCCAGCTGAGCCAAGGTCTCCTCCCCGGAGGTTCGGTATGCCGTTCTGATCTTCTCCCGACGCTCGAACTCGTCGACATTGGGGTCCCGCCTCTGGCCGAAGAACGATCCACCGGTGTATTCGAAAGCGCCGAGGGTGACGGCGAGGCCGACACCGTAGCCCAGGACGGCGGGGAAGGTGCGGACTAGATGACTCGTTAGCTTACCCCATTGAGGGTCAATGGAGACATGTGGACATCAGGAGCATACACTTAAGTCCCAGAACAGCACCGGAGAAGAAACCTCCCAGGGCAACGTTGTAGTGGTCTTCCTTTTGACGAAGGTTGGCGGAAGCGGTCTTCACGAACTCATAGGTGCCTCCCATGGCGGCTGGACATTCATCGTCAGCAAACGGCAATTGTCTCGAAGTATACGTCGATAATCGATTGGGAGGATATGTTCGTACCGAAAACACCGATTGTGCCGCCAGTCCTCGTGAACACACCCCAGGGTCCGACGTTCTTTCTAGTCAAGGTATTCTGAACAGCAGAAGCGAAGAGACCCACTCCACCAGTGAGCATGGTGGTACTCAAGGATGCCCTGATCGCATCCTTGGGGTGGTAATCGTGGTCGTCGGAGTGAGGGGCCATGGTGGCGGTGGGATATGAGGTGGTGTGTGATGGGCTGTGCCTGGCTCGCAAGTGTCGTCCGTCCGGACGGGCGTGGATGAATTTGGAGACGTCAGAGTTTCTGCCATGCGACACCGCCTTCCGCCGGGCTTCCTTGAGGAGCTTCTTATTGAGGACATTTATAAATCATTTCCTCACCGATTATCGGTCGCTCTCTCGTTCGGCGCGGCTGACACTTCCAAATACCCCTTTATTGCTTAACATAACATATATCTCTCAGTATTCCGGGTCTCTTGTTGTGCCTTGGGGGGACAAACGAAACACCCATCGAGCTTGCCGCCAGGCCGTGTGCGGGCCCGCTCATCTTTCCCCGCCGTTGCTACTACTATCTGCTTCGTACCTCGCACCCTCTTGGAACGAACCCATACTTCTAGCCGTTCCAGTGGCCCATGCCTCTCCAGAGTTCCTAATATCTGTCTTCTGTAACGCATTGTATGGGAGATCTTCTCCTAGAGCTTTGTCATTGCCTGATATAACTCCTCGGGCTGCTGTAAGCTCATCGAGAGCGTACTCATGTCATCCACGCAGAGGCCGGGTACGTACTCAGTTCACCACTCGAAAAAGCCAAGGCTCCGAGGCATATAGGTGGCTAATACTCCGTTGTTCAGGCAGGACTGCTCCCAGTTTCGTACGAGCTCTTTGCGATTACGATCCTGTCCAACCCCCAGCTTCAGGCCGTAACCTCCTCTCACAAGTCCCGCCCGTCTTCCCCGAATATTACATCGGACCGCCAGAGTACATATCGCCTTCAGCATGCGCTCATGACTATGTGACGAAACCGAAGCAGACCCTTGTGCCAGAGCCGGAGAGGAGGAGCAGCGCCAATCCTCCGAAAGTATCAGCTGTTTGCCGCAAATGCCGTTACCATCTGCAACTCGTTGTGCGCGCCGTGCCTAGACTTGGTCAACATAGTCAGAACTCACCAAATCACTTGCATCATCTAGTCTACAAAACGGAAGAGCGGGATACCACACCAAAGGGCCAGGATGTTGAGACGTATGAGTTCGAATGCTCTTACCTCACGTGTTCTACCGTGGTGTCAGTCCGGCTTACGTCCCCGGTACTGTCACATGAATGGGTGCAGCTTCTGACGGACCCTCAAGTTATCCAGCAGCGAGCAGAAGAGGTCTTTGCAGTGGAGCGCGAGCGTCTGGAGGGGTTGGCCATGCCACAGCCGATCAGCGTTCTCGATACTCTCGGCGCGTACCTCCATAACTCGCTTAGTGCGGCGGACAAGAGCAAGTCGATTGCGGCCAGCAACAAGAGGTTTATAACTTGCTTCGGGCTTGACGGAGTGCCTTGCAAAGATCTGCTAGAATTCCTAGGGTTTTCAATTAAGGTTCGTATATTGCATCTGGCCTCACTTTTTCGCCATGTCTGATTGTCGTATAGAATGAAGGATTCTGGGAACCCCCACGGACCAGTCCATGGACAGAGCATCCTTACCGGGACCAACTCAAGATCTTCCTGGACGATGTATTACAAGAGATTGCCATACTAAAAGAGCAACGACCTGTGCTGGAAAAGAAGGGTCATCAAGCGGAATACCAAGGCGATCCAGCACCATGTGACTTGCTTCGTGCCTTGGATGCGGCTGACTGTAAGTGATAGATGCGTCTCTGAGGTGGTTTTCCGACTGACCAGCATGCCAGACCCGAACGCCGCACGGTCGAACGAATTCCAACTGGCTCCTGCACCGTGCGTTAGTGTCTAAACTTTCTCGCTAGCGCCTGCTGACGAAATCATAGATACTATGATGACTTGGGCACAGTCGACGATATGTCGTCCGTTGCGATCGTCGAAGCTTTCAACCGACAAGTCGCAATCGACCCAGCGCGGTCGCCTTTGTATCTGAAATGTCTCAAAGAAATCGGGCAGCTCAGGAACGGTGATGATGCTGCTGTCATTGAACAAGCGGTCACGAGAGCATATGCCGAAGGCAGATTCACCGAGGAGGACGTTGTCGATGCTTATAAATACTTCGGTCTTGCCCATGTGAACCCTCGGCTCACCGAAGATAGTATCATCGGAACATTCAATGCCTACCTTAACTCCACCACCACAGCCCAGGAAGCAGAGTCTCGCAGACAGATGCGTATAATAGGGGAAAGCAGACATAGTGAACGCATCAAATCAGTGGCTGACGACAGTAAGATATCACTAGCGTGGTTTAGGCGCTCTTTTACCGCAGCTGACTTCTATGGTAGGCGTGACGAATGTCGAACAGGCTCAGGACTACTTAGGTGTCACCAGCGAAACTGCCGACGACTTCATAATTTCCTTGTTCACTGCCAAGGTTCGTATCCATCGGTACTCACTTGAGATTCCCACAGGCTAATGCTATGTGATGTAGGTAGAGGATGCTCCGTCCAACAGAGATCTTGCGCGGCGAGCTCTGGAGCTCATTGCCCAGGCGCGGAATTCCGATGCCTTGAAACACTTTCTCAAGACTGGGGAGATGACGGCGGGTGAGATGGACATTGGTGATGCATATCGTCTCTTGCGCATAGATAATCGCACCGTGGACGACGATTTGATCGAAGCAGCCTATACGTGCTGTGTCGTGGAGGACCCGAGCAAGATCGAAACATACAACCAGGCCTTGCAGATCATTGGAAAGCATAAGAACAGCAGCTTTCTTTCCAACAAAGCCACGGGAATGGGGACTGGTTCTGATCGCAACCTATCAGAATGGCCGGTTGGATTGCAGAACATCGGCAATACCTGCTATCTGAATAGCCTGTTGCAGTTCTATTTCTCTGTCCAGGGGTATCGCGACATGATCCTGCACTTTGAGGAATACAGTATGGAATTGAGCGATGAGAACCTGAGTCGGAAAAAAGTAGGATCCCGCAAAGTCACACGGAAGGAGGTCGAGCGCTCTCAACAATGTAAGTGTTCTCCATGATTTGCACTTTGGGAACAGAAACTTACCCCTCATGACACAGTCGTGAAAGAGTTGCGGACTTTGTTTTCCGAAATGATCACATCTCCGTTTCCCTATGTCACACCAAGTCAGGAGCTCGCGCGGCTGACTTTGATTGGTACTTCGAATGAAGAAGCCATTCGGCGTCGTTCAACCATCTCGACTTACAGGCCCACAGCCGCCCTGGGAGAGCTCGAGGGAATGCCCATCCTGGGCCCCCTTGGGCCTCCACAGCCCACCCCGGAAGAGAAGTCCCATAACACAGTGATCAGTGATATGGAAGCAGCTCAACAAAGAACGACTACTGACAAGGCCCAACAACCTCATAATGACGACAAGGAAAACGAACCTCCACTTGACTCCACAATGGAGGATGCGCAGAAAGTGACCCCGGAGCCTTCCAGCAATCCTGCTTCTGCAGAACGGCCCGTGGTAGCTAGTCAACCGCCACCAGTACCCCCACGGCCCGCCCCTGTTATCGACCCCCAGAGACTACTTCAAGAGGAATTAGAAATAGGCGCCCAGCAGGATGTAACGGAAGTCATCAATAATGTGCTTTTCCAGAGCCAATGTGCGATCCGGCCCATTGCCTATTCTGCTGATGGTGAACAGATCGATCAGGTGAAAGAGTAAGTTGAGATAGTGCATATTAAAGTTCGCCTCACTAACAGCTCTTCACTATAGCCTATTCTATGGAAAAACCACATATTATCTCAGGTCAGAGCAGGGCGTCCGGCCAATGGAAGAATGGTGGTGCGACATTAAGGTCGATGTGGCATCGGGTCCACGCAACATCTACGCGGCGCTTGACGGAGCATTCGATGTTCAGAAAGTCAATGTGGACAACACCATCGCCGAACGATTTGGTACCATCAGCAAGCTCCCACCAGTGCTCCAGATCCAGGTTCAACGTGTCCAGTTCGACCACACTACAAAACGATCATTCAAGTCAACCCATCATCTTGGATTGGAGGAAACCATATATTTCGATCGCTACATGGATACCAAGTCGCCTGAGCTTATGGGTAAACGGCAGCAGAGTTGGGAGTGGAAAGCCACCTTGAAGAGCCTCGAAGCTCGGCAGTCAGAATTGCTACACGGTACAGTACGTTTATCAGCACTTCTCCCTTCAGCCATAACTACATACTGAACACTTGCATAGGAAGATGACAAGGTCGACACTGCGGCGTTGTTCAATGAGGCCAGCAGAATTCTTGCGGATATCGAGAGTATCGCAGAAGACACAGATTTTGCTGATGATGGGGAGCTGCCTGTAGAGGCCGGTCAAGATGCAGATTCTGCAAAAGTTCCAGATTCCAGCGAGACCACCATAGATGTTGATACCGAGAAGCTCCGCGCAAAGTTAGATCGGCTCTCTCAACTAGCGCGCGCCGAGCTGACATGTGAGTGCCTCCTCAGTTCGCTTGTTGCTATGGTATCTCTGACTTTCCACCCAGCTGTGCAAGACGAAATCAGAAAGACTCAGGCCATGATAGCCGAACAATTCATTGAACACAAAGATGAGGCATATCGGCTGTATGCTGTGTTCATTCACCAGGGCTCTGTTGAGTTTGGTCACTACTATATCTACATCTTCGACTTCGATCGCAATGTGTGGCGGAAATACAACGACCAGGATGTGACTGAAGTGCACAATGTGGATGAAATCTTCCGCGAGCAGGGACAGCTCAATCCCCCCACGCCATACTTCCTCGTCTATGTTAACGATCGGATGAAGCATGATTTGGTCAACCCCGTGCGCCGAGAACTGCTGGAAATGGCACCTGAGAATGGGTTTCCTGCCATGGAAGAAGTCACACACACCGCGCCATCAGCCGAGGATGTGGATATGAACCCGCCGTCATACGATACGATTTGGGCCGACCAAAGCATATCAGGTACGGGCGCCGACTACCCCATGAAGGAGGAGAGGGACCCCATCGACGCGGATAACAGCACTCATCCTGACTTACGTGACGTGGCGTGGTAGACTCCGGGGACCCAGCACTAGCGCGACAGCCAACGCCTAACCCCCTAAAGCGCAAGGGCCTGGATGATATGGTGGGCTATGGCGCATTCGAGTAACGAGCCCACCTTGTTGATATGAACTGGGCTGTACAGTACCTAGTGAAAAGAGGAGACTGTCTTGCCAGGCCTAGAAAGATGGTTTTCACCGGTGGACGAGGGTTTCCAACTGCTGCAATGTCTACAATAGCAGTGGTTCTGCACGGCACTCCTGATTTGACATTGCTATCCTTGATACACCTTGCGTGTTTGTTTTGTGCTCAGTACGATATCCTCTGCACATGCATCTGGCGGATTCTTATGTACTGTATGATTTTATGTAAATAGTTAGTGCGGTGCAGTTCAGCGCAGCGTGACGATATGACTGAAGACTCAAAGACTTCCTTCCTGCTTAGTCAGGTTGCCGATCCGATGCGGGCCGCGGATCGGAATCGGATCCGATTCCGACCTGGGGATCAGCGATCGTCGCAGGACTTTTTAATCAATTGATCCTGTAGAAGAGAGACTTAGAGTAGACAGAGAGTTTTAGGCTGAGGGACTCCAAAAAGAACTGCTGGCACCAGAATTCTATTGATTGACTGGAAGGTAGGCGGGCATCTGAGAGAGAGGGCCAGCCAGACTTCGCCCAACTGACAGTGCGGAATGAGTGCGGGGGGGAAGCCAATCAATCCGGGGAAACGGCGGCAGCGGCTGTCTTTCCGCATCTCCCCGCCTGCAACCGTTCGCTGCCCTTCTCACCCAGTATATTAAGCCGAGCTTCTCCTCTTCTTTACCTCCCTTACTCTTCGCATGTGCTGCTTCCTTCCAAAGCTTCGCTTGGCTCACTACCTCTTCTAGCGCCTCAACAAGTGACGTGAGTTGGGATATCTGATCAACTCCTGCAAGCGCGCTTCCCCGCACGGCAATCCCCGCTTTCTGTACTCCTCACACGGCCATTATGCCTTCCCAGGTGGCGACGGGCCTGCGCTTCGCGCGACGACTTGCTACTGATCCCAGCAAGGTAGGCTCCCAACTTCAATCGCCTTACTACCTCCCACGTACTGACTGGATTGGTTGTCATCTAGCACCAACGATTCCTTGCTCGTGCATTCTCGAGTAGTGTTCGCAGACCGGAGATCAATAAGGTCGTATCTTCAGCCGATCTCGCTATTAAAGATCTAAAGTCCAACTCGACGGTGCTGGCTGGTGGGTTTGGTCTCTGTGGTGTACCGGACACTCTGATCAACGCGGTACGCGCCAATTCGGCCATCAACGGCCTGACCGTCGTTAGCAATAATGCCGGCGTGGACGGCTCGGGGCTGGGTCTCCTCCTTCAATCCAAGCAGATCAAGAAGATGATTGCCAGTTACGTGGGGGAAAACAAGACCTTCGAGCGCATGTACCTGACGGGCGAGATTGAGCTGGAATTGACACCGCAAGGTACCCTGGCCGAGCGGTGCCGCGCCGGTGGAGCAGGTATTCCAGCGTTCTATACCCCCGCGGCCTGCGGCACGGTCGTCCAGACGGGCGAGCTCCCCCTGAAGCACAACGCCGACGGGACCGTGGCTCTCTACAGCCACCCGCGGGACGTCAAGGTCTTCGACAAGAAGAGCTACGTGATGGAGGAGGCGATCAAGGGCGACTACGCCTTCGTCAAGGCGTGGAAGGCCGATAAGCTGGGCAACTGTCAGTTCCGCTACGCCGCCGCGAACTTCAACGGCGCCATGGGTCGCAACGCCAAGACGACGATCGTGGAAGCGGAGCACATCGTCGAGGTCGGCGAGCTCGAGCCGGCTGCCATCCATCTCCCCGGGATCTATGTCAAGCGCGTGGTCCAGAGTACCACGCCCAAGAACATCGAGAAGTTCACTTTCGCCAAGGAGGACGGCGCCGAGGAGGCGGCCGCGCTGGGTAAGGGTGAGACGGCCGCGAAGCGCGAGCGCATCGTCCGCCGTGCGGCCAAGGAGTTCAAGAACGGCATGTATGCGAACCTGGGGATAGGCATGCCGATGCTGGCGCCGAACTTCGTGGATCCCTCGGTCGAGGTCATGCTGCAGTCCGAGAACGGCATTCTGGGTCTGGGCCCTTACCCTAAGAAGGGACACGAGGACCCGGACTTGATCAATGCTGGTAAGGAAACTGTGACGCTGTTACCTGGTGCGGCCTGCTTTGGTAGCGACGAGTCTTTCGGCATGATCCGGTCGGGTCGGATCGACTTGACGATCCTGGGCGCGATGCAAGTCAGCGCGCGCGGTGACTTGGCCAACTGTGAGTGATTTCATAGTTCCGTTGAGTTGAGAATGCGGCTAACTATTTGGCTTTCAGGGATGCTTCCTGGTAAGATCAAGGGCTTCGGCGGGGCAATGGATCTGGTTTCCAACCCTTCCGAGACCAAGGTGGTCGTGACTATGGAGCACACCGACAAGAAGGGCAACCCTAAGATCGTCAAGCAGTGCGAATTCCCCTTGACTGGTAAGACTTGTGTCAGTCGGATCATCACGGAGCTGTGCGTGTTTGACGTCGACTTCACCGATGGGTTGACGCTGGTTGAGCTGGCGGATGGAGTCACCGTGGAGGAGGTGCGCAGTAAGACGGAGGCGCCTTTCAAGGTCGCCGACGATGTGAAGCCTATGCTTTGATTCCGACTCTTTGGGTATCTTGTGTTTCTTTTGCAGCCGGAATGGGCAGGCCGGATATAATACTTATGGTTGTTGTATAGTGGTTATGATTTAACCTGACAGGTTCGGGTCGGAGGATATGGATTGTACATAGATGATATGGATGGAAGTCGTGTAGTTCAAACTCGATAAAAAAGAACAAAATCACTTTGGATTGCCGCGCATCATTAAGGTATATATACAAGTTTTTGCCATAAAAGTACATGTCTTTGGTGTGCCTTGGAGCTCCTCCGATTGACTCCTGGATCCATCCAGCCAAAATCGAACTCAATCCCACCACATTCTATAAGGACCAATATCAATTTTCCCATGTTATACAAGCCTGCAACTTAGCAAGAATAGAGTCTCCTCCAACCCACCACCACCACCTGCTGGTCCTCACAATCATACACAAACCGCACACAAACCACCTCAACGCCATCCCCACCCACTTACTTACTTACTTACTTCAACCGCAACATCCCCGCAACCCTCTTCCGCAACCTCCCAAACCAATCTCGATCCGGCGCCTCATCAAACTCCCGGATCACATTCTCATAATGCTGGGGGTTACTAGCCGGGTGACGCAGACTGGGCGGGAGGGGGTACCGGCGCGCGTATCGGTCCTCGAGAAGAGAGGTGAGTGCATTGAGCGAGGCCTGCGAAAGTCCCGCTGCTGCTGCTGCTGCTGCTGCTGGTTGTTGTTGTTGTTGCGACGAGGCGGCTTTCTTGCCGTTTTGTGGTTGCTGCGGGTGCAGGCGCGATTGCAGGTAGGTTTGCACGGAGACCGAGGCCGGGCGGACTTTGTCGGTTGGCCAGTGTTTTAGGAGGTGGGTCAGGCGGGTTGTTGTTGATGGGGTCTTTGAGGTGTCAGTTATTGAAGGTTGAGTTGGGTTGGGTTTAGGGAGGCTTGGGATTGGGGTTAAGTTGGATTGCGGGTGGTAGTGGTGGTGGTGGTTGTGGTGGTGGTGAAGGGTTGACGTACTGGTTTGGCCATTGTTTCTGGGACCTGAGGTTAGGGGGTTGGAAGGGATTGGTTTTGGTTTTTCTGATGGGAGTTTAAAAGGTTGTTTGAGTTTGGTGTTGTGTTGAGATGATGATGGGTTATAATGCCGTGTCGTTATGAAGCGGAATTCTGGATGAGGTTCTGTTCTGGTGCTGGATTGCGATATGCACTTTTGTTTCCTGGGGCGGGCTGCAGCTGCATGTGCTTTTGTGGTTAGTCAGATATTAGTAAGCTACGTCCTATTGTAACTATGGGCGGGGGTTGGGGGCCGTGGAATGGCGGAGTTGGATGGTTCTTATGTGGGTTTCGTTCATTCTTCTGATTATTTTTATGGGCTGATATTGGCGTTGTATGTAGTTCTTGCGCTTTTGGGGGTATTTATATGCTCGTTTTTGAGGATAGCTGCTAGGATAATCTATGCCGAATATGGAAGGGTTATTGGATGGTCGAGGGTTGTACTCGAGTATAACGATAGGATGGATGAATAGGAATAATAGGGTCTTTTTGTGAAAGAAGTAAGGCCCGCATCAATAGACCATTAGACAAATGGAAGTGGGTTTGGTGCCATAATCTGTTGTAACATACATCTGATCTGCATATGCCCATAGATGCATACTCTGGGGTATACCTTCAGCGACAGTGCTGCAGAACATGTTGACCATCCGTTCACATTCACTTAGCCTGGACAGTAACTATCATAATCAATATATACAGCCATAAACTGCTTCATCCAGAGTCACTTGCATAGTCACGGTGTTGATAGATACGACATCTGTGTAAGTTACTCGGCTGACTGACATGAGTCGGAGCTAATTCATTGGCTTTCTGCCTAAGGCCCCCACAGCCTTGCGCCACACACCCCTCGGTGCCTGAGTGCCTCACGCTCTTCTCGTCATCCCCGATCATCTCCTTCCATTCCACCTCCTCACCGTCCAACTTCCCTTTCCCTTCCCCCTTTTGGGCTCCCTTCTTCGCTTCATCCTGTCTTGTTTGTCGATCTCTTTCTCTTGCCTGGGGTGCTTGTCTTAACTGTGCCCGATTCCTTCTTTTCCCCTCCGATCCGGTTGCTCCGCTCGCCATGAGCTCGCAGCGTTATCAACGGGTATGAAATACTACACTTCGTTCCTGAGATGCACCTGTCAGTAGTGGCAGTGGTCTTGTCCTCTCTGTTGGGTAGTTTTGCTCTTGGCACGAGATTAGATGAACTAACGCCATGAGTTACAAATGCAGGTCAACGCCCATGATGAAGACGACCACCTTCAATCTCAATCGTCCATTCCTCTCCGAACTAGTCCCACTCCCAACTCCCCTCCTCCTTCCTTTCGTTCTCGTTCCTCTTCTTTCTCTTCTCGACGCCTTCTGCCGAACGATGACCCCCGCCGACACGACGCCGATCAGACCTTAGCCGATGCGTTTGGGGATGGCAGCGATTCAGAGCCCGACGACGAACCTGACGACCGTCAGCGGCTAATGCGGGCTCAGCCGGAACCATGGACGTCGGCGGACAACCGCAGCAGTGCGGCAGCAGCGAACGGCGCAGCGGCATCTTCCTCTGGAGGAGCGGGCGGCGGCGGATTTGAGGCGTCCTCGGGAGAGACTCGCACCAGCGGAGGCATCCAGCGACGACCTACTATCTTGCCATCCTTCAGCGCCCCCAGCTCTGGAGCCAGTCGGGTGGTCACTTCGGCGAACGATGGTGTGTTTGCCAACCTGGCAGCGAAGCCCGAGCGTGGGGAGAAGAACGAAGATTTACCACCGGTATGTGATTTGTAATCCTCCTGCTGGGCTGATATGAGGATCAAATGCTGATCATTCATGATTAGTCTTACGAAGAAGCGGCGGCGGACGCCACCCCTCCTTACTGGGAGACGACAATTCTGGCGCCTGGCATTTCTTCGGACGAAGTTTTCGTGGACGGGCTGCCGGTTGGCTCGATCTTCTCGTTCGTCTGGAATGCCATGATCTCCATGTCGTTCCAACTGGTCGGCTTCCTCCTAACGTATCTCCTCCACACCACACACGCGGCCAAGAATGGTAGCCGGGCGGGTCTCGGTCTGACGCTGGTGCAATATGGTTTTTACATGAAAGGCGGCAATGAGTCGAAAGGGTCGGACGAGGGCGGGGCGGAATATGTCACGCCTCCAGATCCCAACAGCCACAGCTTCGACCCCAACAACGTCGACGGCAGCACGGGTGGTGAAGGCGGCAGTGGGGGTATGTCTGGCATTACAACAAGCGAATGGATCTCCTATGTGTTGATGATTGTTGGGTGGTTTATCCTGATTCGGGCCATCAGCGACTTCTTGCGCGCGCGGCGTCACGAGCAGCTTGTGTTGCAAAGCCCTGAGCGTGGGCTCAATGTGCCGATCATTGCGACAGGCGAGCGATCGGAGACGGTCGTCTAAGACTGACTTGAATTCTATTATGGTCTAGGATCATGGGCATTATACACTCGGAAGGAGCATTGGGCGTTTATACAGTGACTTGTCTTTCTTTAACTTTTTCATTTCCTTTTGTCCCCCTCTCTTTCTCTTTTCTTTTCTTTTCTTTCTGTTATTCCCTCGGCATTCTTATGGTGCGACCAATTTCGTCGTACCTAGAATGGCTGGATGGACAAATGGGGAATGATTAATGGGATCCGGAACTGGAGGACTGTAGCTTAGGGATTGTTTTCTTTTCCTTTTTTTTTTCTTTTTCTTGTGGAGATATATCGTTAGCGAGATACCAATCACCCATCTACCATCATCTTCACGGGATGGTTATTGTCATAATGTCGTTTATTGTATTGTTGCCTGTTGAGAAAGTGGCGAGAAGAGAGAGAGAGAGACAAGAGAGGCGTAGAAATGGATTGGGGCTGCCAGGCAACCAACCACCGGGTCCAAGCTCGCTCGCTCTCTCTCTCTCTCACTCTTCAAGATTGTCTCTGCTTCAACTTCCCTTCTTTCACTTCTGTTTGGTGTAACCCCAACATTCTCTCTCCCCCTCTCCGACTGATCTTCATCCTTTCAACTCAGGAATCTCTCTTTATCCTGAGTCCTCATCCCGTCCCGTATGGCTGCCCGATGACGATCGACACTTCTCTTGGCGCTTTCTCCGGCTTCTCCGCGCCTCGTGTTTATTTGTCTGCCAGCCTCTCTCTTTCTTTCTCGTTCTCGTCGTTCGCCTTTTTCGGGCCCTCCACTTGAGCCTTTAGGTCTCCCCCTTCTTTGACTTCCGAGCGCATTGCTGGCATAGTCTATCCAGACCAGGACTTCCCCTCCACGTCCCATGCCGAAGGTTGACGCTGCGGGGGAGGGGGACGCTGTTTCAGGGCTGCCTCGAGGCCCCGTTGAGGCCCGCTCGTTATCCTCCATCACAGCCATCGCCTCCAATCCTCCGGCTTACCCCCGCAACCCCGCGCAGAAAAAGTTGGACCCTTTAGTCCTGTACATCGTGCGCGTACCCGGCAGTAGAGGTGTGTACTGCATGTCGCCGGAAAATACCCCGCACGATTAGTGGATTGCCGTGGAGGCTAGTCGTGCTACCAGCCACCCCTCCTTAATTTTGCTTCTCTTTGACCGTGACAACTGATTGCTGACTGCTTTGTGTGTGTTGCGACAATCCCAGATGTCTTTCTCACTCCCTTGAAACCCCCGACCAAATCGAGCGTATCCGCGGAGGCTATCAATGCCTCCCTCTATTATTTGCACGTCGCAACACCCGAAGACGAGGCCCTTCTTCAGGAATATGAGCAAGAGCGCGAAGAGGAGGCCAAACTGCGCAAAGAAGTCCTTGGGGGCGAAGCGCAACCGCCTCTTCTTGCAGACCCGCATCTGGCGCGGTTGAATAACGTCAGGCGCAAGCCTGTACCAGGCGCTCCGAATGCGCCTGCTGCGACCAACGCAGAAGCCAATGTCGCATCTCCTCCGCTTCCAGCTCGGCCGCTCCCGACGTCGTGGAATTCGCAGGAAGCCCAATCTCCAACCCCGAATCCGGATACTCTGCAACGCCCCTATCTGCCTTTCCGTCCTAGCTTCCCAGGAACGTTACCGGGTGATTCCTCCCCGATTACATCTCCGCACATTCTGTCATTGGACGATCGCGACACCGGTCTGCAGCTCGTTACGGGAGATAGTATGAATGTGGAGAATGCGCGCCCACATAGGCACCTTCCTGCAGTCCCGCAGGAAGAACCTGCAACTAGTGACGCTGGTCAAGCCAAGAGATCCAACCGGTGGAGCGCGGCATTGTCGGGCTACATATCCCGCGGGCAGGAAAGCTGGAAGGGCAAATACGAGGCTCTATCATCCAGTCGCAATAGCTTAGACACTAGGCGGCCTCAAATTCGACCTCAAATTCGACCACACTCAGCCCATGGGAGTCCGTCGCGCTCTTATCAGGGATCGCCTGCACGGAGCCCAGGCCAGTCTCCGAACCGAAGACCGCAGGAGCGCCAGACCCGCGAGGCCCCCGGATTTCACATCACTCTCATCCGGCGCGATCCAACACATGGCAGTCAATGGAATGTCGCAACAATTTCGACCCCAGGCTTGGACGGTAGCGCATTCGACATTGAGATTTCCACTCCAGGCTACAATCGATTCCTCGCGCAGGATGAGCCTTTCTCCCTCGCTAGTCTGGGCTTGAACCTCCCCAAAACAGATGGGCGACCACCGTCACTGGCATCGTTCAAGCTTCCTGCTTCTATTCCGCCTGGCTTCCTGGACCCTACCCCGAGCCCGAATCCAACGTCTGCCGCGAACAGCCCATCGCAACCTCGGCGTTTTCGCCGCAAGCTCTGCGTCTCCCGGCCATATATCCAAGACGAGCCCCGAGGGGGCTCCTTGGACTTGGCCCGCTCGACGCTCGATCATGGTGCCAGCGGCAGCCCATCCAAGCCCCTACCTCCTGGTATGTCCAAGCTCAAGAGCGGCTACTACACCTTCACATCTCCCTGGAACGGAATCTGCACTTTCTCCACCAGCGTCAACGGCCGTAGCCTGAAATGCAAGCATATGATCCCCGGGCCTGGGGTGCCTCACCACACCCACAGCAGAAGCAACGACAGCCACCATCACCCTTTCCCCGCCTCTGCATCAGCGGCCCAGCACCCCGAATCGCCCGCCATAACTGTTGCTGAAATCCGCTTCAACACGCCGTTCCAAGCCGGACACCTCCACCAAGCACCGGGCCATTCGCACGTCTCCCCCTTCGCCCTCAGCCAAACGACCCCATTCCGCGACCTGGCCAACCCCCAACAATTCACACCCCCCGGCGAACCCAGCTACCTCACCTCCCCGCAAACCCCGACCTCCGCCACCTCCACCACCTCCAAACGCAACTCCCTCGCGCAATTCCTCAACCCAAACACCTACACCCGCCCTCGTGCCCGCTCCGGCGCCAGCACCTCAAGCGTCGGAACCAGCGGCGGCAGCGGAGACCGTCCGCACCGACAGCACGCCCGACACCCCTCCACCAGCAGCAGCACAGGCAGCGAGCCCGGCGGCGATCTCGATGACCCCCACGAAAAGGAGAATGAATCCTCCCTCCTCCGCCGGCGCGCCAGCGAAGACGAACGGCTGGATTTCTCCCTCGCCCGCGAACGCGCCGGCGGCGGCATGCGCGGCAAATCCGCCAAGCTCGGCAAGTTGATCATCGAGGACGAAGGCATCAAGATGTTGGATCTGGTTGTCGCCGCTTGTATGGCTGTTTGGTGGCGCGGGTATTATTACTGAAGAAAACCTATAAATATGAAGTTAGGGTTTCTTCTAGTGATGCGAGGTATCCTTTTCTTTTTCGTCATCACTAGGAACCGACCATTTACCGTTGTATATTCATTGCATCCATCTAGCTTATCTCTTCTTATATTTCTGCATGTATCTATCTAGTCACCTACATAGGTTGCATTCTGGCTATCTGGTCGGTCGATCGGTCGGTTTGTCTTTGGTCGTGCCTTTCTCCTTCCACTTCCGCTCTTTTTCTCCGGGTGGGTAAGAAGATGAGGGGATGGATGGTTGGTTGATGGTTGAGTGCTCGGCTTGGTTTAGCTTTCTGCATATGTTTTCCGGAGGGCCAATGTGTATAGTACAGTGGGTTATCAATAGTATTATGAATGATGAAGTCTCCATGAATGTGACAAAGTTCCTTTCTACAGTGTAGTATTGTTTAATGCTTTCCCCGGGTATACGCTCTCGAGATATGCCAGTGTCATTAGCTAGGGGTGACCGAGTCGCCTGATTAGAACTCTTATTGACCAGACCACCAAGAACGCGAAAAGACCTCTCAAGAGGAAAGGTCCGCCCTGAAGGATTCAGCCATCAGTGTTTCATAAGATATTTGCATTTGAGAATAGAGCTTGACATGAAACCGGAAGGTTTCATATGTTGTAGGTAATAGACATAGCATAGATCGGGGAGATGATAGTCCCAGGAACGCCCGCGATTCCCAGAACGACAAAGGGGGGAGAAGTCGATGGATTTGGTTGTGAGGGGGTCGAATCGACATATATTACGTGGGGAGCAAGCCGTGCCCCGTACTAGATCTCTGCACTCTTCTTCCCATCTTCGGTTGGCCATTCCTTCGTGTTGCACAGTCATTGATGGGTCATGAAGGATACCGGCAGCTCAGCGCAGGCAGCAAGTGCACACACTTATTGCACATCCATACCACGCTGCAGAGACGATTCCAGATCGTTCTGGTGGCCACCGCCCGCGGCGAGCGCTTCCTGGGGCTTGGGCTCCTCCTGCTTCCATCCGCCCTGTTGGTTTTCGGGGATGGGCACGTTTGTCTGCTGCGCAGCCTGCTGTTGTTGCGCCGCGGCGGCCTGCGCCTGCGACTGCTGTCGGACGGTGGCGCGGAAGCGCACAACCTCGTCGTAGATCATGTGACGCATCTCACCCACGTCGTCGACCACCTCGAAGTGGAAGTCAAAGGTGGTGGGGCACGTGGGCTCGTCCGAAGCATCGTGCCAGATGTGCAGGTACGGGTGCTCCAGCGCCTCCTCAACCGAGATACGCGACGTGGGATCGAAAGCAAGCATGCGGTCCAGCAGGTCGAGGGCATCCGGGTTGGCGTTGGGGAACAAGCGCTGGAAGGGAATCTTGGGCATGAAGGGGAGGTTGCGCACATACTCCTGGGCCCGGGGGGATCCAATACGGCTCAGGGTCTCCTCATTGGGAGTACCGAGGTAGTGCAGAATTTGGTTAAGCTGATCAACATAGTCGCGACCCTTGAAGAACGGACGGCCTCCAAGCAGCTCGGCTAAGATACAGCCGACGGACCAGACATCAACTACGCCATCGTATCAGCACCTCGCGAGGTATGCCAAAAATAGGGGAAACTTACTAGCTTTAGTGTAGCTCTGGAAGCTCAGCATGATCTCCGGGGCGCGATACCAGCGCGTGGCGACGTATTCCGTCATGTATCCTGCATTTTCCTCCGGGTCGATCGAGAAGCCTCGGGCCAGACCAAAATCACAGATTTTCAGCTCGCAATCGGCATTGACCAGCAAATTACCGGGTTTCAGATCACGGTGCAGCACATTGGCCGAGTGAATGTACTTGAGACCGCAGAGAATCTGGTAGATGAAGGATTGGAAGTGGGCATCGGTGAGGGGCTGTCCGGAGCGGATAATGGCGGCCAAATCGCACTCCATCAATTCTATGAGAGTTCAATCGGATGAGCGACGATCCAGGTGGAAACCTAGGGTAGAAATGCTCACCTTCATACAGGTAGGTCTCGTTGAAGTTGTCCGGGCGCGGAATATCCATATCGTACAAGCAAGTGATCTGCAACAAGCAAGCTCAGGTCAGCGACTGCACGGCGACTAAGATGCATAGCATATGCGAACTTACGTTGCGGTGGCCTCTGAAGTGCTGAAGCAGCTTGATTTCTCTCAGAGCGCGCTTGGCCAAGATCTTCTTGCTAAAGACATTGGTGACTTTCTTAATGGCGACACCTTCGCCAGTCTGCACGTTGGTAGCAGCACTGTCGATTATTAGCCCATTGCGTCTTCATATCAACAAACTGCACTACAGCATAACAACATACCAGACAATACCGTATGCGCCCTGGCCTAGCTCCTTGGTAACATTGTAGCGCTCATCGACAATGAAGTCCTGGTTGAAGACCTTGAAGATCTTGCGGCCTTGCAGATCGGACATGGTGAGGTACTAGCGGCAGAGCAAGACGGAGCACAGATGACAGGCACAAACGAGGGGGGGGGGAAGAGGATAACAAGAACAATAGCGAGGGAGGAAGAAAGAAGAAGTGACTCGAGAGAAGCGGGAGGAGGAGATGGTTAGAGGAAGATGGCGCGAGCGAGCGAGAGAGCGAGAGCGAGAGCGAGAGAGAGAGAGAGAGAACAGAGAGAGACAAGGATGCTCAAAGGGGAAAGAGGGGGAGGGCGAGTTGTTCCGACCCGGTGGGGTTCAAATCAAATAGTCTGAGGGGTTTCTTTTCTTTCTAGCTTGCTTTTTCTCTTTCAACTTTCCCCCCAAGGTAAACTTCTATGAAAATGCGATCAACAAGAACAATCCGTCAATGACGAGTCTTGTCCTTTCTCACATCAGAATTGATAAATCCAAACAGAACCAAGGATTGGGCGACTGTCAACCTTCCGGAACGCCCCGCCAAGGCAGGCAAGGCCAGGCCGAGAAGGCCACGATATGCTCCTTTCTCGCTAGTCTCGATCGCTGGATGGACCCAGTCTCGAGTCCTGAAACCCACCGGAGACCCAACCGCTGCAGCAGGCAGATAACCGCCTGGCAACTGTCGGCTTAGTGTCTTCCTGCTGTGAAGGGAGGGGCAGAATGGAGACGAGCTGAATGTGACAGGCCCGCTGATTGGGTCTACGAAGCGCGCACCGTGCTGCACGAGTAAAAGCAGCAGCAGCAGCAGCAGCAGCAGCAATAATGCATGCAGACAGGCTGAGTGCGTGGCTTTCAACCGACATGATCCGAGCCTCGTGCTAGAAGGCCCGTTGTCCCCTGTTAAGCAGGCTTTCTTCGAAGTAGCAACGAAACCTTTTCCACCGGAAGAGGTCCATTCCGGGGCACAAATTAAGCCTTTTGGGCCTAGTCACAGGCTTTCTAGCTACAATCGGAGCATGACTGTATCGGCGAGTCGCCGCATGCTCAGCGATACCGTTCACGCAATGTAAGTAAGATCTTAGTGTAAGACCCTAGTGTACGTAGTCTAGGATCACGCTGAACTTTCTACGCGCTTGAGGTTGAATTCATGGTATGCATATTTTGTCAATTTGCAGTTAAAAAAAAAAAAAAAAGGGAGAAGAAAAAAAGACTCTATGGAGCATTATTGTCAGAAGCCACAGACCAAACCACTTCCAAAACCTCTAGCCTCTCGGGCTCTACCTCTCGCACGTAAATCTGTCGCACCCGCTGGCGCTCTGATACTGCAGTCTTGAGGCGATACGAAATCTTATTCTCGTCCTTTCGCCGAAGTGGTCCTAGACTAAACGTGAACGGATCCGGTCCTGTGTACTTGCTCTCATCCCATGTCTGCTCCATGGGCAACGGATCATCCGAGATGGTAGCATACTGAATCACCGAGAAGCCATTGACCAGATACCAGTCACCTGGTAGCAGCCACCTATGGAGCAATGCTTCCTCGCCAGCAACACCCGCCACCTTGCTGAGAGCGACCATATCCGCCTGGAACCAGGATTTCCAGTGGTGCACCGAAAGCGGTTGTTCGCGACCCGCCTCGTAGAACCCAGACGCATCCCCGCGGAGATCAACCTGGAAGAGGCCCCTTTCCCAAGTGAGCTTTGTGTTAGTGTGCGCATAGATACACTGCGCGAGCATGCGGTCCCCTCCGCTCTTGAAGACGTAGCACTCGTCAAAGAAAGGCTGCAGCTGTTTAACCAAAGGCAGCGACAGGAAGATCCCCGCGCCGCCGTACGCCATCAGACCTCCACTGTACAGCTGGTATAGATCCTCCGTCATGCTCCCGATGTAGTGTGGCTGCGCCGGATCGTAGGTGGCTAGTCGATCTACGAGCTTCGCCATCGAAGGGAAGAAGGTATCGTCATCAATCAGGACCGTCCACTGAGTCTTGTCGTCCCGGAGTTCGTACAGGTACCGCACCAGGTAGAACCACCGATCCAAGCGTTCTTCAACCTCCTTTTCCCGGATGATCAGTCGGATACCTAGTGCCTCCGCCCGGGCCAGGGCCTCCTTCTTGGCTGAGCCGCCGCTGTCCACCACAGCCAGGATCCGCGCATTTGTACCGCCCGCCCAATGCGCGAAGGCATCCAGGGAGTCGAGTAGACGCTCCATCGAGGTCGCGACGCCGAAGACCAGGTGCGAGGCATCGGGCCGGGGCCGCGGCAGGGGGCCCTTGATTGTCACGGCGGGCGTGCATCGCTCCAGTGGGAGATCTTCTCGCTGCGCATCACCGTCCAGGGGTATCCTGCGGAATTTGGGGAGTCCGGCATTGAGGGTATCTGTGTAGCCTGTGAAATTGTCTGACTGATCCACGGCTATCTCTAATCGCCCATATTCAATTGAAGTGGTGGAATATTGCCGCAGGAGATCGAGATCGACGTAGCACGAATTCGTGTCATCACTGGGAGATAATGGTTGGACTGATTCAGTGTGAGACAGGGGTCCGGTCTTGCTGCGACTGGACGAGGAGACGAAGAAGAACAGGCATGCGGCGAGCAACGCGGCCGCGATAAGAAGCGAGGGATGGCGATTGATTCGAGACATCATCATGGATGAGACATGACGGTGATCACTCTGCTTCTGTTGCCTGGGTGTGGAGTAAAACACCTGGGACGGGAGGAGGACGGCTGATGCTTGTTGCCCCCTGAGTGAACTGGAGGATAGTCTGGAGTCGTTGCAGAAAATCGGAACAATTGCCCCAAGGGGGGAGAATGTCTCTGAAGCTTACGTTGGCATTCGGTGGGGGGCTCGGGTGGATCTTTCCAGAGGAATATGATCGATCAAGCGGTGCCACCGACAACTATTATCTCTTTACTTGAAAAGAGAATGAATGATGTCTCTCGCGGGACAATCGAGGTGCTGGCATGCTACGCTACATTACTTGAACTATGTTCTAGTTGAGTAGCCTCACAAGCATTTACTAAGGAGACTAGCCTGAAAGACCCCGCGCCACTGACACAACATATCCATAGTTATCTCAATCCAATCTTAGCATTTGAAAGCCATGGTCGCTTTATGAAATACATCATACTCCTGATTAACAACAAACCCCAAACCCCCTTTTACTTCTTGTATCACACCTTTTTGCTCTTAATCTGGTTGTCTGTTCTTCTCTCTTCTTTGCAATGACAAATCATCAACGCCCTTATGGCCTTTATGCGAGCTAGGATCTAAAAGCTATGGTATATCGACATGTAGATCTTGAGTATCTTAAACGCAACTGACTTTCCCAGAACACAGAACTGTATCAATTCTCTCCTTACAAGGAATTGACCAGTCTGCGCTCCTTCCGAAGTTTGCGGAGCTTCTCACGGGCCTCGTCGAGAGGAACCATGATGCCCTTGTTCTGGGTGGCCGGATCATCACGGTTACGGATGTTGACCGAGCGGTTCTCCTTTTCTTGGGCACCAACCACTAGATGTACAGATTAGCATGCGATGGAGAGAAACACAAGATGGGGAAGCAATCATACCGAAAATGAAGTTGTACTGCTGTAGTTGTCCGGTGCGGATCTTCTTCTGCATGGTGTTACCGCTGATATCGATATCGACATTCAGCTTGTCTGCGCGCAGGATTTGCTGCAGCTCCTCAACGTAGTCGTTGACAGCAGGCATGACCGGAACGATCAAGATCTGGCGGGGACTGATCCAGAAAGGCCACTTGCCACCGAAGTGCTCGATCAAGATACCGAGGAAACGCTCAAAGCTACCAATGATGGCACGGTGGATGACAACAGGGCGGGCGCGACCAGGGCCAGGCTCCGTGGACTTGGCCTCGCCCTCCTTGGGTTCCTCCTGGGTCATCTGGGCCGTCTGCGTCTTCTCGTTGGTCATGTACTCAAGCTTGAAGTTGATAGGTGCCTGGTAGTCGAGCTGAATGGTGGCACACTGGAACTCTCGCTTGAGGGCATCGGCGATAGTAATATCAATCTTGGGACCGTAGAAGGCACCATCACCCTCATCAATGTACCAGTCGCTTCCCTTGAACTTGGTCATAGCAGCCTTCAACTGCTCCTCGGCATAGTTCCAGGTGGAAAGTTCACCCAAGTACTTCTCGGGACGGGTGGAGAGCTTGAGCTTGAAGGTGAAGCCGAAGAGGCCGTAGATGGACTGCAAGAAGTCGAAGAGACCCTCGATTTCAGACATGATCTACCATGAGTTAGTTTCAATGCAGAACACCAGCGAAAGAGTGTCCGGTCCATACCTGTTCTTGAGTACAGAAAATGTGGCTATCATCTTGTTGGAACTTGCGAACACGGGTAAGTCCACTGAGAGCACCCGAAGCCTCGTTACGGTGCAGGACACCGAAATCCGCGATTCTCAGAGGAAGCTCGCGGTAACTGCGGTCACGGTGACCGAAGAGCATGAAGTGACCAGGGCAGTTCATGGGCTTCAGAGCCCACTCTCTCTTCTCAACGTCCAGCTTGAACATGTCGTCCTTGTAGTGCGCCCAGTGGCCGGACGTCTTCCAGATACCAACATCGTACATGTTGGGGGTCTGAACCTCCTGGTATCCGCGCTTACGATACTCCGAGCGCAAAAGGGACTGGAGGGCGTTGAAAATCCTGGTGCCGTTGGGCAAAAGGAATGCGCATCCGGGGGAGACTTCGTCGAAGAAGAAAAGCTCCTGCTCCTTGCCAATCTTGAGGTGATTGCGCTTCTCTGCCTCCTCGAGGAACTTGAGGTGTTCTTGCATCTGCTTCTTGTCGGGGAAGGCGACACCACGGATACGCTGCAGCGAGTCGTTGGTCTGGTCACCGAGGAAATAGGCCGAAGAGTTCTATGACAGGTTAAGAAAGAGGGTCCCCTGCGGTGGATGTATGAACGTAACATACCTGCATGATCTTGAAGGTCTTAATCTTGCCAGTGCTCTGGATGTGAGGACCCCTGCACAGATCGACAAGGGTACCACAGCGATAGACTGTGCTCTTCTCGCCGGTCACCAGCTTGTCGATGTAGTGCAGCTTGTACTTGCTGTATGCGAACATCTTCCTAAGATTCTCCTTGGTAACTTCCAGGCGGTCGAAGCTCTGCTTTTCCTTGAAGATACGAGACGCCTTGCTGTCCAGGGACGACCAATCGCTCTCTTTGACGACACGGCTATTCCACCGTCAGCGTGAATATTCGGGGTGCAAAGACTGGATGAACGTACCCATCGGGCATAGCCATATCATAGAAGAAACCCTGGGGAGTGGGGGGGCCGTGGGAAAGAAGACATCCGAACTCGCACTCGCAGGCTTCACCCAGAGTGTGCGCGCTGGAGTGCCAGAAAACCTCTCTTCCCTCGGGGTGCTCGAACGGCACGTAAGAGACGGTACAATCACCCTCAAGCGGGCGACCAAGATCCCAGAGTTCCTTGTCCACCTTTGCGATGACAACGCTAGCGCTCAATTCCTTAGGGACGTTCTTCAGAAGCTGTGCGGGAGTGGTCTCGAAGGCCTTTGCGGTGACATTGGTGGTGTTTCCGTCACCAAGTTCAATGGTGACATTGATGTCATTGTGAGGCTTGTTCTTGAGTTCTTCGAGGTACTGCTGCCACAACTCCTCGAAGAGGTTGTTACGTTCGACGATAAAATCGGGGAGACCGTCGTCACCTGACTCATGAACTGATTAAGAGGGGTTCTGATAACATTTGGCGGGAGCAACGATCGACTCACCAGCCGCTTTGGCGTCGGCAGCAGGCCTAACAGGCAGGTCTTTAGAGCCTTCGGAAGCCATGGTAGCCCGCAACGTCAGGAGATCAAATTGAGAAGAGGTGAGACCGAAGAAAGAGGGGTGGACCAGCGGACAGCGGGATGACTCTTCCGTATAGACACAAATCGAGAATGAGGGACGAAGGCGGTGTATCACGTGAGTGAAAACTGCCCTTCCGGCTAGCGACACTTTACCGTTTCGAGGCTTCCCACCATTCGAAAACTTCTCCGGACTCCGGATTCAGGTCGTTCAGAACAACAGCAATACAACATGTCTTTCCGGGGCCGTGGTACGGGCGCCAACCGTGGCGGTAGCTTTGGTGGTCGTGGTGGTGAGTTTGCAGCCAGAACAGCATGGTGGAAGTGATTGTCGCGTTGAGGATGGTCTGACGAAAATTTCTCTGGATAGGTCGCGGAGGTTTCCAGCAGCCTGTCGGACCCCCGGCGCAGGTTTTGGGTAATTATACTCGCACCAACCACCCGAAGTCTAATGACTGATGGAATTGCTATAGAGATGGGAACTGTCATGCACGCTTGCGAAGGCGAGATGGTCTGCGAATCGATCAACCCCAAGATTCCTTACTTCAACGCTCCTATCTACCTTGAGAACAAGGTACGATCCACTCCGACAATCGCTTCAGACACGACGCCATAACTAATCTGACTGCTTTCAGACCCCCATTGGTAAGGTCGATGAGGTTCTCGGTCCCATCAACCAGGTCTACTTCACCGTCAAGCCCCAGGAAGGTATTGTCGCGACTTCCTTCAAGGCTGGTGACAAGGTCTACATTGGTGGAGACAAGCTCCTTCCCTTGGAGAAGTATGTTGCTAGCCCTCTAGCTCTTGCCACATGGGTGATGCTGACATCATGATCCTAGGTTTCTTCCCAAGCCCAAGCCCCCACCGGGTATGATTCTGAACATTCACGCCCATGAATCGACGGTTGATACTAATCTGTTTATAGGAGCTGCCAAGCCCAAGAGAGCCGGCGGTGCTGGTCGTGGTGGTGCCGGACGTGGTGGCCGTGGTGGGTTCGCTCCCAGAGGCCGTGGTGGTCCTCGCGGCGGTGGTCGCGGTGGTTTCTCCAGAGGTGGTGGTGGTGGTGGTTTCTCCCGTGGCGGGGGTGGTGGCCGCGGTGGCTTCTCCAGAGGCGGCGGCGGTGGTTTCTCCAGGGGTGGTGGAGGTGGCTTCTCCCGCGGCGGTGGCAGCGGTGGATTCCGACGATAGACAGTGTCTGTCTAGCCTAAAGTACTGTCTTATTACGGCGTTCTGGGAAAACGGGAGCTTCTTGCAGGAATTTATTTGTCTCGATATTCTTGTGCATCCTCGAAAAATTGCTGCTTCTGAATGTGCAGAGGCTGTGAGCACAATGCAGCCATTAGACCCATGTATTGCAACGACTATACCTGTTAATTCTACTTTGCGTTCTATTTGGTGGCTTCGATTTGGTCTATGACATAGAAGCATGTTGCTTATGCTGTCGTTTGAGTTTGCAAGTAGCGAGGGTTATATACGTAAGCTAACAGCAGAATTATGACTAAGCTGGGGTTATAGCTCAGTGGTAGAGCGCTCGCTTTGCATGCGAGAGGTCTGGGGTTCGATCCCCCATGACTCCAAAATTTTTGCTTGTGCTACACACATATCTATCTAGTCAAGTACGATCCTGGATTGATGGTACACCGTTTCTCTTCAATTTGAAGTTCATCTTTTCGTGGCTCATAATACTTTCTGGATGATTCTCCCCTTCGAGATCACTTAGAATATTAGAATTTATGCCGAAGAGTCATCAATCAGCCCGGTACTCACTTGGATGTCAGGTCCTCAGCTTGGCTGGACCTTCTCTTCACCTTGCCAGATTACGGAGTAGTGAGCTGAAAAATGCCAATCCTTTGATAAGAGTCATGTCTCATCGAACAGCCGAACTTCATTGCGTCAATGAGAGAATAATTACTAAGCTGGGGTTATAGCTCAGTGGTAGAGCGCTCGCTTTGCATGCGAGAGGTCTGGGGTTCGATCCCCCATAACTCCATCTTTTTTGCATCGAAGTTCTTCTTCCTTGCGCCTGAAAGGCCTTTTTTTTTCTGTTTACTTCTTGTTCTCGGTATAAGATCTTGGTTCATCTCCCCTAGTGTCGCGATCTTAATCATAATGACGGAAGTACAAAAGCACCTCCCAACCCCTTCATGTTTCTGTTTCACATTATGTAATCTTTGCTTTTGTGGCATAGCTTCCTCACAGCATCTAGGTTTTGCAAGATAGCTGTGTGACCGTGCGGTCCGATGTATAGAGACAAGATGCCTGGCCCTTTAAGGCAGATCCAAAACAATTTTGTGATGGGATGTGCAAAAATGCAAAAATGGAGTCATGGGGGATCGAACCCCAGACCTCTCGCATGCAAAGCGAGCGCTCTACCACTGAGCTATAACCCCAGTTAGCTTGATTTGTTTAGCTCCCCAAAACTTATGACCTGCATAATTCGCGTGAGCCAACACTCATCTGCGCCGTACCATGGTTGCAATAATTCTGCAACATATGTCGGTGGCTGTGGCTGTGGCGCAGGAAACCACCGCCTTGCAATGACGTCTGGCCACGCCTAAGCGGTCAAAGAATAATCTGTGCGCCTGTCAACACTCCTTCAATCGGTAACCGGTCTCCCATTGCATCATTACGCTTCCTTTCCCCCCGGCCAACCTCCGCATATAATCAGGCTACCCGCAACTGATCTGTCCACCTCACTTCAGTTTCCTTGTCTTAGAACTATCGCAATTTGAGCATGTCTCGTAGGACATCCACCATGCCATCAAATACGTCTCAGAACAGCAGTGTCCCACCTGCGGGTGATGGAGGTATGCTCAGATCCTGTTGTCCGCATTGTTTCGATATAATCTGCTGACGAGATACAGGACAGGAAAAGCAAAAGATGCTCCTCTCAGCGGAGACGGGTCATTTCAGCATGGTCAGGTTAGCAGCCAACGGTGTCCGAACTGGTCTTTGAGGCGTTCTACTCACTTGCCTTCAAATACCAGAGCTTTACATCTCGCCGATCTTGTGACTGAACTCAATGGTAATAATGCCGATTCATCTAAGACCCTGATTTTGTATAGGGAGGTTTGCTAACACGATCGTGTTTATAGGATTCTGCGGAGGCAAGCTCCATGGCAACCCAACAAGATTCTGCGGCCCGATATTGACTGACTGTAAACAGTAATGTCCGTTTTCTCATCAATGCGCTACTGTCTCGGTGATCCCAGCGATTACTCCGCTCTCTGGGCTGCTCTCACATTTATGCCTTTTGGACTTTTCTTCGACTTCATGGATGGCAAGATTGCTCGGTGGAGAAAGAAGTCGTCTTTGATGGGACAGGAGCTCGACTCCTTGGCAGATTTGGTACACTTGTCATTGCCCCCTAAACCCTGGTACTGGATGCTAATTTATTATTCTCGTGCTCTATAGATCTCCTTTGGCATGGCTCCCGCTGCTGCTGCGTTCGCCATCGGCATCCGCACCCCGATTGACCACCTCTTCCTTACGTTCTTCGTCCTCTGCGGCTTGACTCGTCTGGCGCGGTTCAACGTGACAGTTGCCGTTCTCCCCAAAGACAAAACCGGCAAGTCTAAGTACTTCGAGGGCACTCCCATTCCGACGACCCTGTCGATCGCAGCGTTCATGGCCTACTGTGTCTCTCAAGACTGGGTCCAGGATAACCTTCCATTGGGCCTCGCAGCCGAGGGAACCGCATTCGAATTCCACCCGCTCGTGCTCCTGTTTGTGCTGCACGGCTGTTTGATGGTCAGCAAAACGCTGCACATCCCCAAGCCTTAATCGAGGTTCACGTACAGAAAACAAAAAGCTCAACAGACGCATGTCCTACCTGTCTGAGCCGAGGTTTCCATTTCTGATGAAGATGTCTTATTGATTGAGCATATATACCGAGGGAAAACCTACGTCAAAGTGGACATCAACGTATTTTTGGAGATAGCGCCGTTGTTGAAGGAAATCACATTCTGCATTCTGCATTCCTTGTCAAATTTAAGGCTTGGTGTAACCTGTAACCGTAACCTGAAACTTATCTTGCTCCTTGGTGGGAATCAGGACAGACTATACGCTACTGGTAGGGCTGTGCCTGGTTACGATGAGGTATCTCATCCTTGCTACTGACTCAAAACCATCCTCAACCCTGTAACATTCCATTCCTCTTGGGTCGATAAGTTTCCTACACTACGCTCCTGGTACTTCTATTACGTTGAGGGCCATCGCTCGTTGTCTCGCAAACTACACGTCGGGCTCGAATACTGACCATTCGAGACGTATAGCGCACTGTGAACGGACGGAGATATATTCCCGCGGAACAAGAGCCACGATCAACCATAGTTTAAGTCATCGACCCCATGAAATTGGGAAAGCATGTAATTGCACAACCCCCTTAGCCCATCTCCTTCGAGGGGCACAAAATCAACAAATCATCGAGACAAATTCATATAATATATTCTTTCCATAAAAAGAACAACTGACCGAACCGACACGACGACACGTGAACAACACAACGAGCACCCCTGGGTTCGACCCTCGGCGCTACCAGCGCCGACAGCTGAGCCTGCCAGTGATTCTAATTTAGCGGCAACTCCATTTGTGGACATCGGCTGATTAGCATAAGGGCAAGGAAATCCATCCTCATTGCCCCTAGTCTAGACCGGTCCACGGCCTTGTGCTATCCTTTTTCCAGGCTGTTGTGATGACAGCTGCGGGATTTTGCGATTGCTCTGGACTTGTGAGTCCATGGTAGGTAGTCTGGCTGCTGGTTATCCCTCGCGATCGGGTGAGCGCACGGGGCTTTCTACGAAAGATGAGAGAGAAATTTTTGTCCTCACGATCTAAGGTGAGTATACTGTATGCTCAGTGCTCACGTACGCTCACTGCCCGAGAATAAAGTATACCTACAGGCTCTTCCTGGAGGCAATATGACTGGCCCACGCCGCTGAGACACAAAAAGCTTCCCTTCCTCCAGCGATTCCAGAACTTCTCTTCTCTTCTCGAGTCCGTTGCAGAATGCAGTCTCTGGCGTCAAGGGCCGATCAGTCAATCAGTCATCCGGCCTCATCATCTGTTCTAACCGTCTGGGTCATGTGCACAGCTACTCGTATAGAGTGTATGCCACAGTCTTCAACCCAGACGAGCAAGGTTGATTTCTCAGCAAGGAACGATTACTGACTAGCGAATAACCTAGTTTGTTCTGTCAACTACCTTATGTGTGGACATATCGTTCGTCATCATCTGGCTTTACCTCCGCCCGGAGTTGCCCTGCAAACTTAATCTTCTCTTCTGCGTTTGCCCGTGGTTGGTGATGCCAAAAATAAAAACTGGTCGTGATCCACTGCCTCGGGTGTTCATGCCGGCATACCCCCCCGCAGCTTCAGGATTCTGGCTGGAGATCAGTGGTCCTTTTGCAGGGCAATCAAGCAGGTCAAGTGCACGCTTCATGTGTGTTTGTTTCCGTAGGTATAGTCCACATGCCTACTCCCTCGATGCGGTCCCGACACGCGGCATGCCATTGAGAGACTGTCCGACCAAAGACACAGCAGACGTGCGCGTCGACTAGCCCGACACGACACGAAGGAATTCTTTACATGCATGCAGTCTTACAAAGTCGGTACGCCGGATGATCCGGGTGGAAGAGGGAGGTTCAACGTGCCGGGGTGGGCACGCAGCTCGAACACTTGAATGAAGGAAAGGCATGGCATGTGTGGGGATAGTTGATCCCGCCAACCCCGGAAGGGCCCAGACCCTCCGTCCCTCTCTTTTCCCATTCTTATTCTTACTAGCCTTTGGCACTTGCGATAATAGTGACAACGACGATGCTTCTTCAACGAGAAGTATGTTTTGCGGGTATTGACACTTGACAGTCTTGGGGGTTGATGATGGGAAAAGTTCGGGAGCGGCGAACATCTAGTCTAGGGTGTGCAAGCTAGAGAAATCTCTCTCCACCCTCCTTCCTGCGCTTATCCGGAAGAGGGCTAGGAGTCAGGGACTATTCTATCCCAGACAGTCATTCCATTGGTGGCTGACAGACATCTAGGATCAAAGTGGCCTAGTGGGAGAATTGGTTCATGAGTCCCTGACTCCCCGAGCGGTTTTGCTCTCTCCCCTTGCCGGGGGTGGCCTCGCCGCCCTCTCTTGTAGTTGGCTCCTTGGGATTGGGCCGTCCATCCTGTCGCGCACGATCCGACGTTTCATTCCTCGGGAGCATTTTGGGTGGATGGAATGTCGGGCGTGGCTGAGAAGAACGTACATGTAACTGTCAGTGAGTTAGTAAATAAGGGAATGAATGTGGTGGGAGAATTTTTTGGAGGCGAAGCGTGGTTGATTTTCGCTTTGGTTTGCCCCGGCAGTTCGAGGCGAGCGGAAGAAGGTCGAAAGGTTTTCCTGGTGAAAACAGCCACCACGTAGGGAACAGTTCGCCACAATAATTCGTATCTTGCAGACAAGCAAGGAAGACGGTGATAGTATCTACCTATCGTTCCGCCGGTCGCTGCGGGCAGCTGGTCACTGTCACCGGCCAGGGTATGACGGATTGACGGATAACTGTGCCCAATTTTCTTTCTCGCAGCCTACTCAGGTACAGTACGTACTACTATAAATATCCCCGAAGGCACAAGTGGTCGAGGTCGGACGATTATCGGAGTAAGACATGGGCGGAGTCAGGATCGGGTCAGTGGCGGTGATGGTTTCTTGTCTGCTGGAGGGATTGTTACTTAGATAATTATACTCATCTGTAGGTAGATTCTATACAAGGTAGTGCACAGTGTAGAGTACTTACATCCACGTCTCCCTCTCTCTCTTATTATGTCATGCTGGACTGCATTGTGGAGGATGGAAGAAAATCACCGACCAGCGTGAAGCCGGTAGGTTATCAGTTGTACCATGGACTCGGCGATGTTCATCCGTTTCAGAGCAGCTCATGACCAAACCGTGAGGGGATTAGCACATGCCAGTCTCCGCCCGTGTCTGGCCCAATGAGGCAAAAAGTGGAGACGATTCCTGGACCCTCGAAGCAGTCATTCGTCACTGACGCGGGATGATTCAAAGTAGTCTCAAAGTAGGTACTCCAGAGTACTCCGTACCTGGTACCGTCTCGGTACCCAATAAATTACAGCACATCATCGATCCAGGGTCACTTTCCCTCCCGTTCCCGGAACCATCCATGGTCAACTCTGTAACTGGCATGTTTTGTTGTTGTTTGTTCCTCCCCCTCACCCCCCTAGTTTGGTAGTTAGTCTCTCTACTCCGTAGAGACTAGTCTGTCAGTGCGTCGCTTAAGGGCCTTTCTTCCCTTCCCAACCCCCAATTCATCTTTGCCGCCCAGCAACAGCAAGCAGCAGCAGCAGCAGCAATCTCAATTCTATTCCCACCTAACTAAATTAATTAGACTAGTCAAGTCAATCACACTCACTTACCACTTACAACCCACTACTTCCAAAGAGGAGTCGTCTTCGAACTGCCTCGTCACTTTCCTTCATTCCCCCCCTTCTGCTGCTTGCTTTTTGACCCTAGACCTTCGTTTGCTCTTTTGGGCCGGATCATTACTATTCCTATTCTCTTCACTTGTCTCTCGCTATTCTTCATTCACTCCGTTCTTTTCCCCCTCCTGAGGCATCTCAGTCACGCGTCTCTTCTCTGAAGCGACTCAGACCACGACGCCCTCGTCTAATTGCTATTCCGCCAATCTTCTCCCCAATTCTCCGCCCCCCTCCACCAACTGCCCACCCTTCAATACCATCAAGGACCAATCCATTCATTTATTGATTCGGGGCACTTTCAACCCTGACCGATTCCCCTGCCTAAATTACCCGTCCAGCCGCCCATTAAACTCTGTCCGACAGAAAGGGGTGCTGAAACAATCCGCTTCTTGAGGCCCTTTCCTTCCCCGCCAAGGCAGACATCACACACTCTTTCTATCGCTAGCATCACTCTAGCCCTTCTCTGCACCCATCTCTCCCTATCGGGGTTCAACTCTTCGACAACCCGAGAACACTTTGCACTGTACCCTTCCCCGGCAAATCTCAGCGACAAGCACCCACGATCTTGCGGAAGACGGGAAGCCGAGACTCTCACCCCGACCTTCGAAACCTTCACCTCAGCGCTGCAAAAAAAGGGTTACGCAGGTCGTCCCTTCCCTTTCGCTTGATCAACAATCAACTGTGACTGCTGTGTCTGGAGCAGGTGTCCAGTCACTGACATTGATCGCGCAATCGTTATTTTTCATCCATCATGTCGCCCTTCACGAACCCCCTGACCATGCGGTCGGCTCTTGTGGCCTCGGTCCTCTTCCTGGCCGCCCATTTGCCTACGACAGCTGCCTATGACGAAGTTTACAACGGATGTTACTCCAGCTCAGAACCCCTAGTCGACCAAGGAAGCTATACATATCAAAGTAACGGATACTGCCAGAAGCAGTGCTTGAAGGAAAACTACGCTGTGTTTGCGCTTCACAACAAACAAGACTGTTTCTGCGGCAATAAACTACCGGCTTCGTCGGACAAAGTGTCAGATGATAAATGTAATCTGTCGTGCGCTGGCTGGCCCACGGTCATGTGTATGTGTTCCCCACCGAACGGTGTTGTTGTGTTTCGTTGCTGATCGTTTGTCTAGGTGGTGGTGCAAGCACATACTCGGTTTATCTCACAGGTATCGAGGATGACGTCGAGAACTATTCTTCCTCGAGCACCTCATCCAGCAAAGGCACCGAGGGAACGTCGACCTCGACAACACAAACACCCACAGTCCATGCCGTTACCAGTGGCGGACAGACGGTCTATGTAACAGAAGCTGCTGCCACCCACGCCGCCCCCAGCGCTACCGAATCAGCCAAGGCGAAGAGCTCGAGTGCGAACACTGCGGCGATTGCGGCCGGTGTGGTGATCGGAGTCGTCGGACTTTGTGCACTCATTGGTGCTGGTTTCTTCCTGTGGCGGTTCAAGAATCGTAAGTCGGTAGACGCGCAATATCGTCGTAGCGTTGGCGTGGACGGTTATGGACAACCTATGGCACAGGGTAGCGACTCTCGATTCGATGGCGACTTCATGGCTCAGAAACGGCAAAGCAATGGCAGTATTGACGACGACCAAGACTTTTCGCGTCGCATTCTGCAGGTAAGCACGGCCCCTTTCATGGTAATTGATCGATGATTTGAGGCTAATCTGGGTTTCAGGTGACCAACCCCGACCGTCGTTAAGAGTATGATTCATACTGCCATGTCGTCGTCGTCGTCGCGTACTGGCACCATCCGAGTCACGTTCTTCTTTATCTTCCGCACCCGACACTCCTCTCGCTTGTGATATTGCTTCTTCTATGAAAGCACCTATTCTTTCTTATCAATATTCCCCTTTCTTGCCGGGCTATTTAGCGACCTTGTGATCTCAATCTCAGAACATGTTATCGGACAGAATTTAACGCCTGCATCAATCCTTGCCTACGGTGCTCTTCCATACGAGACACGTTGCTGTCGGGTGACGCAGCACCTCTCTGACTGCGCCTCAGCACTCGGACAATCGTCTCACTTTCGAGATCAATCTGTCCTTCAGCTAGAGCGACCGCTGGGATGCACTCTCGGAGACGAACGCGCTTGATCACCCAAGCCCCATGCTCCCTCGGGTTGACATTTCCGACATGTCCCTCCAGGTTCTTTGTTGTATTTTGAAAAGGGCGTTCGATATGGGTTGGATCTTAAGTTAGGTCATCTCTCTTTGCCGGCGATCTTGGATTCCCGCTTTTTCTTTCTTATCTCCTGAGACCAAGCACTTCTGCCGTCGTGTTGCTGAGGAATTTTTGCAATTCTTCTACAAGGCTTTGCTATTGATCTTGTCAGTGGTAGCACCTGGTCTATGACACCGGACAGGACAGGGTAGGGTATGTCCCTGTAACTAATGTGAGGATGAATGGATACCATGGACTTTCTAGTTTGTAGACGAAGACGTAGTCTGGTCTGTCTTGGTGACTTTAATCCAGCACCATTCCCCCACTAACCCTTCTACGCTTGCCGACTATGGCCCACAACGCTATGTTTTCTCGACGTCCCCGATCAATCCTCAGTAGCCTGATGACATTCGGCCACCGGACCTTACGATAACTCGCAAACGCATAAGACCGCCTAGCGATCTATCCTCAACCTCTACGACGCCAAACACTAGAGAATATAAAGCCAATCATGCAACACGCAAAGAGCATTAGATTTATCCCGGAATGACATCACAGGTCTAGCCGTCGTCTACCCAAGCAACAGAACAATTCAGCAGAGGTACCAAGCAAGACGCAGTAGACATGGTACTTAACCCACAACTCCATACCATCACGCAGCAAACAGAGCCTCGCACAGGATCAGTACGAATGATTGAAAGCTTCTCGTTGTCATGACTGCTGTCCTTTTCTTTTCTTCTCTTTCTTTTTTTCTTTTTCTTTTTTATGCTGTCTCTGTTGAAACAGACATTAATATCTCCGGAATTTGTGATGGCTGGAGTGGATTGAATGGAAACACACACTCGCTCTCTCACAGTGTTATATATGGAGACAGAGAGAGAGTGCGAGAGAGAGAATGATCCAAACAACCTCTCAAACTGTTGTCTTTCCTTCTCTCATCCTACTCTACAGTCTAAAGCAGAATACAGATTGCATCCCCAACATCTAGAGGTAATAGTGATACATCCAATCTACCTTCTCGGGGACTCCCAATTTCTCAAATCCTTCCACTTCTTTTCGCCACTCCGAAACAGTAATAGATAATTCAACCGACAAGGTCAAGACAGAGAGAACCATCTGGAAGCGGCGTAGCAGTTCTTTCCTAGATCTCTATCCCCGTGTGCAAGGGGTTGTTGAAGGGGATATGAAGAGGTATGTATATAGGTGCTCCTTGTTCTCGTGGCCTACCTCGGGTTGCTTTGGCTATATAGGAAGAAAGCTGGTGGTGGTGTAACTTTTTTTTCAAAACGAATTTATGCTACGTTGAGTCATTGTATGTTCGCTGAAAGTAATATAGGCCGTAACTTCATTTTATTTTAAGATAAAAGGGTTTATAGATTACTTAGGTTAGGTGTGGAGTGTTGTCCATTTCCGGGAGTAGATCAGACATATATTTTGCGTGGTGTATTGCTGCACAACTTCATTGAGGGGGTTCTGTTTCCGATTCAATTCGACACCCTGGGATTTCAAACTAAATGGATCACAATCCCCAGATTTATTTTCAAAGCAATGTGGGGTATCTGGTCCTTGTATGGATAAATTTCTACTCTGTAAGGTGTTGAGCAATAGAAGAGTCTGGAACAGAGGCCCTCAATAGCAGCTTAGCGAATCGTTCCTTGAGTGCTCCTCCCCGTCAATTACCACAACCTCCATTCTTTATATATGATCTATACAATAGAAAACACAATCCCTCGAAACAGTATCCCACAGACTATATCGCAGTAGAACCCGGGTGGATTCGACATACAAAAGAATCGAGACCACGGGACTCCGTTGCGTATGCGGGGAAGACGTCCCCCCCCCCCCACCCCATAGCGTGCGTTTCTTTGTTTCGTTGCGAAAGACGCGTCCACGTCTTTCAATATTCGTCGCGCAACCCCGCGTAGTCTCGCTCTCACCCTTCTGTAATGCACTCGTCGCTTCCTACAAGAAAGATATTCTCTACTTACCGAGTGCGAGTCCAGCCGACAAGCTTACAAACGTGCTTCTTACATTCGTCATTTCCAGACCATAATGCCGCTCAAGCGAGTATCAGGAGACAGAAGGAGTGCAGGAAAAGGGGAGCCAACCAGATCGCTAGGCCTAAGTCCACGCCGTTCCAGCAAGAGGCCTCGATGGCATCGGAAGCAGAAGAGCCCTGAGGCTCAGAAACAGGAACAGGAGCAGGAGCAGGATCAGCTCCACGGACAGAGCCAATTTCGCCCTTATCCGACGCATAAAGTCAATCGCATGCTGGAGCCTGGGCCCGTGGTCCTCGTCACGACCGGGTCGCTGGCCGATCGGACGCACAACATCATGACAATGGGCTTTCACATGATGATCCAGCATGAGGAACCAACACTGATCGGCGCTTGTATTGGGCCGTGGGACAAGAGCTTTGATAACTTGAGGCGAACCGGCCAATGCGTGCTTGCCGTGCCGGCCGCGGAGTTGCTGGAGCAGGTCGTTGATATTGGCAACTGCAGTGGCGAAACGGTGGATAAGTGGGAGGCATTTGGCATGATCCCGGTGGAACCACCGGTATTGCCGTTGCCGCCGCAGACCGATCCAGAATCTGGAGATGGAGAAGAAAAGGGGGAAGGTTACATGAAGCAGGTAAAAAACGCTCGTGCGCCACTGGTTGGTGGGAAAGATATCATAGCCAATATCCAATGTGTGGTTCATGATCGGACGTTGGTGGCAACTTACAATCTGTGGGTACTCCGAGTTGTTGGAGCATGGGTAAACCGAGACCTGGACTTGGATTATGGGCAAAGCAATCAGGAATCACCGGAGTATTGTGGTGCTGTTGGTGGCGGGAAGAAACAGATGAGGATGGTGCACCATCGTGGAGACGGGAGGTTTGTGGTGGATGGAGAAGAACTCGACCTTAGGCAAAGGATGATCAAGTGGGAGGAGTTTCAGGACTAAGCTGGTCAGCAAGACTAGGTTTCATCCACCTTCTGTTCTGCTAGGTACCTGTCTCAGATATCTCCTGTTGCATACAGGCTGGGTGCGCGTTCCTGGACCCAACATCGACAGCCACCTGTGGCTGGTCAGTCCGCAAAAGGAGCCATGCAAGTGAGATACGCTATGACAATTCGAGAGACTCTTGCGAATCAGTAGAACGTGAGATTCGTCTAGAACAGTGCCGCTATTGGCATAATTATCCAAAAATTGCGCTCGTAGCAGGTCTGCGCAACTCAGCGGCAAAACCGCACCAGCACGTTGGTTTGCAGAAGCTTGTGTTGGTGGCTAACCTTTTCTTATCACCTACATGTCGAGGGTAGCTCTGATTGGAGACTTGTTTGATATTGCCTTGCGTGATCAATAGATGTCTTATATTGGGCTGCGTCGCAACGCGGTTTGGCCTGCCCGGCACTCAGCAACTCCGCTGGACAGCTCGTGTTATGATTGGAACTGAATCACTGGCATGTAACCGCACGGGGAGGTTTGAGCTGCGATGACGGAAACGAATAGACTCGGTGGTGGCAGAGCTGTGCAGATGTCATGGCTGAGTATCCACAGCCCTAGCTGCCAGGAACGCTGTAGAACCGGAGATGCCCTGTACACGTGCGGCAGGATGAAACGCCCTTCAGACTCCTGGCATCATGCAGACGGCAAGGTACGAGAAGGTGAACGACGAATGAGCTCGACAGCCTTGAAATTATTCTATATTTGTCATTAGTTCAACTTTAGGGCTATTGGCCGGGGCATTCATGCATGGACCAATGCAACCGTTGGAGGGGGCGGGATTCCTCTGGGTTACCAGCAAAGATGGAAGTCATGGCAGTGCAGATGTATAGCAGGCAGAGGTGGGATGGTTCTTCATCTGACGGGGCCACTACTCACTAGCAGCATGGCTGTGAGAATTTGAACGGTGGACCAGACGACATCCTTACGCTTAATCGATCGTCGAGCACGCCGTTGATGTCAGAGCACCAACCTATTTGGGAACAAGCGACCAGGGTGGGAGTGGAGCGACGCCGATTGTTGTCAGATACAAAGGCGGCAGCATAAGTCAAGGCCATGTGGCCGTGCTAAAGCGCATGGCACCCCTGCCATGGGGCGAAAATAACAGGCCCCATGGCCCTAGAACGTACAATGTGTATGATACTGTACCTAAGTCAGACGCGAGCTGTGCAGTAGCTCATAAGCTAGGAGGACGTACCTGTCCCAAAATAGCGCCCCTTGTAATGGTCGACTCGCGTGTAGAATGTTCGAAGCAGTATGGAACCCCGTCTCCTGACCAATAAAACACAAAATGATCAGACTCGTCCAGCCGACCGTCTTATCCCGACATCCGGGCGATTGTATCAAAATGTCCCCCTCGTGTCGGCGGAGGGAACTCGCTGACAGGGACAGGAACATTTTCCGAAATGGGACTTATAGTAAGCCTTATGAGATTGTGTTCCTACAGAATTAGTGATAGATGGGACGTCCTGAGATTTGAGAAGATATACTGTCTTGAGGACAAAGTCTGCCGTGAGAAGATCACCTATGGCCCCTTCGTAGTCGAGTTCTGTACGAGAAAATGATATACGGACGACGGATGGCTTGCGAAACTTCGGCCTGTCACTCGGGTGGGGATTGCCCGCGGGAAAACCCGCCTGTCGAAACGGAGCAGGGCGACCGTGCAATTGCATAGCGGTCTTAAGGTGGAAGGCGCCTGAACGAGCGCCTGGACATTCGAGGTGTCGATCATAGACGGCCTCGGCCGTGACCGACTATAGTCATGCCTGGTCTGTAGTTAACTCCCATTACCATCGCGATGCTGAGGGCTGATTTGTCTGTTCGCCTAATAAGAGCCCATGGACATCGTCAGCAATTCTTATCCAACAATTGATCGAGTGGACCCTCACTACAGTATGGAACTTTTCACACGTAAGAGGCTCGCGAGGGTTGCGGACGCGCGGGACGGTCAATCATGCAGGCCAAACTGGACGAACTCAACTGAATTGCTTGGCAGTGGGGTAGGGGGTTAGGGATTGCTAGGATTTGGGGAGGGGGTTGGTGCCAACTGTCACTTAACACCATGTAAACGAGGAGCCAGATAGAGAGATATGACCTTGTTTAGCCTGCAATAGTGTGGACTGTGGAATCATGATTTGCTGAAGGGGACTTAGGAACTGTCTCCCCGTCCCGAAAAAGTTATTCGGTAATAGCGCTTAGCTACCATCAGCACACGCTTGGTGTTTCTCGCCTTAAGTCCTTAGCGTGGGTGACTTAGGACGTTAGCTGCAGCCCTGGTCCTTCGTGAGTGTGCCGAACTTATTATCTCTCAATACCTGGTAGTAATGGCTTTTGCACGCCTGACGGGTCGATTGCGCCTTCATGCCCAGGCAGTGCGGCGCTGGAGACCGGAAGATCCACATTCCCAAAGGGTAGCTTTAGAATTTATCCACTGTGCCTGTTAAAGTACTAAGTACTAAGAAGAGATGGGAATTCCAGACAATTGACCGGGGAAAGTGATCAGCTCTCTCTTGATCGGACGGCCCCTCAGTGTGGCCTCCGATTCCGAGCCTTTTTTTCTTTTTCCGCTCACGATCCAGGTTCACACCCTGGTGAGCTGTATTATTGTTGTTGCGTATCGAAGAAGACCACGGAAGCATTGCTGTTAATTAGCCGATGAGAGGAACTTAGCCATCCATGGTTTTCGTGCATGAGACTAAGTGAAGAAGAGTAAAAGAAGGTAAGATGTTCTTGGTGGGGTCAGACGCTCCATGACGACAAAGTGGGATTACCTAAGGTGGTAAGTCAGGAGCGACGAGACAGCCTGAGGCAACTTGCAAGGCAGATTCACTCCGCTTGGTCTGATAAGCCTTTTGCGATCTTCCGGAACCAAAGTCGATTGACCCCCAGGGCTGTGTTTCAGAGTTGCAGCTGCCCCTTTTGAGGCCCTGAGGGGTGACATGAGGTCAGAATGGTGAGGTCAAAGTTCGTCATGCCACCTGAATCACTGACACCAGCAGGATCAAGCCTGCCCCCAGAGATTGCTGATCACCACGTTCTGTTCACTCTCACACGGTCCCTACGTCAAACGTACTCCGAAGGATGTTGTTTACCGAATTTCAAGCCTAGTCGCCAGATCCTTCGAGGCAGGTACACACACACTCACCCTCAATCTGTGCTGCAATCCTCCCCTCCTCCGGGTCCAGCCGAACGTGAGGAAGTCGACGAGGGAACAGGATCAATTTGCAGTATACACCGAGATTTAGCACCATAAATCGTAAATCCTCCAGGAACGTGGGCATTCATTCCCCATCCATGTATGAATAATATGAGGAATTGTCGTCTGAACAACATCGTGATGCTAAGAAAGTTTACAGACAACAAGGCCCCGGAGGGCATCGCGGACCGGGGCAGTTTCTGGCTCCGGCGGTACGAGAGTCTGAGTGAGCCCCGCGCCGCTGCCGGAGTCCACTTCCCTGCCGAGCCTCCGATCCATTCTCCTGATTCAGCGGGTGTTGATTCTTTGAGGTCCAGGCCAAGAAGGTTCATGATTCAATTGAGTTCAAACCACTCGAGAAGGGTTCCTGATTAGGCATTAGACTGGTAGGACTACTTGGACTCCTTATCGACGGACTTATTCGGGCCGTAGGGATAGGATGTGGAATGTCGAGATATGTTAGGTACCATGTAGTTACATAGTATTATGGACCGTACTGTAGGGTAGGTAGTATTCGATCGTAGTCACTATGGTATCCAACAATGGCTTGCAGGTTGCACGTGTGCGAGGGCGCTGTTTCACCTTCAGCAGCGACCGGGTCCGTTAAATCCGAATCACCGTCGACAATTCACTCGCATGGGTTGCTGCAAAAGGAATGACTCGCGAAAGGGGGTTGGTTGCAACTAGCCATTGAGTCCTGAACAGTCCTGAACAGTCCTGAGCACAACAACGTTCCGGGCCGGGTTTAGTCTGAGAAATGAGCGACCAATCCATTACTTGGTTGAGTTTAGTTCAGTTGGTGGGCAGCTTAGTTGGTGGAGAGGAATCAGAGGCACATGACAGGAATGACAGGGCCTCGATCAATCGGCGGGTGGAAGAATTACCGCTAACTTACTGGAATTTGAAGCCTGGAGAAATTGCAACAACCAACCCTTTTCCCTTCCGAGTCATCGGTGCCATTCGGGCGCCCTGATAGCACCAACAGCGCGGTCTTCCAAATCATTAAATCAACCCCATTCATAGGTCAACTAATCTATATTTATTGAGTAATATCCAATTTGATTGATTACGAATAGAAGACTCAACAGGCACTCAACACAACCTGCGGAAGACTCGGCCGTAACCGGACCTTCTCCATCCAAGACTAATTAGCGAATCTGAGACCTCTAATCATACTTTGATTACTTACGATGCTACCCTCCTCTACACCTAGGCCAGTCGTTCTTGTTCCTCCTTCGTTCCCCACAGGAAGGCCACGTTGTTTCTGACACCATTAAACTACCCTTGGGTTGCCGCATAGGACCGGGATGTGCCGCCAGTGAGTGAATTCAGTGCAGTGCCCTATTCCCTGTCCGTGGTTATTATTAGTGTCAAGCCTGCTTCGACTTCTTGGCACCGTCCTTGCATAGGTAACACAGGTTCATGCCCTGCCGTCCAGTATCCGACTTTGCAGCTGCTGTGTAGGAACCCGGCTGCGCAGCCCCAAAGTCAGAATTCTAAACACGGGCCGTATCAGTCGGAGAGGGGGGGTGGGAGAGGGAGACAGGAAGACCGGCAAAGTCTGAGGAGGAAAGGTATACATGCACCATACTAAGCGTCCTGCAACTTTTCACTGGTATTATCCCCCTCTCCTAGGCCCCATTGCCACGCTTGAAGGATCGCAATCCTGACCTGGGGGTCCCCGCCACGTGAAGAAGACTCTCTAGCGCAACCCGAAAGATTAAAAGATTAATACACACATGGATGGTGTCATACCCATGCACTCGGTCCCCTCAGTTCCGGGCCTGAGGCTCTCTGAATCCGGTTTCTACAATCGACATAGTACCAAGTACCTACGGTAGCTAAGCCGCCTCCTTGATCGGCTAGTTACATTCTCGATTCCCATGCACCATATTTGTCAACGAAAGTACCGTCGTCACTGGAACTAATGCACTCTACTGTAAGATCGGGTCAATCTTGGAGACAACAGCGACTCTCATTGAGCAACACCACCACCAAAATCCCGTCTTTGCTGGGATATGACATTCCGGGCTCTGATTGGTGACGGCTTGGCGTGTTGGTCGAGCGACTGGTGCTTATTATGGTGTGTAACAGCTGCAGAAAGACCGAGAGATACCGTCATACCACTGGCCCTTGAACACATGGTTGCCAGGGAACATGAGTGACAGGAACGGTGCACACCCACTCGGCAGAGATCGACGGTAGTTTCTTGACTGCCACTGGATCCGTGCCAGTTACTGGATTACATTCACACGTTTTCCACACACCTTCCCCGCTCCCCGGAAGATCGAATCTCAGCACTCCAGACCTGGCTCCTGATGTCTCGTTTCGGCGGTGGTGTTTCAACCGACTGTCCCGGTGCTTCGTGGTCGCTGTCTCACCCAGATCTTGTAGGTAAGACGATGCACGAAAGAAAAGGTTGTCGCATGCTGTCATCGACTAATCATTGCCCTGAACCGTGCAGCAATGGAAGGTAAGCACATTGTTCTCGAAGCACAAGGCGCACTCAGGCGGTACGAGGTGCAGTTGATCCTCGACATGAAACAAGCTAGAAGCCCGGTTGAAGTCACGAAGACCAAAGGGCGGCAGGAGGATGCCATCCATGCTTACGGCGAGTCTATCATTACCCCCAGAAGGGGAGAGAGAGCAAGCGATGCGATGAGGGATGCCCCCACAGCCTACAGGGCTGGACATCCTCGTCACCACGCTAGGGCGATGTCATCATATACTTCGACGCTACTAAGCCACCTACCTAGGTGTACACCATGCATGAATGTGCTTACCACATTATTCGCAGTACCTGCTAAGGTACTCACCAGGTACTGAAACGTGCTGCTCTACTGATTGAGACGGGGGCCGCTGACTATTACATCACTTTTGTCTCCATTCTCATCTGCTATACTATGTACGTGCTACCAAGGGTCTCTGCCGCGTGATATTGTCGTCTCTAGATCGGGCCATGTCGACCAGTCGTTGCAATACTTCGCGTGGACGACATTCGATTCTATTTCAAGGAACAGTCTAAGGAACTCTATTCTTCGTCAGGCGTCCAGCTTGTACGGTAATTCTCGCCGCCGTATCAAAAGATTCTTCAGACTCCGAGTGCTAAGTCTTCCTCCCGTTGTCTGCAGGCCCCGATAAGGGCTCCGACCACGAGCTTCCGGCAAATCAAGGGGGTCGCGAAGGCGCAAGGCCGCGCCCCCTTACGGAGACCATGAGACGTGGGCTTGGCAGACACAATTTCCAAAAACGGGTTGCAATATAGAGTAGCCGACGGAAACACGCCGATCCTCCAACACGTGGTTGTGTGACCAGTGCCTCTTGCCTGATCCTCCTTATATTTGATGCTTTTATATGCCAGACACGGCTTTGAATTTGCACACTGGGTGGAGCTTCATTGCTTTCTCAACAGTCGTGACATGACATCGGCCCGGATGCGAGACCACAATCTTAACGGGGCCCAGAAGAGAGCTTACATAACTTGAATACTACGTAGGTACTCTGATCGCTGAACAGTATCCATTACTCCACAAAACTAAAAAAAAATAAAAAATAAAAAATAAAAAAATAAAATTTCTCCCTGCCCGATCGATCGCCAGTGCTATGACGGCGGCGGTAAATTGCGGGTTCTGCTTGGACGACCGTTGTCGGGCTACTCCGCGAGGACGACGGATACTCAATTAATACACACCAGTCTAGAGCGCCTAGAGGCTCTTGCAAAGGATCGTGGCCAATTTCATTGTACGACCAGATCGCCATACCTACATATTTGAATCTACCCTGATGGGACTGACAATGGCATTGTAGGGACCTGCCCCCTTTGACTTATCCAGGGTTTCTCCCTCTCAACGACTACCCATTCACTGCTTATTCAACTGGATATCAAATCCCAAATGATTTGAGTGGGTGGTTCCACTTGGTTCGACGGTTAGTTCGATATGGGATCTTGGCTGGTGTGGTCCGTGGAGCTTCTGTTAACTGTTGAGCTAGACTCTCTGGGTCTTTTTCACCTTAGCTCTTGTCTAGCACCCTCAGTCATTTAGCCTAGGGCGGATAGCAATCTCCAGTCTCCAGAGTGTGGATCCCTTGAGGCTTGGATGGAAAGCCTGAACCTGATTGCTAGTCGTTGAGAGGACCGGAGAATGAGCGAGAGCCTCCATGAGTCGATTCCATCGGGTGATTGTTGATCAGTGTCTGATACCTACTAAGTAATAGACATTTCTAGACCACCTTTACGCGCTTACTGTAAGCAGAAGAGGGGGGAGAGTTCCCCACTTCCCCCCTTCTCTGTCTCTCTGTTTCTCCTCTCTCTTGTGCTAGCTGGGGAGCTCAGGGATGACGACCGTGAGTAAAGTCCCTACGAGCCCGAGACGCTTAGCACTAGTCCACGCGAGCAGACCAATCAGAAGACCCGAATCCCCAACATCGCTCGTGGTGTTCATTGGACTTCATTTTGCGTCCACCTCTTCTGCAACTTGGTACTCCCTCCAGCACTACCCAGCAGCTTTCCCCTCATCGTCGATGTCTTGAGGTTCTACCCGCTAAATCAGATCGACCTGCTAATTACCCCTGCTGGGCGCGAGACGCTCAGACTGTGGTAAGCCCTAAACAAATTGTCCAATATGTCACTGAGAATTCTGCATCCGAACTCATGCGCAGAGCCGCCAGGGCTGGCGACAGTAACGCTCCAAGACCTTTTAATCAATACGAAGTTGGTATGGCATGAGGGTGGATGGCGAAGTTCAACACATTGATGGACTTTTAATATGGCTGTTATTATGCTATTGTCCGCATTTTGCGGGTGGGGATATTTTCCTGTTCGATAACTATATCCTTCTGTTCAGGGCAATAGATTAACCCAACCATGCTGAATGTCTGGCCTAATTTCGATCGGAAGTTCTGTTATTCCATAGATCCTCAACCGTCTCCACGCCTCGTGGCGACGGGAGATGATGGCAATGGAGAGAGGGAGTTGGAGATGGAGCAGTGCAATGCTGTCCACGACTCCACGGTGGTGGGTGGACTGGTCCATTTTAGTACGAGCTGCATACCGGAATCGTATTTTTCTATTTTTTACAAAACAATCTGAACCAGTGGCCTGTTCCCCTTTCCCTTCCTAGCTCTTCCCCTCCCTCCCTTCTTCCCCCCCTCCCCCCCCCGAACCCCAACCCCAATACCTGCACTGCGCTTCAGCCGCAGACAGACTTGGAAGTTGTTGGTCTGTTTGCCCGCTGCAATTTGCTGTCGTTGTCATGACCTGTGTGGACGTTTGCAGACTTAACGGCATAAGCATAGTTTGGACGAAGACTACACACTATTCTATTGTTATCGTCGATTTTTCTTTCTTCCTTTCAGTTTCTTTATGTTTTCTTTGTTCTTCTTCTCCCTCCCCTGATTCATACTCCTTAGGATCTATCTACTTCTTATCGCCCGGTTCACTCCCTCCCCATTTTCCCGCGCCGTTATCATTCGTCGATTGGAATTAATCTGATCCTTTTGACTTTGGAAAATGAGGATGGGTCGATCCGTGAGGGTTACCCACTCGTGCTCTTAGCAGCAGCCAACATAGCCATTGCTGGCTAACCTAGTATGATCACCCTGCAGACAGAGATCATCAAGAACTGCTCTTCTGCTCGCTTACCTCTGACTACTCGGGACTAGGCATACACCGGTGGTTACATTGGCCAAACATTCCCCATGAATTTACCCAATGTATTATTCTTACGATCCTTTTTTTTTTTCCCTCTTTACTCGTAGATTTTGATTTTATTTCATTTTAGTTTAATCTTTTTTTATTTGTTTTTATTTTCCGATTCTTCTGATCTACTTTCCCTCCCCTTCCTCCTTCCTCCCCCCCCAAGTTACCCGGCGATCTTTCGGTACCGCCAGTAGTCAAAAGTTGACTTAAGCCGCATTGGGATAATCTTCTATATCATTGACTGCACTGCATCTCTGCATGTGTATTCTCACCCTCCTTCTTCTAAGCCTTCTTCTGATTCTCCATACCAGTTCGTTTCAGATCTTGACTTTTCTTTTCTTCTTTTTCCCCTAACCCGCATCTCACTGCCTCCCTCTGATTTGCAGATGCGAGGCATTTTCCCGTCATCTTTTGAATCAAATCAATTAACTCCTGATCTCACCCTTCTGGCCCGTTCCCCGATTTTGCTAGTATAGCTGCATCACAGCCCACCTGGCTCGCGACCCCCAATCTCCACACGCATAGCTCACCTCCCGTTCCTGACAAGTCTGGGTCTGTTACAGAATGACCAGGGGATCGTCTCGCTCAGGAACCAGAACTATATCTTCGACCCATTCGCCATCCGATTCTCTGTCTATCCTCACTATTCAACACAACTCTACAAAGTCAAACACTCCTGACGGTTCACATCTCAAACACCAACAGCAACTTCAATCACTTCATACCCAAACATCTTCTACCACCATCACTACAACACCACTTGTTGGCAAGCAAAACACAATCACCATGCGTCGAAGCACTACCCAACCAGAGATTCCTCTCCCCATCACATACACCCCGACTACGCATCGCATCAGCAAAGCGAAGAAGGGCAAACGGGTTCATGCATGCGAGTACCCGGGATGCAACAAAGTTAGTATACAAACCGGAAATGCAGTGTGGGCTTCAACTGACTTTTAATCAAAGGTTTTTACCAGAGCAGAGCACAGAAGGTACTTGATGAGGTGCATTCGGCTTGACTCATGCACGTGCTAACTCAATCTTTATAGACGGCATGAGTTGAACCACAACCCCGAGGCACTGTTCCGATGCGCCCACCAAAACTGCAAGAAAGCATTCCACCGTCCTGACTTGCTTGCGCGCCACATGGAAAGACAGTAAGTATCCTTTCATGTCGGAAATTCAATCACTGGCCGCTAACGCACCCCCAGTGAGCTCGAGGCCCAGATGGACACCACCGCACAATGGCAGCGTCAGAACCGCGCCTCGGTCATGTCTGAGACCTACGTGCCCAAGTGCACACCTGTGGACACCCACCCGACTCCCTATCTCACCGTCACCCAGCCCCAGAACGCCATGTCAGTAGGATCGCTTGTTGGACCGGCAATTCACCCCGACTTTTCCAGTGACTGCGGCTTGATGTGGAACGGAGTCGATTTGCATTCGGCACCCCACACCCCATTGTACCAGGGCCCTCAGATTCATGAATCGATCGAAGACAGTCGGTTTTATGCCACCCCAGACACATGCCCCTCGCCCGCCTCGGATGGCTCGCTCTCACTTCACTCCTACTCTCGATCTTCAGTGGTATCGACGCCCGTTACCACAGTTGAACCCTATCCCGAGAGTATCATCGAGCACGACTTGACCTCCTCGCCTCTTTCAATGCAATCACGGATGGGCTGCTGGGAACAGCAGGACATCAGCCTGCCTTCCATGAACATGATGCCTATTCCCCTTACAGAAGGTCTTCTTCAACCAGTATGTCTCCAAAATCCGCTTCTCAACTTTCTCAACTGACGTCAATCCCCCAGTCTCTCCACTGCGCCTACCCATCGCCTAGCTGGTCAACACAGATCCTACACTACGACGAGAATGCGCTACCGCCTGCCGCCTTCCCTCCCACCATGGGCTGGAAGTCCTGGACGATGTGAAGGGCGCGCACGAGAAGCACGAAGTAATGACCCTGATCCTTTAGATCTCACCCCTCGCCGGAACCTTAATCTGGAGGGCTTATCAGCCGTGCTTGGGAAGAATCGATTGACTTACGATCGAGATGCCTACTACGCCATCGACGCAGCGGAGCGCGCTAATGCAATAATTCAGCCTGGGCAACCAGAAAACACGAAGAAGAAACCACAGAAAAAGAAAGAGAAAAATTCTTTTTTTTTTTTTACCACCACCACCCAATCCATCCTGCAGCGAAAAGGAGCCCAAAAGTTTATTTCGTCAAAGAGGAAACAGACCCAAACCCACGTCGAACACCACTGGACTTGAGAAGAGCCCTTTCTACCTACCACCTACCTCTCAGAAGCTACCTCATAGACTCGCGTTGGCTTTCACTGCACATTATGTCATTTTCATTTACCATTTCCTTTGTCCGACTGTCAAATTTTTTTTGCACTCTTCTCTTCTCTATATACCCAATTTTGTGAGAATTATCTTTTTTTTTTTTTCTCTACAGTGTTTGCAATCGGTTTTTGCTCTTTTCCCTCCATCTCCTATGTCTATCTTTGATGCCTTTATTGAATCATGCTATCTCAAGTCAAATGCGCGATGTTGATCGACTTCGGAAATGTTTTTGTTCGCCTGTTTGGCCGGCTTGTCTTCAATCCTCTTTTCATTTTGTTTCGAACTGAATCTTTGGCAATCTTGTACAAATACTCTCTGTATATTTAGCTCTAGTCTTTCCTCTATTGGAATCAATTAGTATATATTCTTCATTCATTATCTGGATTGATCTTAGTAGACTTGTGTCTTGTAGACTGTGTTTGTTAAGTTTGGCCTATGGCGTCGGGAACTGCACGAGCCGGCTTCCGACTATCAGACTTTCTTGTGTTGGAGTGAGTGTGCTTTAGTCTTAGGTTGCCGAGGGGATTGAGACCGAACTGGGGATGGCAAGAGAAAGTATTCGTTTGATCCCACCCACTAGGTCAAAACCTTGCAGAGTTGGGGAGGTAAGTGATACCGAGGATGAGTGGACTTGCACTGATGCATGGACGAGTGTATAGTTTGGAAAAAGGGTCAATGACGAAACCTTCGCAAGGAGAGAGGACAGCATTGCTGGGCCTCACGAGGCAACAATGAGAACACATCGTGACGATAAAAGTAGTGGTTCATTTTGGTTGATCTACCTGCATTAGCAATAAACTTGCCTCAGCGAATACAGAGCCTAGGACTATTGCACCTCCTCCCCTTTCGCCGGGATCACTCTCCAACACCACCCACACCAACTACGATGCTCGCCCTTCTCCTCCCGCGTGAGATACTCTCCACTCTCTCTCTCGTCTTCATGCTCCACCACACAGGCTCCTACGACAATCCGCTTCTTTGCCTTCTGCTTCACCCTCCCTCCAATTCCAATAATCTCCTGCCGGAAATAGCCCGGCTCGTCCTCCTCGCGATGGTCCCAACTCTCGATGGTGGTGTGTCTAGAAGGGCTAGACGCATGATGTCGGTGCTCGTAGTACTGGCTGTAGTCTGGAGGGCTACCCCCGGACGCCTCGTCCACTTCGCACTCGACCTCGAGTTCAATTTCGTTGGCCGCAAGACACTGCTCCCCTCGCCCACACTTCACTCCCTGACAGCCTTCGCCGATCCCCGTGCCTAGACCGCCAAGATAAGTGCTGTAACGGGTACGCCAGGTCCACACACGACGGTATGTGGTGTCATTGCTACGGACACGGTGGCCGCATTGATGACAAAGCCAGATTGCTTCATAGCAGTTGCATGGAGTACGTTGAAAGGCAATGGCTGTTATTGTTGTTGTTCGGTTGGGCTGTGATGATCTGTGATCCGCCACGGTATGAGATAAAGAGGGCAGTGGATCGACTAAGTCGGTTAATGGCGCTGTGCGACAGGTGGTGCAGAGTCGACGAATGCGGTTCTTGTACATGCTGCTCGACGGAGGCTTGATGGTGCAGTTCTGGAGTGAACTGAGGTTAGTTCATCTACATTTGACATAAAGACGAAGAATCCCAAGCATACCCGACACACCACCTTGGAACATCGACGGCACTCCGCAACCATGTCCCGAGCACATTTGGCAACCTTGCCAGTGGTGATCCGGCCCGATGCTCTGGCATTCTGACTCAAAAGCTGCAGCACAGACTTGACGCTGTCGGGAATCGCTGCTCCGCTGTCGAGCATGTCCGAAACGGTCTCGATGTACTCATTCTCGCAGCGCAAGGTTTGTTTGATCAACTGCGAACGATACGGAGCCAGATTTGCGTGAAACTGACGACACGTTCGGGAGAGGGCATGCAATGTGTTGAGATCGACTGCTCGAGCGATTTCCTTGATGATCCTGTATCGCGGGTCAGCACAACATCAGGAACCAGACACTAGAGTAGTCTGGCCCAAGAGTATTCCATACGGATAACAGCTCAGAGCGGCCGAAAAAGCGTTCCGATTTGGGGCATATTGTTCTTCCTCAGATTCAGTTGCGGAATTGAGCGATGAATCGGCAAAATCGGCGCGGGCCGCTGGCACCTTTGTCTCGAGACGCGATTTATCAGCAGTGACTGCCAGGAAATCGGATAAGGCCGATTTTGGAGGCTCTAAGCGAGAACGCAGAAAAGTATCGGTGACGCCGGGAAACTGATGCCCGTTGAATGCGTCGTGGTCGTAGTCAACGAAGACCACCATTGGGACGATGACGGCAGAGGTACGAATTGTCGAGAAAGCGGGGATCCACACGGCTCAAGCTCTAGTAGGTGTTCAGCAGCACAATTTCGCGCAGTGAGTGGTCAGTCAGTCTCAGACTCTTCGATTCTACCAGAGGCACAGGAGCCTAGTTTTTAAAGAGAGTACAGTCCCGTAACCCGTCAATGTTGGGAGTGGAATGATACGGCTAGGAAAGATCCAGCTCCGTTCTTCGGCGCGGGGCCACCAGGGCAATGGAATTGTGGTTCGTCCACGGTGATCCAGAAGCCGTGGCGTTTGTTTGAGTCTGATGGGGATGCCACTCCCGAAGAGGATGAGAGACGGTGGGTAAGTTGTAGTTAGGGTTCTCTAGGAAACATTTGAGGATACTTGAGGTGATTGAGAGACGAGAAAGAGAGCAGCGATCATATTAGATGAGACCCTCTGAGCGCCTTCCCTCCGAGGCCCTTCTCTATCTTATCTCGATCGCGCCTCCCCGAGCGGGCAATTCCCAGCCACGACCATTTCGGGAAGGTTCCGCGATAGCACGTGACTACTCCCCGCACCGTCTAAAACAACGTTATACTCGCATACTCTTACAGTTGATTGTCTTCTCTCCTCAAGAAGTGAACCACGGCGGAACCAATGTCCTCTCCTCCTATTTCTTAAGGACTGCACCACAGCTCATCAGAACTTCAAGTCTTTGTGGTATCCTCATGCAACCACCGAGTAAGCCAGATATCACGGATACAGCACACTAGCCCCAATTAGGCAGGATGCTATGCGATAAGATAACGCCTTCGCCCTCCGGCAACATTTGGGGATTCCCCCTCACTCAGTGGGGTATTGTTGCTCTGTTTATCCTCGGCCTTGCGTACCAATAGCCCAGCAAGCCTTGTTGGAGACATATTGCTTCCGCTAGCTTCTCCATTCTCCCTTTCCTCCGTATAATATCGGGCTCTTCCCTTCACCTGCGTTCCCAAGCGCCAATTGTCCACCTCTCTCAAAACAACGACCTCCACCGTTACAATGCCGCTCAATTCCAAAGCCATCTACTCTCGACTAAATGCCGACTTTGCCCCATTCGCCAGTCGAAGGAGTACTGTGCATAGTACTAAAGGGATTGTCACCTGTACGCAGCCCCTGGCCGCAGCTGCAGGCCAGAAGATCCTCAGCAATGGCGGCAACGCGGCTGTAAGTTGTCATCCTAAACTTTAACCGATTCTTGCTAACACTTACTGAAGGACGCCGCAATCGCTGTAGGTCAGTCACGGTCACATCTATGGCAGCAAAACCAGTTGTGAACTATGTACTGACATAATGATTTTCGCATTATAGCCGCCGCCTTGAACATAACTGAACCCTCTTCTACGGGCATTGGGGGTGATATGTTCTGCCTCTACTACGATAACAAGACGAAGAAAGTGCATTCCATCAACGGCTCTGGTCGATACCCCGGCAGCGCAACATTGGACAAGATCCGAGAGGACCTGAAACTAGGCCCCGGCGAGTCGGGAAGTATTCCCATGGACAGTGTCCTTGCAGCCACGACTCCTGGAGCCGCTGCGGGGTGGGTGGACACGTTTGAGAGGTTCGGTAGTGGAAAGCTGACCTTGGAGGATGTTCTGCGTCCAGCAATTGAACTGGGCGAAGAGGGATTCCCTGTGTCTGAACTGGCATCGTATTTCGTGAGTGAAACCCATCTTTAAACTCCTCGGCAATGAGGGATGAGAGATGTACCTATCCCAATGGCGACATTGGCGCAGATGCTAAGCAATTAAAACAGTGGCACGAAAGCGAGCACATAATCCGCGCTGCTTCTCCCAACTTCAGAGAGATGTTGAAGTCTGACCCCGCGGCTCAAGACGGCTGCCGTAGCCCTCTGCCCGGTGAAATCTTGCGCAACCCAACCCTCGCACAAACCTTCCGCTCCCTAGCCGCCCATGGAAAGAAGGGCTTCTACGAGGGCCGCATCGCGGAAGAAATTGTCAAAGTCGCCCAAGATCTGGGGGGCTACATGACACTAGATGACCTGAAATACCACGCCGAGGTTGGAAGTCAAGAAACGGAAGCCATCTCCCTCAAATTCACGGGCCAAGGTATCGTTTCTAAGCAAACCGCCGGCACAACCGATGAAACCAACGAGGGCGTCGAGATCTGGGAACACCCGCCCAACGGCCAAGGGATTGTCGCCCTTATGGCTTTGGGAATACTCCAGGAGCTTGAACGCATCGGCAAGATTCCCACTTTCAGCGAAGCCCAACACAACTCAGCCGAATACCTCCACGCAATTATCGAGTCGCTCCGGATTGCCTTCGCGGACGCCTCGTGGTGGGTCACCGACCCAGACACCAACAAAATCCCCTCCCAGGACCTTATCTCCAAGGCCTACCTCGCCGAGCGCGCCAAACTGTTTAACCCTGACCGGGCCTCCGACTTGATTGACCACGGCAGCCCCGCCCACAACCACTGCGACACGGTCTACTTCTCAGTCACCGACAGCGAAGGCAACGGGATCTCCTTCATTAACAGCAATTACGGCGGTTTCGGCACCTGCATCATCCCCAAGGGGTGCGGGTTCACGCTCCAGAATCGCGGGGCCAATTTCTCATTGAACCCCGACCACCCAAACGTCCTGGCTCCGCGGAAACGATCCTACCACACCATCATTCCAGCCATGGTCACAAATGTCTCGGATGGTTCACTGCATTCCGTGTACGGCGTGATGGGCGGCTTCATGCAACCGCAGGGCCACGTGCAGGTGCTGCTGAACATGTTGGCGTTCGGATACCACCCCCAGGCTGCGCTGGATTCTCCTCGGATCTGTATCGCCGCAGGCGAGCGTATACCCGGAAAGAGCGTAGACCGCACTGTTTACGTGGAGGAAGGGATCAGCGCTGAGGCCATCGAGGGCCTAAGACGTCTGGGACATGAAGTCCGGGTCTTGGAGGGATGGAAGAGGGGTATGTTCGGTAGGGGCCAGATCATTCGGTGCCACTATGACGAGGGCAAGCTGATCTACAGCGGTGGAAGTGATTTGCGAGGAGACGGATTGGCGATTCCGATGTTGTAACCGTACGCATCTAGACATACCGTGTATCTCTACAGCCAACTACGCATCTCGATCAAGAATCAAGCAAGATTGATCATAGAACATCACTGCTTCTTTTTGTATGAAAAAAACACATGTACAGTACTTGTCTCACAGGGAGACAAGGAACAGAATGGGACAAGTATCAAGATACAATCGAACTTAAGGCCTTGAATCCGAAAAATGAGGGGGCCGCACTGATACGAGTGACATGAAGATCAAAAGCAACCATGCCCGAGTCCCAGATGCTATACCTATGAATGCATGCTAAAACGTATGATATGAATCAAAGTTGAACAGAGAAACCAAAACGGAAGTTACAAGAAAGTAATGCATATATGCAGGGGTCAAAAGACGAGTGCGTGATGGATAAATAGTGAACCGTCGGGTGGAATGGGGGAAGGACGAAATCAGTGTGCAGCAATTGCCGCCTTGAAGAGGCCTTTCATTTTGGAAGCTCCGCTCGGGGGAGGAGTGGGATCGCGACGATGTCTGTGATGGCGATGGCGAGGGTCGGTGCTGTCGCGCTGCTCGCCGCTATGGCGATGGCGGCGCTCGAGATCTCCTTCCCTCGCTTTGGCTTCGTCGGCCTGCTCGGCCAGCTTGCGGGCAGCGCGGCGGCGAGCGCGATCCTCCTCTTCGTCACGGCGGGATTCGGTGGAGCGCTCGCTGGTGCTCTTGCCTTCCTGCGAGGAACGGTGGCTGTGAGAGTGGGTGGTTGAAGGGCGCCTAGAGCGGTCCCAGACGTTGTCTGCCGCTTTGGCGGCGTTGACCGTCAGTGGGGGTCTGTTGTCCGAGGTGCCATCGGCCATGTATTTCAGGAAGAAGCGAGGCTTTGTCGTGGTGGATTCCTGGATGACATGGGACGAGGAACCGCTCTTCCGCTCGCCCTCATAGCTACCAGAGTGTGCGGAGCTGCGATGATGTCGCGGTCTACTCGAGCTGCCGTCTTGCTCGCTCATACGGCGGTCCGATCTGTCCGACCGTTCAGACCGTTCGTGACGTTCGACTCGCTCGGCTCTCAGGGATCGTTCGGCTTGCTCCTGGCGCTCTGCTCGTGCCGCCTTGTCGACCCTCTCCCTCTCAGCTCGTTCTCGTTCGGCCCTTTCAGCGCGCTCGGCTCGCTCAGCCCTCTCGGCTCGTTCTGACCGTTCGGGACGCTCGGTGCGTACAGATCGTTCATGCCGTTCGGTCCGTTCAAATCTTTCATGCCGCTCAGGCCGTTCGCGTTCGGCGCGTCTTGAACGCTCGCGTTCATGGGAACGGCGCTCTTTTTCAGCCTTCTCAGCCTTTTCGGCCAAGAGTGCTTTCTGTTTGGTCTTCTCTTCATGCTGTCTCTTGGCCTCCTTCATAGCTTCCGCCCATCGACCAGTAAGGCCACCACTGCGTTGACTGTTCTGCCGCTGAAGTGATCGATGTCCTTCAGAAGAGCTCTTGGAACGATCTCGGTCCCGTTCTACTTCAGGGGACCTCCTCTTCTTCCGTCTGTGGGCTGCTGCTGCTGCCAACCCTGCCCCTGCTGCTGCGGCAGCCGCGCCGACACCAGCTGCAGCTAAGGCATCATCGTCATGTTCGCCAGACTCGAGGTCATCCGAAGGATCTGTCGCTAGAGCCTCTTCGGGAATCCCCTTGTCGGCGCTTGTTTCATCCGGAGTAGGCTCTTCAAGAGGGGTAGGTGCTTCGGCTGGAGAACGCTCTACAAACTCAGGCTCAGAGGGAGAGCGTTCAACGAGGTTGGGTTCCACAGGAGCACGTTCTTCGATAAAGGCAGCCTCTTCAGCAGGCGTAGGGTCTTCCGCGGGTGCAGCCTCCACAACTGGAGCTGGTTTCTCGACAGGGACAGCCTCTCCAGTAGCCGGCTCTTCAGCAGGCGACAAATCTTCAACAGGCGCCGGCTCCTCAGGCGCACTTTCCGCAGGGCTAATCTCTACAATGACACGCTCTTCGACCGGTGTGGCCTCTTCGGCAGGCTCCTCCAGGGGAGCAGCGGGTTCGTCAGCGGGAAGAGACCTCTCCGCGGTGGGCTCTTCAGTAGGCGCAGGTTCCTCAGTAGCGGCTTCTTCTGCAGGTGCTTCTGCTGCAGGCTCTTTGACGGCTGCCTCTTCAGGCGTCGACTCCTCGACAATTACTTCCTCGACAATAGCCTCTTCAACAAGAGCTTCTTCGAGGTCGGCTTCTTCAACGACACCTTCGACAACAGCTTCCTCGACGGGGATAGGCTCACCCGCAGGTGCATCCTCAACAGCAGCCGGTTCTTCAACAGCAGCCGGTTCTTCAACAGCAGCCGGTTCTTCAACAGCAGCCGGTTCTTCAACAGCAGCCGGTTCTTCAACAGCAGCCGGTTCTTCAACAGCAGCCGGTTCTTCAACAGCAGCCGGTTCTTCAACAGCAGCCGGTTCTTCAACAGCAGCCGGTTCCTCGGCAGCAGCCGGCTCCTCAGCAGCCGACGGTTCTTCAGTGGCGGTCGGTTCTTCGGCAGCCGGCTCTTCAATAACAGCAAGTTCTTTGGAGGCAGCCTCCTCAGCGGCAGGCTCTTCTGAAGCGGGTTCCTCAGCAGGAGGCTCAGCAGCAGCAGGTTCTTCAGCAGGAGGCTCTTCGACAAGCACGAGCTCTTTAGAAGTGGTTTCCTCAGCGGCAGGTTCTTCAGCAGGAGGCACTTCAGCAGCAGGGGACTCTTCGGCAGCAGGGGACTCTTCGGCAGCAGGAGACTCTTCGGCAGCAGGAGACTCTTCGGCAGGAGGCTCTTCGACAGCAACGAGCTCTTTAGAGGTAGCTTCCTCAACAACAGGCTCTTTCGAAGCCGGTTCCTCAGCAGCAGTCTCGGTAGCAGGTTCTTCCGTGGCAGGAGATTCTTCCGCAGCAGCAGGCTCAGTAGCAGCAGGCTCAGTAGCAGTTTCTGCAGGAGCAGGATCTTCTGCTGCTGCCTCTTCCGGAGCAGGTTGTTCGGCCGCAGGCTCTTCAGCAGTGGCAGGCTCTTCTACAACAGCTTTATCTTCTGCGGGCGCTGGTTCTTCGGCAGCCGGCTCTTCTGCTGCCGTAGGCTCATCTGTAGTAGGCTCCTCTTGAGGAGCCTCCGCAGGGGCAGCCTCGGGCGCCGTCTCCGCTTCAGCGGGTGCTTGCTCAGTTGGCTTATCGTCTGCGGACTCTTCAACTGCTGTTTCTTGACTCGGTTTCTCCTCTGCTGCTGCGTCCGTCGCTTCGGGTGCTCCAACGGGTGTGGCTGGTGCTTCGTCTTGAAGCTCCTTCGGTGCTTCGGTAGTAGGCTCATCGGCCGGAGATTCTGCGGCAGGTTCATCGGGCTTTTCTTCTGCTGGAGTCTCTTCTTTGGCAGCTTCCTCGGCAGGAGCTTCTTTGGGCGCATCATCGGAAGCTGGGGTGCTTGAGTCTGCCTCCGGCGCCGCTTCTTCGGTTGCTGCAGGTGGTTCAGTCTCTGCTGAAACGTCATCACTCTTTTCTTCGGCCGCCTCAGCCAGTGCGGATTCTTCTGCCTTTGCAGCCTCCGTCTCAGGTTGGGTATCCGCCGGGTCTGCTGCTACCTCCTCCTTCGCCTCTGCTGGCGCATTATCTCCAGCCTGTTCAGCAGCTTGGGGAGCTTCCTCGTTGACAGGCTCGGTCTTTGCCTCCTCCACAGCCTCTACTGCATCAGCCTCGGGGGCTGAGGCTCCAGCGTTGTCCGCCGCAGGCGCGTCTCCCTCTGCTTCCTCCGTAGCAGGGGCAGCCGGTGCCTCCGCCTCTGCAGCAGCACCAGGCTGGGCCTCACCTTCCTTCGATTCCTCCTCCGGTTTGGCTTCTGCAGCTGGGGGGTCATTAGTTGCGTCGCCGTTGTCGTTTGCACCTGCATCTCCTCCACTGGGACTATCAGCATTCGGATCGGATGGAACCTCTTCTGTCGATGGGCCGTCTATATAGGGGTCAGTCGTCGCATCGAAGTCAACAATGTCAATGTTCAGATCAATGAGGTGGTGTTCTGTACCGGCTGCTGGTGTCTCTTGTTCCGCTGTAGCATCATCAGCTGCCTGCTTTTCGGACTCGACTTTGTCTTCTTCGGCGGAGGGATCGCAGTCGGGGAAGTTGTCTTCTAAGTGTACGGTTAGCTGACTTTGTGAACTGATCTTGTTTGCAGGCGTACCAGTAGTGGGAGGAGCCTCGGTAGTCTCCTCTGGTGCTGCTGCTGGGGGTGGTCTGTCGGCTGCGTCTGGGGCGGCGGGCTCTGCAGTGGGTTCCGGCTCTACATCTTTGGCTGCGTCCTCGGCGGGAGCGGCGTCATCACCTGCTGGCGTGCTGTCGCTGGCTTCCGTTGCAGGGGCATCTGACTCCGGAGCAGGTGTGTTGCTTTCCTCCTTGGGTGCTGCATCGGTGTCGTCGGCAGCAGCGGCGGGCTCTGCAGGCTCGGAAGGTGGTGTGCTTGTCTCAGATGTTTCTATACGAGTAATCAGTACGACACGAGCCTATAAGCAATAGAACAAAGGACGAGGCACGAAGATAGGGTCAAGTAGGACTAGGTTGGAGCCGTACCTCCAGACTCGGGTGCTGATGAGCCATCAGTAGCGGAGCTATCAGATTCTTCTTCTTGGGGAGCACTGTCGGGGGGTTGGCCATTCTCTGGTTCGATGGGGTTGTTGTTCTCCTGGTCCTTAGCCGGCGTCAGACCATCATCGGATGAGGCAGCAGCAACAGAATAATAACGGAATTGCATGGTCTGACGGTCGAAGGTCTGGTATTGACGCTCGAGGGTCTGATGGTATTCAAACTTGGGAAGCTCAGCATACTGGATCGGTGGTTGCTCCATTCTCATTCACTTCGGCCACCGTCTCCGGGGCGGGTTCAGCTAGGGGAGCTTGCTCGTTGGAATTTGGATTGTCGTTCACCGGCAGTCGGTTCTTGTCAATATTGTTCTTCTTCTTGCGGTTGTTGTTCTTCTTGTTACCCATTGCATCGAATCAGTGGCGAGTGTTACTGAGCTATGTTAGACTTCAGCTGATCAGGAGAGGGAGGAGGGGATATAAATTTGATCGAAGAACTATGACATACACCCGTCGGGTTCTAGATAGGGCGAAAATGACAAGGGGGTAAGAGACGAATGAACAGGGCACCAAAAATAGGGGCAATGCAAGAAGCACAGGATGTGAAACGGAGGGATATGTAAAATGTCAGGTCAAAGCAAACCTGGTTGAATTAGGTTAGAGGGCCTGGAAGGGCGAGCGACGAAGCGACAAAGGCCCGAAGGTACGCCAACGACATGAGAAGCTCCATTCCGGATTGAACGCGAGGCAACGTATCGTAGCGAATCCACTTCCCGGGGGTATGGGACATTGTCGAACAATACTCTCGGGGCTTGGGACTGGGGACGTCATGAACGATTGCCCAACGGCATCTCTTCTGATTGGGCCACGTCTCACGGGCCCAATGGCCCTGGCGGACGGACATCGACAGAGGGTCTTCTTCCGGAAGCATCACTGGGGCAGGGAAAAGCCGGAGGGCTGCCATCTGCAAAGGCTCGCAGTAGTGGTGGCGGGGAGTGGATGCGCCGTGCAGTCCGGATAGAATGCAGGCTGGACAGTCGGGAAATGGCTGCTCCGCTGAGGGAGGCCCTTAGCGTGGTGGGGGTGGTGCCACAACTCCATCGGGACCCTCTGATTGTTGTTGTTCCCCGGGCTGGTTTGCTCTTTTGCCTTTCGTTTTCCCTGTTTCCCTTTTTCGCCTTTGCTCGTTCACCTCTTTGTTTGATGATCGCTGAGGTAGATCATTAGCATGGCTGCGAGTTGATGCATTGGGGGATTTCTGCGTGCGGAGAAATGGAAACAGCAAAGGGTCAAAAACCGGCAGCTTATTTCAAGATGCAGGTGAACACGGACTGCTGCCAGGTTAAGTGATATGACCATCCAATTAAGGAGACATCAAGCTATTGCAGGCAAGCAGTCGACGACCGAGTATAGTGAGAGACCTGAATGACTCTGGTTACTCGGAAAATGGTTGACTGCGACCATCACCACTATAGGACTTCGGACTGGCATTAGCATTAGCGCCTGTGGAAGCAGTCGTAGATTCCTGCCCAACAAATGCGCGGACAGGGCAGTAGATTGGATGCATTTCTTTGTGTGGAGGAGGGAATTCGGAGACCGGGCCCCTTGTCAATTCGAGGCGACATGGTATGGGGTTGTACGTATGTACTGTAACATCTGAGAAGTGTATACTTCGGCCATCGGAAGAGCGCGATCGATCATTGAGCAAACACATCACTGTCATCATCTGAGATCATCATCTAGATTTCAGCTGTGGGCGATCTTTGGGAGACAATGAGTGAAGAACACATTGCTCTGGTACCTGATACAGTCGCGGCCAACACTTCAGGAACTTTTGTTGAGCCAGATGGGAAGAACGAGGGGGGGGGGAGAGGTCGGAGAGAGTGAATCCATCCAAGATGGACCTTCTAGTTGAAACTCCACCTGGCCAAGTCAGCAGCCCGCCGCCTTCCCGCTGGCAGATCACTGGACTGCCCGGCCAGGAATAGTGGACTTGCCGGTTTAGGCTCTTTGTCTTCTTCACTGAATTAAACCTTGAATTCTACCACCACCTGGCGGGCATGCTTCTGCTTTCCTTCTATCCATCACTTGCTTCCACCTCCCTCATCAAACTAACACGGACCAAGGGTTCGATACTGACTTCCGCTATCTTGAAAGGGCGATAACAATTTTCCGAACCCTGCAGTCTGGCACTCGTTGACCGAGACCAAAAAATCATGAGCAGGAACCAACCCGATTTCGAAATCCTCCAGTCGCACCCGCAGCGAAGTGAGGCGCGCCCGTCTTGCTGTTTTGGCAGCCCGTGAGTGGCTGTCATTGCATCCACCACCACCACTAACCCCGGCCCATGAAGGAGGAACGCCCTCAAGGATTGATGGAGCCAGAAAAGAAATATCGAGTATCAATCAGCATCAATCTCCCTTCGGAAAGTCCTTCTTGACCCATCAAACCAAAACCCCATATTTCACCCCTGTGAATTGCGGGATACCTATGGCTGCAGACTGGACTTCGCTGCCCATCCTGCGGATACACCTCCCATTGACAGCTTAGGGCGCTCGGGACAAGAAACACAGAGCGAGCAAGAAAAGGTATAGTACAGAGTACCTATCAACAGAGTCCCAATGCAATCAAACAACGAGAAAATGCAGAATACCCATTTCCCCTAGTGATGCGACCTCCACGTCAACAATTCATCTACTGTATCTACATCGCCCAGCGACCATCGGGCCTACCGACGGAGCCACGATGAGCATCATCATAGAACCCCCCCTACTCTCTAGATCTTTCTATGCGTCTCTCATCGGAGGTCACCATCTCACTCTGCTTTGCCAGCGAGCGAAGCAGAAACCCCTTCCGTCCGGTCGGTACCCTTCCCCCTGCTGCAGTTGCGTCTGCGTCACCCAAACGCAGCCCAAAAGTGTCCCCCTGTTGTATCACCCTCCCATCGAGAATCGTGAGACTTTCAGATCTTCCAAGGTATCCGCTAGTAGGGTGGTATTGAAGGGGAGAGGGAAGGGCAGGTAGTCGTCGCACACAATAGGATCAAAGTATACGAAGTAGTAGGTAGCTACATTCTCTACAGAATTACCTCATGCTCCGACAAATCACGCCAGTAGTCAACCCACACAGTATCTAAGCCAGACAAACAAAATAGGAGATCAGATGCAGCGGGCCGATAAGTCCGGTTTGCGTCCTTCAACTCTCTCCCATTCCATCCACACTCTGCCGCTCTGCGTGGCCAGAAACCGTTTGATAGCGTGGAGATTATTGTCACGCGTTGAATCTCTGCCGATAATCATATGGAATATCTCAATTCTTTTCTTCCTTACTGTAACAGTAACTACAGTACGGAGTACTATCCCATGGTTTCGCTTATGCATGTTTCCGCTTGGGACCCGACAGATGAAAGGAAAGGCGGTCCATGCTTCCATTATTTTTAATTTTTCTTTTCGCTTCGTTCTGGCTGCAAATGATATGGTACGAACTATAGAGGTATGTCAGTTCGTGCATACAAGTTTTACGACCCCAAATTTTCCACCGTCAATTTGTCTTCATGGCGCTGCTGTCTACCTAAGCTGTGGACTCCGAGACTTTTGGGCTCCTTGTGAGTTAAGCAGCAGCAGCAGCAGCAGCAGCACCCAGTGGGGGGAATGGCCAATGTGTAAGGTAAAAATAGTTCCGAAAATGCTGAAGACCGGAGGTAGTCTGACAGCGCTTACTTTCTCTACCTGTCATCTCATGCGAGGGGTGTTAGTTAAGGCATCATCTTGGTCGTTGAGTTTAGAAACCTGAATTAGGCTATTCAGCTGAAACATTTTTCATGAGGCTGTTGCTGATCTTCAGCTCCCTCTCACTCGCATTGACATGACAAGCAGGCATTAGCTACCCACTTGACGCCGAATGACATCGACTGCTTCGTTAACAAGCAGGCAAAGTATCCACGACCGGGCAGAACATCTTTCTGGAACATTCACATTCTGTCATCACTAACTCTAAAAATAATATAGCCATGCGTTGGGTATCATCATGCTGTGCAAGTTTTCTGGAATATGCTGATGTGATCGTCCAGAGTTGATCACCTGTTTTGTGGCACTCATACTTGGGCCTGGACTCAGCTTCACGCAAAATCCCCACTGAGACTCAAATGCTTCTGCAGTATAGTCCACAAAGCCTTATGCCGACGTCAGCCATGTCCATGCCAGAGCGCAGTGGACCCTTGCCGACGGAAGCCCAAGATCTGGACCCTAATACCCAAACTAACGTCAAAGCCCTCTATCGAATATAAGAGATGTCCACAGCCTTCTTATATAAGATGTCATTTCCTGAGCGCGTCCATGGATTTCCTCCACCGAGGTCCGTAGATTCTCATCACAAAGAGAACCGAGCTGCTTGCGAAAGCGACCAGTCCAAGAATAGTGAAAAGCCATCCGTTGCCAATGGCATCAATGATCGGCGCAGTGACCACAGAGCCCACACACGAGAAGATGTTCCGCATGAAATTATTGAGAGCAACTCCCGCAGATGACTTCTTGGGCATGAATTCAGTCAGCATCGTCGTTGCCATGCCAAAGATGAGCATGGAGCCGACACCAAAAAAGAAGTTCGCAATCATCTACCCGAACCTATTAGTGAGACATCAAGGCAAGTTGTGTATAATCAGGAACAGTGACATCTTGAGTCTGTAACTGAGAGTCTTGGGGCATTAAACATACCGGCGCCAGCCAGAACACCCCCCGATCTGCACACCAGCCATACCAAATCAACCCAGCAGGGTACAAGAAGGCTCCGAGCCAGGCGTTCTCGCGCATGCGATCTTCAGGGTGGTATATCAGCTTGCCATTCTCGTCGTACCTCTTGGCTTTCTTGGCCTCTCGCTGCATGATGCTGTCCATCCAAAGGCCCCCAAAGGTACTGGCAACGACATAGCCCAACGAGTTCGGAATATAGAGAAGACCAACGATGATCGTACTGAAGTTATACGGGCTACCTCCGAACGTATGCTCAACACTGACATTGAGTACATACAGCGAGCCGAAGGTGATACTGGCGTAGTAAACGGTGAGCAGGACGGGGGGATACCGCAAATAAAGGATAATCTTGAGAGGATCCAAGAACACCATTTTGAGATACTTCAACCATTTCGTGGTAAAGTGAACAACTTGCCGGGAGGAGACATGACTCAACTGACGATCCATCGGTCCCGATTGCTCTTCTTTGACTTCTTGTACCTGGTTCGAAGCGGCCAAGGTTTCAGGGAGCGCGATAAAGATAAGTACGACGGTAATACCTCCCCAGACTGCCAAAAACCACAAGGTACTTCTCCACCCCCATCGCTCTGCTAGAGCCCCACCAACAATCGGAGCTAACAATGGCCCACACAGTGGTCCTAGATAGAAGATGTTCATGGCGCGCCCTCGTTCCCTTGGATCCCAAAGATCTGCGATGGTTCCTGCGCCGACCGCCTGGACCGAGGCAGAGGCACCGCCACTTAAGAGTCGCAAGACGATAAGCATAGCTATTGAACTAGAGATGGCACACAGTGAGTTGAAAATAACAAAAAGAGTGAATGAGACTAGATAAATCGTTCGTCTTCCGAGTCTTTCGCTGAAAGAAGACCACCACAGCGGAAATATAGACATGCTCAGCATGTATAGTGAAATCGACAGATTTGTGATAGTAGTCGAGGTACCTAGTTCTTTTGACACCTGAGATAGAGAGGCTACGAACCAGTCAGAGTGGGCTTGGCGTCAGCGGTTTGAGAAGACTTACGGAAAAAGATCGAGCTGCCCATGGGAGCCGCAGCCCCTGCCACTGCCACGATAAAGGTGATAAACCATTTCGTTTTCCGAGGATAGATCTTGGGATCTTCCACCTCTGCTAACAGCGTGAGCTGTCCGAAGAGTCCCCTGCGCTCCAGTCGGGGTACCACGACTGGCTCTTCTTGCTCTTCGTCAGAAGTGAGAGATGAAGCATGGTCTTCTTCATCTTTACCTTCCATCACTGGTGAGTCATCTGAGCCCTTGTATCTGGATTGGTTGACAACGTTCGTCTTGATGACATTATTGGACGGTGCAGCATCGCGGTGAGTCTCGCCGGCATTGGCAAAAGATTCGATGGCCTCGGCTTCGTGGATACTCTTCCCTGCCCCCATGATCCATATAGATATCTATCGTGAGGCTGTAGATATATTGACAGTCGAAAACGAAGCCCTGAAGCTGTGCGTGGCAGTGTAATTTTAAATGGCGCTGTGTTCCAAAGTTAAGCCCGGAATGAACTATAGTCGCTCTTCTGTCTTTGCCCTGGGTCTGGAATGAGCGGTAATGGGGTAGATATGTCCTAGACCCAGGAGGGAAGATAAATGTTGAACAGAGAGCAAGCGAAAAGACTATGCATAAATACGCTCTTAAGCGGGGATAGTCTGGCTAGTGGTTGGGTTTAAATAATGCCTTGTTAACGAGTCGACTCTCGCTGGCCATTGTCGAGCTGCGCGAGAGTAGGTCTTGATCCTAAGTATGCATGGCAGACAGAAGAAGACGAGAGTAGGAACAGAGAAGACTGAGCAGACGAAATTGTAAAGATTGCTTAGTGTTGTTCAGGTTATCTTGCATGGGTCCCAAACAGGCAGGCGAAAACCTCCCCACTTTCCCTTCCCTTCAGTGGAGCGGGCTTCGTTATCAGGCTCTCTGATTGTGTGCTCCATGACTCAGTTCATTTCAGTAGAAAGAGATTTTCTACCTTTCGGAACGGTTTAATCAGTACTAGGTAAGCAGCACACCATTCCTGTAGGTCAAGTCCTAATCAAAAGGTTCAGTCCTAGGCCAGTCAATGCATACTATGTATGCCGTTCCATCCGAGAGCTCCAGTCGGAAGGCTTAATGCGCGGGCATTGCCGCCCTCCATCCAACTTACCGAGGTCAATGCCCACCTTCAAAGTGGGGATGCTGGATTCTTATCCGAGTCTGTCAGTGCTTGGTTCCAAATGTCCCGTCTGATCAGTGGTGAGCATTCGTCCTTGCTCAATTGAAGTCACAGGACATGATATAAAGAGGATTGGCATGATTCCAGAAAGCAGCAGACATTCTTCTACGAAAGCACATTCCCGATCGCCAAGGCCCCTAATGCAAAGCGACAGTATATTTCCTATCGATGGCCACTGACAGCTTGGAACCTGGACATCGGTACAGTACAACCAGGAAAAGGATCCCTCTCATTCTCGCCACGCAAACATACAGTGGGATATGGGGACACCTTCGAGCTGTGCACACTCAGATATAAGCAGATCACTTGGGGAGGATATGCTTGATGGTGAGAGCGCTGGTTGTCTCAGCATCGCCTAAGATCAAGTACGTAGTACTAACCATGATTATGTTTCAAACGATTGGAAGCATAGACATAACCCCACAAGTTCCATATTGATATAAGCTTAAGCTTCTCAAATAACATTCATCCCGGTGAATACTACAAGTTCCAGTCTATTCAGCCTCACTTATCCGATAACAATGCTTCAGAAACAGACATGAAGCCTTGGCTCCTTACATCCCTGCATCAATTTGGAATCTCGGACGTTATCATAGATCAATTGACTAATTTATTATGGTCGACTAGCATGCCATCCAGTTGCTGTGCATCTTGAGGGATAGACGTTGGATTGAGTTTCTGTGGATACTCTGTATGACTCGGATCCGCCGGTTCGAGTTGCCCCGCGCACGACAGTCAAACTACCTCGAGCTTGACTGGCTTCTTGGACACATTCACCCAACAAGCCAGGATTGTCCTCGATTCAGAAGAACATTCGTGGGAACGTCAAAATCACATCCCTGAATCACCTACGCTCTACATCGTTCGAAGACACGAGCACAATGTCGGGCCCAGATAAGGCTGCCATACAGCGAAAAGTCATGGATACACTGGCAAAATACCAAGGCGATAACTATGTCGACGGCTGGGCCGAACTGTGGAATTCAACTGAACATCTGCCCTGGGACAAAGGCGCCCCTCATCCTGCATTGGAGGATACGCTCACGCAGCAACGCGCGACCATCGGAGGCCCACTTGCCACAGATGCACAGGGGAAGACCTACAGAAAAAAAGCATTGGTTCCCGGCTGTGGCAGAGGAGTGGATGTGCTTCTCCTTGCCAGCTTTGGCTATGATGCCTACGGATTGGAATACAGTGATGCTGCAGTCAAGAAATGCGAAAGCGAGGCAGCTCAGAATGGAGACAGGTATCCCGTCAGAGATGCTGAGGTTGGCCGAGGTAAAATTACCTTCGTCCAAGGGGACTTCTTCAAAAATGACTGGCTTGAGAGATTGCAACTGCCGCTTAACTGTTTTGATTTGATCTACGATTATACAGTAAGCCTCTGTGGCCCTTACCCCTGTTTTACGCTCATCTGAGCCCGTCCATAATGGCGATGACTTCGGCTTACTGACGTTCGAAGTTCTTATGCGCACTGAATCCGACGATGCGACCAAACTGGGCTCTGCGACACACGCAGCTCCTGGCGCCTTCACCGCGCGGCAATCTGATCTGCCTCGAATTCCCAAGGCACAAGGATCCAGCGCAGCAAGGTCCCCCTTGGGGTCTCTCATCGGAAGCCTACATGGAGCATTTGAGTCACCCGGGTGAAAAGATCCCGTACGACGCCCAGGGTCGATGCAAGATGGATCCCCTTCGCGAACCAAGCGAGCACGGTCTCGAACGCGTTGCGTACTGGCAGCCTGCTAGAACACATGAGGGTGGTAAAGACGAGAACGGGGTGGTTCAGGATCGAGTCTCCATCTGGCGCCATCGATAGGTTGCTCGTGACCCGAAACTGGTCCTTTGAGATGGATACACATCATCATGAATCAGTCAATCGCTTGACGGATCCACTGGTCTCGTTCGCTCAAATTGACTCTCGCTTCTGCTTTTTTTTTCTCTATGACTGCTTTGAAAGTGCATTGTAATGCTCCCCGAGCCCATATGTATGCCTGTAGTATGCCAGCCAGATGACCCGCTTGCTCCTCTCCTCGTCATCAAGCTCATCCGCTTCGCCCGGCTCTATCTTTTCGATCCTTCCATCGCCTTGTATAACATTGATCTCAACACCGTATGCCCTGGCAAGCGCCTGTAGTTCAAGCTGTCCACCCCATTCGGCCGTCAACTTGATCTTCCTGGTATACTGATCGAGCGGTTCCTCCATGAAGGCCTCGAAGTCATCCTTGTGTTCGACGATAAAGTCTGCCGCCACCGCCCGGACCGCTCTGTATCCATCATGCTTCGGGAAAGTCACCGTTTCCACACGCGACGAAGTGGGACCCTGGAGAATCATGCGCTTTGGATCCGGCTTGAGACCCAGACCCATTTCATCCAATTGACTCGCAATAGCGGAGTACAGACAGTGTCCATCCGGGTTGATCTCAATCTCCTTCAGCTGCAGGCGTTTGAAAACGGCATCCATGACCTCCTTCTCGTTGCCGCGATGGTCAGTCTGGTTCGCGGCCTCCTCCGCTGCAATTGCCGACTGGGCCGCTTGCTCGGCGGCCCGACGCGCGAGACGAGCCTTCTGACGATTCGGCTTCTTGGGACGTGGTCCGGAGGCCTGCGGGGTGCTGCTGTTGGGGGGCGATGAGGTCGTCGTCGTCGTCGGCGTGGCGTAGGAGCTATCTGTGGGGATATCTACTAATGAATTGTCGACTTGGTCTTTGTCCGTCGCTTCGTCATCGGAATTCTTGCTGTTGTCGAGACTGAGGTCCTCGAAGCCATCTACGGGCTCGCCGTTAAATCCCGCAATCTGAGCCCGTTGTTGCTCCGTGAGCTCTCGCTGCATCCGGTCGCATTCATCGTTGATGCCTTTGCGGGTTTTCTTGGTGGCGGATTTCTTTTTCTGGGTGATTCTCGCTTGGAGGTCTTTTTGTTCCTTGCGGTGTTTGGCTAGAAGCTCGTCCATGGCTGCTGTGTTGGTGGATGCGGTACACGAGGTATCTAGAATGAAAAGAACTTCGATTATAATATGTATAGACTCGAATTGCTCGACTGCAATATGCAAGAAGGCCGTAAGCAAATAAGGGTATCGTTCCCAAGAATGGGCTTGAATTGCTGAATATCAAACAAGAACTTGAAGGAGGCTGAAATTGCCCCGCCACTGCAGAATGCGCTCACTTTTCGCGGTCTCCGTCGCTCCCGACCTTAAACTCCGGCCTCAGGCACCTATCACTAGGTCCGGATCCATGTAACGCGAGATACCGGGCATCGGTTTGAATACGCGAGCCACAGTGAGCTTCTGAGGAACTGAAGAGACAGAATATATATCCACACAATTTTCAGAAGAATGCAAGCGACAAGTGAGTACCTAGACTCTTTTGACTGCGTCACGGCTCCTCCATCCCGGACTGCCTCGGCATCTTTTGCCAAGCCGCTCAGTAATCGCTCGGCCGTCGGTTGTTGGTTACCCCAAGTTCCTCTCTCCGCATTGTATAAGGAGTCTTCTTCTTGCGCCAGCTCAGTTTTGTGATATTTTCAGCGTGACCTGTCTCCTTCATTGAGTATTCTGTATCACTAACATTCTTTGAATCTCAACCTGATAAGTCTACAACTTGAGAGCGACCCACCATGGATGTTCAGAAACTCTTCGACGTGAAGGTCAGTCACATCATACGAAATAAGTCGCCGGCGGCCCCTTTTTCGAATTTGAGCGTCGTGAATGCTAAACAGAACCTCAGGGCAAAGTAGTGCTGGTCACTGGCGGTGCCAAAGGCATCGGCCGCATGATCTCGGAAGGTTATGTAACCAACGGCGCCACCGTCTATATTTCCTCGCGAGATGCGAAGGCCTGCGAGAAGGCTGCCAGTGAGCTCAATGCGCTTGGCAAGGGCAAGGCCTATGCTATCCCCGCCAATTTCTACCAGGAGGAAGACATCAAGAAATTGGTAGAAGAACTCGCCAAGCGAGAGAGCAGTAAGTGTTGACCTTTTCATCTTTTCAAGGGGGGAAGAAGTATGTGGCTCACCCCATTTCGCTAGAGCTCCATATCCTTGTCAACAATTCGGGATCGAATTGGGGCGCCCCGTATGATGAGTACCCGTCTTCTGCATGGACGCGAGTCCTCACCCTCAATCTCCACCGGGTGTTCGACCTGACCAAGCTGCTCACCCCGCTGCTGGAAAAGGGCGCTGCGCCTGGTGACCCGGCTCGGGTCATTAACATCGGTAGCATCGATGGATTGAGAGTCCCGGCGCTGGAGACCTTTGCCTACAGTGCTAGTAAAGCTGGCTTGCACCATCTGAGCCGAGTCTTGGCTAGTCATCTTGGTAGGAGGAATATCACGTATGTTGTGGCTCCCCAGCCCCGGTTGTGTGGCTGCTCATGGAATCCGAACTAATACAATCATCATCTTCTGTAGGTCGAATACTCTGGCTTGTGGTCCTTTCCAGAGTAAGATGATGGCTGCCACCCTGGAGGCGCATCGGGAGTCCATTGAGGGGAATATTCCTCTGGGTCGTATCGGAACCCCGGAGGATGTGGCAGGGGCTTGTCTGTTCTTGGGTAGCCGGGCTGGCTCATATATAAACGGAGCTACTATCACTGTTGACGGTGGTAGTGCTGTTGCTTCCAAGCTGTAGTTAGTATGGTTGATGTTTTCAAAGTATGCAATGGAACAGCGCGAGGACAATTGAAGTTTGGTCGCAATGAAAGTGAATTAGGCCATGATTTGTAGATGAGCACTCAACGTGACTCTGGGAATTGTGAGCACCTGTCACTAAATGAATTGGCAGATACTAAACCGCCCAATACCACTCTTAGTGCAGAAGATGCTTCCCTCGCATTGACAATGGCATTATAGCATATTTTGAGGCGCGTCTCCGTTGAGCCTGGCAATGTCCTGCATCGCAATGATATGCCACCAATATACACTGATCCGAGAGATACTCACATAAATTCTTTCAATTTGTTCCTTATGCATGCAATTTAGTAGAGCAAAGTATGTTACTCATCAGCAACATATAGTGAACTATGTTGCCCCGTCATCAACCGGAATGTTTACAAGCTTACATGCATGTGAGCGATAGTTCGAGAATGATTCTAGGCAATTATCGTGACCGATCTACTTCCGCGGAAAAGGACGATCCCACTCCCGCCTCTCTTCATCAAACTCATCCCATCAGACAAGAAAAGAGCGATTTCGAGTTCCGCAACAGCACAACAAAATGAGAAGGGAAATTCGAACAGCCTAATATTTTGACCGTGCGGTATTTTGATAACAATACCTTTTCAAGTCGATCACCAGTCAGTCAGTCAGCATGGAGGAAGGGTAAGACAGGTCTCCGGTTCATGGTTCGTGATTCCACTGTTGGCTTGATAAGGCACTCCATCAGCTTATAGTAAGCACGCCGAGCAGCATAGTCTGGAAACTAACGACCCGACACTCTGCCACAGAGTCACTATCATCAATATTGGGTTGACAACCACGGTCAGAACAGCTCAACCTCGACAAGTGATACATTTGTCCTTGGCAGCAGAATGTGACTCTGCACCTCGGAATTGGCTTTATCTTTAGGCTTTGCCGAGGCCGTTCAGTTGCCCTCCCGTTATGCCGGAACTGAAAGCTCTGCCATGGCATTGATCTGATACAATTGTCGCTGCAGAGGATATCGTTTTTGGAATCCCGTTAGGTATTCATCAAGACTTGACTGCCACCTGCTCAGCAATGATTGAGCTACCCAACGATTTCCACCGCAATCAAGGACAGCAGGATTCCGTGTGCAATGGAACGGAGTGATGATGATTCGAACGTACTACCAAACCATGGATGGCCTTAGCATCCCGATCTTGTCGATCTTACACTATACTTCCCCGTGATAATTCTGTTGAGAAACGCTAGAAGTCCAATGCTAAGTCGGATCTGGTACGACCGCAGCGAGGGTGCATGGACCAAATCGATAATAAATCCATGCTGCAGGTGAACAAGATGCAAGCATCCTACCCCAACGGCGGAAATGGTCTTCAACCTTGGTTCAATTACTTCTTTTGGGCTTCCTTGCTTCTCTCTGGCTCTGTCATGTGCTCGTTTTCCATGTAAGTATAGAACAGGTGGTAGGTGAAACGCGTCCACCTCACCCTTACCTCAACTATCAGGGACACAATGTGGTTCCCCGCTGCCGATTTCTCTCATCGCACTACGATCCAACGCCACGTCAAGAACGCAGAAGGGAAGCACGACTGTCGCTCTGAAATCGTTCTGAGTTCTGTGAGCAGGCAATTGACAATATGGTGCCCATCACTATCGATCTCGACGCTTCGGAAAATTTCGCACCGGTCGGTACCTCGCTGGCTTATCATCATTGGCACCGTTCAGTGCGCACCGCGGGCGAAATGACAACAAGAAATGGCTATTGAGTGGAGCGGCGACATCATCGGTTCGTGGCGTCATAGTCTCCAAGGGAACCTCATTCTCTTCCAGTGCCTTCTGATGTCCCGTCCACTTCTACTTCTCTCTTCGGACATTTCATTGAACCCTGTTGTCACAAAAAAAGATACGAATTCAGACCAGCCCGACAAAGCCTTTTGCCCCTTTTTTTCTTATTTACAACAATCCGTTTGAGCTTCGTTGTTCGAGTGCACACCGCTCCTTTTTTCCCCCACGCGATAAGTTATAACCCTCAATTACTCTGAAAGAATCCACCCCCCGAGTGTGACGTATCCCGAGACTCCGCGGACGCCAAAACTACAAACTCGTGGCCAAAAATATTATTCCTCTTACACCCTCCAGATCCATCCTCTTTGTTCAGCTGCACCTCAGCAGACCTTCCCACCACAACTGCCTCTTGTCCTACTTCTCTTTCCACTTATAGGAAGCATTCCCTGTGATCGTGATCCCAGCTGGTAACTACCGATACGAACCAGCTGTAGTTCCCAGCGCCACGCACGAGCCTAGCGTCGTCAATTATTGGCATCCTTGTGTTACCCCTTTAGCCGGCACACCAACAACCCCTGCTCCGATCTTTTCTGGCCCTAGTCTTTTTCCTTCGTCCGACTTGTCACTGAGCAGCATTTTCTATCCTCCATCTTACATCCCCTGATGATGAGCTCGTCAAGTGCCCAGCACCGCCGAAACGCTTCGCTTGATCCATTTTCAGACCCTGACATCTACTACGGAAGCGAAGATGGCAATGCGCGCATCAGGGACCGCAAGCGAGCATTCTCCTCGGTGCGTACACTCAACCGCGTCCAGATAAGCCTAGGACGAGCGTGACTAACCATTTCTCATTATCTGCCACAGACTCTGAAATCCTTCAACCGGGAAGACATCCAAGAGTTCCTGGGAGGCGGTTTTCCCGCTAGAAGAGCCAGTCACGGTACGCACACGAATGATTTTTGGCTGCAACAAGGTACCTTTGACTGACGCATACGGTCCACAGATGAGACTCCGGCAAACCCCCGCAAATTCCTCATCGATGTCGATAAAACACTGCACGACCTTTTGGAGCGGGAAGACACGGATCGGAACATGCAAATCACGATCGAAGATCTCGGCCCCAAGGTATGTGTGAAATTTTGAATTTCTGGTCGAATAACGGCTGACATGGGTGAAGGTGTTCTCCGTAGGAACGGCTGCATCGTCCGGTTACAACAGATTCGACGTGCGAGGCACATACATGCTCTCCAATCTTCTCCAGGAACTCACAATCGCCAAGGATTACGGTCGGAAGACTATCGTTCTGGACGAAGCTCGTCTGAGCGAGAACCCAGTCTCTCGTCTTTCCCGTCTCATCAAAAACTCGTTCTGGACTGCTCTGACCCGGCGAATCGATGGATCAAACATTGCAGAGGCTGGCAAGGACCCCAAGGACTGGACCGATGATCCCAGACCTCGGATCTACATTCCTGTGGGAGCTCCCGAACAGTACGGATACTACAAGAAAATTGCCGAAGACTATCCTGAGCTCCGCCTCGATGTTCAGATGTTGTCGGATAACATCACACCCGAGTATGTCAAGGATCTCAACGGCAAACCTGGAATGCTGGCCCTGGCAATGGACAAGAAGGTCGACGAGGCGACCCAAAAGACAGAATACACCGGAGTTCCATTCGTAGTCCCAGGAGGAAGATTCAACGAGTTGTACAACTGGGATAGTTATATGATCTCGCTCGGTCTACTTGTCAGCAACAGAGTCGATTTGGCCAAGGCCATGGTGATCAACTTCTGCTTCTGCATCAAGCACTACGGAAAGATCCTGAATGCTAACCGATCCTACTATCTGATGCGCTCTCAGCCGCCATTCTTGACTGATATGGCCCTGCGTGTGTATGAACGGATCAAGAACGAGCCTGATTCTATGGAGTTCCTCCGAAATGCCACCCTTGCTGCTATCAAGGAGTACTACAGCGTCTGGACGGCGGAACCGCGGTTTGACCCAGTATCAGGCCTTTCGAGATATCGTCCGCAAGGTACCGGCGTGCCTCCTGAAACGGAGCCGACCCACTTCTACCATATTCTCACTCCCTACGCTGAGAAGCACGGAATGTCTTTCGACGAATTCGTCCAGGCCTACAATCACCGGGAGGTCCTGGAACCAGAACTCGACGAGTATTTCTTGCATGATAGAGCCGTGAGAGAGTCCGGACATGATACCAGCTACCGCCTGGAGAGAGTCTGTGCCGACCTCGCCACGGTCGACCTGAACTCCCTGTTGTACAAGTACGAGGTTGATATCGCCCGGATCATCCGCACCTACTTCAAAGATAAGCTGGAAATCCCACCTGAGTTCCGGACGGAGGCTACCAAAGACATCTCCTTTGAATCCTCGTCTGTCTGGGATCGTCGGGCAAGACGTAGAAAGATGCGGATGGACACCTATCTTTGGGATGAGGAGAAAGGCATGTTCTTCGATTATAACACTAAGAAGCAAGAACGGACGAGCTACGAAAGTGCCACCACCTATTGGGCGATGTGGGCAGGTCTCGCGACACCGCAGCAAGCGTCTCGGTTGGTCAAGGCCCTTCACAAATTCGAAGCGTATGGTGGCCTGGTGTCCGGAACGGAAGAGTCGCGGGGTGTCATCGGACTGGATCGTCCCAATCGGCAGTGGGATTACCCCTATGGCTGGGCTCCTCAGCAGATGCTTGCTTGGACCGGATTGATCCGCTACGGCTACCAAGAGGAAGCCGAACGACTGAGCTATAAGTGGCTGTACATGATCACCAAGGCCTTTGTGGATTTCAACGGGGTGGTTGTCGAAAAATACGATGTTACTCGTCCCATTGACCCACACCGGGTGGATGCCGAGTACGGCAACCAAGGCGTGGATTTCAAGGGAGCTCCCCGTGAAGGGTAAGAAGTCCCGAGCTGGACGACTTTGATACTATTTTTCATGCAGGTCACTAACTCTTTTCCCTCTTAGGTTTGGCTGGGTCAATGCCAGTTACGTATACGGACTGGAAATCCTCAACGCCCATCAACGACGTGCTCTCGGAGCCATCACCCCTTACGAAACGTACAACAAGGCGATCACCGTGCAAGATGATGTGCTGTAAACGCAGCGCGTTCGAATAGTATCACTAGCAATGATTGTGACTCTGCCTCGTGACGAGACTTTGGAGCTTTCGATTTCTGACATTCTTGGTCAATCTTGGATACGTTGTTTCGTTCTGCGGTCTCGGATTTTTGAAGGGATTTTAGAAGGACCCTGAAAAGCGGTGGGAATAGAATACAATTGTTTTGGTACAGGTTCAATGCTCGATGTGTTGTCGATTTCTCAGTCTGGGAACCAGCAGCGGAAGGGAGCTTGTCAAGACTTGGAGGTTGCGATTGAGGATGGCTTGCTTGGTCAATTGAAAGTTTATAATGTGCTTTCTTTCTATGGCTGATTGAAGTGATGAGTGATGATGAATTGAATTTGAGCCAGCGTATTTTTTTGTTCGCATTCGGTGTCTTTGCAATAAAAGGGGCGAGTCAGTGAGTGGACCGCTGTCAGGTCAGTGCACTAGAAGTAGGCTTTTTCTTTTTTAAAGTTCTGACCATCGTATCTCTTCATTTCCGGACAGGTCTTTATATTACTTCTCAAACTGCCCATTTGGATCCTCCTGCGTGCTTATTACTGGTGTGATCGAATGTCCATGCAGGAATTGAAGAATGCCAACCCACCAATGGCCATGGGGAGTCCGGGGCTAAAATAAAAGGAGACTGTAGAAAGAGAGAGTGTGTCAGTGTGAAGACTAGCCTAAACATTAGCCTAAACATTAGACTCGCCCGACTAAGTTAAGTGACAGAACCCACCAGATGGTGATATTCATTCAACCATTCAACCTTCAAGTCTTGCTTCAATGGTTGCGCCGAGCAGCCGCGGTCCGTCCAAAGCGGGGAATGGGAAATACGCCGACCTTGAAAGTTCATGTGCTTTCAACTCCTCTTCTACTACTAGCTAACTAGTAACTAATGCTATGGATCTTCCCGTACTCTCTCGTCGGTGCAATTCCTCCATCCGGTCGCTTTCTGGGTCTGCGACACCATGACGATCATTGTGCTTGTTATTTAATTCATGATGATCACCCCCTGTCTGTCGCTCGTTTCTCCGTACTTTTCAATCACCTAATCGCCTTTTCTTTCTCTTCTGGCTGGTGCTCATCTCCACCTCGCAATAACTTCCGCCATATCCGCTCCCCTCCCTCCACCCCTTCCTTGTCCAACTACCACCGTAACAATGGGCGCATTGGATATTCCCCCGTTCGAAAACACACCGATTGAAGACATTCAATCTCGGGTCGCCACGGTGCGCAAGACCTTCAATGAGCACAAGACCCGCGATGTGGAGTACCGGCTGGTCCAACTCCGCAAGCTGTACTGGGCGTGAGTTTTCATGGGAGAGATCAGAGAGAAGACAGGGATGAGGGCTCGTATCGCTGACCCGAGGCGTTGAACAGTGTGAAAGACCATCTAGAGGAGATGCGCGAAGCGCTACGCTTGGACCTCGGCCGACCAGACTTCGAGACCGAGCTCGGCGACACCAACTGGGTTCTGAATGATATCATCTTCGTGTGCCGGAATCTGCAGAAATGGGTCAAGGATGAGAAGGCGGAGAACATTGATATCACTTTCAAGTTCGTGAACCCGAAGATCCGAAAGGATCCAATGGGTTGCGTTCTGGTTATCGGGTATGTCCCTCACCCTCAACCTTGCGCTCGGTGACGGTCGGTCGGTCAGATTTGCTAATATTTGCCGGAATGATGCTGCTAGTCCTTTCAACTACCCTTTCCAGCTGACCCTGGGTCCGGTGATTGGTGCTATCGCGGCCGGGTGTACTGTGGTGGTCAAGCCGAGTGAAAAGTCCTCGCACAGCGCAGCCGTGATTCAGCGGATCATCGAGGCTTCGCTCGATCCGGAGGCGTACACGGTGGTGCAGGGAGGAGTCCCCGAGACGCAGGCGCTCCTTGCCGAACGGTGGGATAAGATCTTTTTCACCGGTAGCGCCAACGTCGGCCGTATCATCTGCAAGGCCGCTGCGCCCCATATGACCCCCGTCGTGCTGGAGCTGGGCGGTCGCAACCCTGCTATCATTTCTAAAAACGCGGACCCTAGGTTGGTGGCGCGTCGGATGCTGTGGGGAAAGATCACGAATGCTGGACAGATCTGCACGTCGCAGAACTACATGCTCATTGAGAAACCCATTCTACCGGCTGTAGTTGATGAATTTAAGAAGGCATACAACGAGTTCTTCCCTCGGGGAGCGAAGAACTCTCCGGACCTCAGTCGCATCATTGACGATGCCTCTTTTCAGCGCATCAAGAATATGATCGACAACAGCAAGGGCAAGATCCTTCTGGGAGGAACGATGGACGAGAAGGAGCGCTTCATCGAGCCCACGCTCATACAGATCGATTCGGTCGATGACTCCTTGGTCGCGGAGGAGAGCTTCGGCCCCCTGTTGACCATCCTCCCGGTCGACAGCATCGACCAGGCTATTGAGATTGCCAACGGCGTGCAGTCTACGCCTTTGGCGCTCTACCCATTCGGCACCAAGGCCGAAGTAGAGAAAAGTATGTCACTCTACTCCGTGAAGCACAACTACACAACTAACACTGCTTCCACTTAGTTCTCTCCAAGACCCGGTCCGGCGGTGTCTCCATCAACGACGCCGCTCTGCACATCCCCACCCTTGAATTCGGCGGTGTAGGCGAAAGTGGCAGCGGTGCCTACCGCGGCAAGGCCAGTTTCGACGTCTTCGTGCACCGCCGCACCATCACCTCCAGCCCCGGCTGGATTGAATCCGCGCTGGCCGTCCGCTACCCGCCGTTTGGTAGGAAGCAGGAATTCTTCATCAAAGCCGGTAGCCTGGCGCCGGACTTTGATCGCAACGGTCAGAAGCTCCGACTGGGCTGGCTCCGCTACCTTCTGACTCTGGGCGGCGGATCTGCCAAGTCGGGCATTATCCGTGCCACCGTTGTCGCTGCGGGTGAGTGATTCACCTTTATTTTGTGTCCTATCTATTCCCCAGACCTGTGTTTCGCATTGCATTACCCTCCTCTCGTGTCGGTTTGGGCTTGTTCTCAAGCATTCTTCCCGTACTGCACGCAGTCTTCTTACTGTCCGCTTCACCCTCGGCAGAATAAGCTCGACTCGTAAAATCGAGATCGAGATCGGATCCAGTTCGAAACTTACAGATCGCCTGCCTACTTACTATAATACTTTGAGGGCGGGCCAACTCCGACTCGGGTATAATCTGCTGGTGCTTTCGTCCGTGATGCAAACCGCCATGTCCCATACCCTCCTTACCCTTACTTACCCCTCCTCTTGATCGTGACGATTTTGATCCCCATTTATCTATTGCTAAATCTTAATTTCAACGCACACATTCCTGGAACAAATAAACAACAAGAAAAACAACAAAATACTTACGCGATTTCTACAGTGGCATACCTCGCACTCCAGTTCCTCGAACGCCGGAGCTCAAAGTTATAACCCGATTGACTCTCAACTTTCAAACACGTCTACGTCTTATTTCTTTTGGTTACTGATATCCTTTTCGAACGATGGATTGACTGATTTATTTGATTTCTTGGAAATGGCTGGTAATCTACTTGGATTTGCTGTGCTTGTTGTGCAACCCCCTCTCTCTATCTCTGGCTTATGTGCTGGAATGACCTTTTCAACGGTCTATGCTTACTTATGATTGTGTATACTATACTTTGTTTGTTTGTTGCTTGATGGATCTCTTGTGCCGGGGGGGTTTTGGCATATAAACTATTTATCTAGTCATTAATTTGTTTTAGGTATCTAGCAGGGCTAGTATGATTTGAACGGACTCTGATTTCTTTACCGTTGTTAATGGAGAGTGACGGGTTAGTTAATCCATCAATGTCTGTTTGTTATCATCATTATGTCACATCGCATCGCTCGCAATCGCATCTCAATATAGTTGCTGGGCCTATCTGAATTGCCCAAATGGTTCACACATACCCTCTCAAAGCAGTAAGCAAACTGGTCTATGAGCCAGGAATTCATTCACAGGTAAAAAGATGACGGAGATAAACAAAATCTGTTGTGAGGGGAAAAGTAGATATGTGACCAAACATATACAAACAAGCTAGCTAGAGTTGATTTAGATGGTGATAATTTGAGGCGGAAGATGAGCTTATATCGGGCATCATTGGGTATTGCCAAACTGAATCCGCCTACTTATTTCCTCACCGGGACCTATATTCATTTGTTCGTTTCCCATCAACATCTTCTCTCTACGCCCTTTTGACTCACACAAAGGTATTTCACTCCCTTGTATGGCTTCACGCCCTCGCCGAGCCCCCGGCTTTTGCGCGGGTCGATGTTGAGACTGTCGACCTTGATGCCGGAGGGGAGCCAGCCGCGCACGGAGAAGGACACTGAGGCGGAGGTGGGCATGAGGATGGCGTTGAGTTGGGTTTTGGTCTTGCGGGGAGCGGTGTGGAAGATGCTGGGTTGGGGTCCTGGTTGACGGTCTTTCGGCTTGGGGGAGGATGGTGGTGGTCGTTGTTTGCGTGGACGAGTGTGGGATTCGGAGTCTTGGGTAGGTTCTGCTTCGGCTTCGGCTTCGGCTTCGGGGAGGAGTGGCGGTAGTGAAGTTGAAGAGGGAGCTTGGGCTGGGGTTGGCGGTTGGGATAGGTCGGAGGGGTAGGGTTGGGGTTGTTCTGCGTCTTGGGGGAAGGGGTCGGCGGAGGCAGACGCTGATGCTTCCGCTTCGTCTGTTGCGGCGGCGGCGGCAGCAGCAGCCGCAGCAGCTCGAGAGGACTTCTTGACTACCTTCTTCTTCTTCTTTTTCTTGGTCTTGCGTTTTGTGGTGCCCGTTTCCGGGTCAGGGTATGCAGTGGATGGGTCGTAGTAGCCTTGAAGGAGGTTGGCGTCCGCGTCTTCCAGCTCGTCTTCGGCATCGTCGTCGTCATGGTGTCCCGCGACGGTGCATCGCAGGGTCGCCGTGCCAGAGACTGTTCCGGCATCTTTGGTTGGGATTCGCCATTGCAGTACCTCGCTCCCCGGGGAGTACAATGCCTCTCCGCGGCTGGCTTGCATCTCTGTGATGTTCCGGACCGTGTTGGGAATAGGCACAGTAACGACAACCTCCTCCAAAACTGGCGCTGAGGAGTTCCCGCCTCCTCCCAAGAACGAAGGTGTCGATGTCCCGGATCCGCTGCGCCCGACTCCGGGTCGGCTGGCGGATGGGTAGCCCGGGAAGTTGGTATTGAGAATCAGGCGCACCTCAAACTCGGCGCCCGTCGGACCTAGGGATTTGCGAACATCCACGATGGCAGGCAAGAAGAGCTTCTCCATGTGGGTAGGCGGTTGGTCAAGATTGGGATCAAGCGGTAGAAGATCTACCTCGTACCCGGCGAGAATGAAACGTCCGTCCGGTGGAACAAAGCTGAGCTCCCCTGGCCGTTCCCGCCATCGCGCCAGTCGCACGCAAGGGTGAAAGACAGGAAGTTCGAGCTTGCGCCCCAGGACTCTCTGGCCGCCAGGCGCAGTTAAAGAGAGAAGGAGATCCGGAACTCCGGACACCTTAGCTGTGAACGCGATGGTGCCGGACGCCAAAGCCGATAGCAGGCGGCCGGATGGGGCAATGGTGACTGACAGCGACTCGATGATGTCGACATATATCTCGTTGGAGGTATGACGAACTCCGGACTTCCGCCAAGGTATCGCGGGGCCTTGTGCTACTGCGGCGGACGACAGCGATTGCTTCAATGCGTTGGGTTGGCCCAGAATTGGCGTAGATGACCTGTTCAGTACAACCCTCATGGTTAGTATAGCTGAAGAAGAGCCGTCTGCGCCCAGTTCACAGGGTCATTTATGAGGTAAACAAACCCAGCCAGTCCCACCCCGCCCAAAAGTTTCCCCATCCACCCTGGCATCTCCACTACCTCCTGCAACATGTTGGGCTCGGTGTTGCACACCAAGCCGCCATCGCACATCTCGTGAAGTAGCTGTGCGACGACATCGTAGTTCGCCTGTAGTTTTGTCGAAAGCAATGGTGCCCCTACGAACTCCTCCAGAACATCGACAACTCGATGGAGGAACTCTAGCATCAGCAGCGATTCCGAGTCAACCTCGGAGACCGCGAGGAAGGTGAGGTTCGACTGAACGATAGAGTACACTGTCACCGGTGGGATCGCACCAGGCAGGTACAGCACCGAGGGGCGAGGGGCCGCATGAGCCAGGAAGAGGGAGCGGATGGCTGGTGCGGAGGGCGGACGGGAGCGGTAGACCTGCTCAACAATCGGGTTGCTGGGAGGAAAGCAGACGTCAGTAGCTGTGGAGGAGAGGCCATATGAGCACGGAGAGAAGAGAAAACACACGTCTGCTCATCATAAATGTAAAGCGCATCGACTTGGCCGCTCATCATGGCGACCTAACTCGATGGGTGGGGATGGAAGCAGTCATGGTCGGGCGTGATGGTCGGGAATGGGAAATGAGGCCATCCGCCTTCAAATCGCCCACGTTCTGCCGTCCATGCCCGCCTTCCTGTCGGATTTCCTTCTCGGGGATGCGGCGGTGCAATATGAATAGATGATTTGAATTATTTGAGCTTGTCTTCCTTTGTTCTCTGTTCAACTCGGATACAAATTCCCATACTTCCTCGCCCCTCATGGCTGCTTCTTCCTCTGCCTCCAGTGACAGTGATCGCTGGGACGTTCAGCCCAAAGATGCTAAACGCATGCTCGCAGAAGACTCCTACGATGACTGTCTATCCTGTCGCATCACAGGTGGGTTTTTCTGTTTGCATATCCTTCCGCATCGAAGCTCCAGATGTTAAATCATGAGGGTCAAAAATAGGTTCTGCCGCTTTTGTCGGTCTCGGTGTCTACAGCTACTGGACGGGCATGAAAAACCTCAGAAAACAAGAAAAGACGATCATGCGAAGCGCCACCAAGTACAAGATGGGATCTCGGCGCCTCGGCATTGCTACAATTTCCGCTACCCTCGTCGGCATGGGCATTTGGAGGGCGTTCAACTAATACCCCGGGGTTTACAATTTGTCGTTTCTATTCCACTCAGGGCGTTTTGTATATTAGCTGTAGTGTTTCGAAGCTATTCTACGATTGATAAGAGTCATGTGAATTAGTGCATAAAATGTTCATACGAGTAGCATTGACACAAGCTGCCTCGCTGGGTATCGCCAAAGCCTGTTAACCTCTATAAATTTGATAAGTATGAGTCGAAGAAAGAGAAAAGAAGAGGAACGGACAGGTGTAGAAAGGAGAATACAGTGGAAGATAGGATGAGGGAGACGGAAAGAAAAATAAATGACCGTGGCCTGAAGACCACATGCAGGACTCCCTCAAATGCACCAGGATAAACAAAAAAAATCAATGCACCAATAGCCGCTGCGTAACCATAGAAATATGAAGTCGTCTAATTGTCGATACGACATTCTTTCAGGTGAAGCGGCCACGTTTGCCGCCGCCGAAAAAGTCTCGATTCCCGAGCCCAGATAAATCAAAAAAATCCGGCACTGCGAGCTTTCGTTTCGAGCCAAGTCCGACGGAGGACTCGCGAGTGGATGATCGAGGATTTGAGCGGGAAAAGTTGTTCAGGCGGGGTTGTTGCCGCGGGTTTCGAGGCAGCATTGAGACACTGACGGGGGCGCCGTCTTGAGATGAAGGTGTTGACGTATCTGAGGGTTGCACATCCATATCTTGCTCTGGTGGGAAGGTCGGTCCAGCGGTAAAAGTGAAGATTGTAGGTCTATCGAAGGTGCTAGGCTCGGAAGACTGAGGGGACGACGGTGGTGAAGAAGCCTGGGGCGGCGGGGCGGCACTTGGCTCGTCGACCGAGGGAGATGTTGACTTGGATGTTTGTCGTGTCGGTTCAGATTCGGGCTGTGCCTTGCGGACCGCAGCAGGAGTCGTGCCTCTGGTTTGTTTCTCAACCTCGTCGTCGTCGCTATGGGCGCCGAGCCCATCGCTCCGTTCCGTGGCCCACTGTCGAACCTTCCAGCCCTCTCCATCACCAAGTCCGAGGTTTTCCCGGTCGAGGAAATGCAGCAAATCTTCAATTGCTTCTTGGTAGCCTGCTTGCTTGGCCTGGGCCTGTTCGTAAACAGCATTCTTGTAGAGATTGGTAACGGACAGGGCGGCCGCCTTGAACGACTGGAGAAGCTGCTCAGGGGGCTGCTGCGGACGGGGTGTTGACCTCGGCAACGAGGTGTTCAAGGACCTCATCGAGTCCATCCTGAAGTGGGCTGCAGCAGAAGAAGCAGCGTTGTAGGAGAGTTGAGATATGGTCTTAAAAGACGACGTCGTCACTACCGCCACTAGGAGGGGTGACTTGAACCGTGCGTTCGTTGCCAACAGAGAGAACGAACAATTCCTCGTGGAGATCTGGAAGGCGGGGAAGTTCGTGATGTCCAAGGATACGATCACAAAGGAGACAGTCCAAGCGAGGACAATGTAGATATAAGGAGAGGAGGGGAATGAAGGGAGCGGGAGGATGAAGTAGACGGGCACACGATGTTGACTCAAGGATGATTCGATCGGGAGAATGTTGGCGCAGCTGATCTTTCTTTGCTTCTGACCGGGTAACGTGACCCACAGCGGGGAAACTTGTTTTCCGCCTGAAGGTCCTTGCTAAGAGTCTAAGACGAGTCCGAGGTCCCGAGATTCTTCCCTCTACTAACCCTCCCCCTCTTTCCTCCCCTGCTGACTCAGTCCTGACTCAGCTCTAACCCCCTGCGCGTCTCCCCTGCCAATCAGCGCGTGAAGGGACCGCGCTTCGCCGGCGAAATTCCATTTGCCATCCCGGCGCGACTGCGAGGCGGTCCTTCTTTTGTCCTTTCATCATCCTCCGTCACTACAATTGTTTCCTCCCTACCTTTGTCCTCCACCTCAGGGTCAAATCTTGTGATCAAATCCATTTCCAAATATACCACCTTCGGCGAAGTGGCCATCCTCCTTTGCCTATCCTCTCGCTAGATTCAGCATTGTCCGATCGTATACTATCAAGTCGCGTTCCTTTTGATCTAGGACAATTCACTTGCGCAAGGTGCGCTGTGGAAAGTGATGGCTCCTTCACACATTCCGACTTCCGACCCGCCGTCACAGGCAGATACCCCAATGACAGATGCGACCGCAGAGCCCGTCACGTCTGTGCCGGTTGATCGAGCAGACGCGCACATGACGGTAAGTGCGCGCGTTTACACTACAAGTCGTACATTTCCTTCAGTCGACTTTATGAACAACACCAAGAACATTTCTGCTAATCACCAGGGCATTTTGGCATCTTCAGGAGACTCCGGACTATACGGTATGATGTTCCAATGTCAACCACTGATAGCCCGTATCCTAACAAACGCGCAATAGGATACCGATACGAACCCTAATACCACGGCGAGCAGTGTTGCCGGCGACGCACCGCCATTGGATGGGCGAAGACGACGATCCGAAGCTTTCCACATGAGGAAGAATATCCTGGGCAAAAAGCACGGTCGCTTGGACGAGTCAATGGTAGGTGGGCGTGCTGGGTGCGGATGTGCTTGCAGTCGCTTATAGTCTGTGTGTTACTTTAGGAGGATGATTCTATCCGTCGCTTTCGCTACCTCCTCGGCCTGACCGATCTGTTCCGTCACTTCATTGAAACAAACCCAAACCCCCGGATCAAGGAAATTATGACCGAAATTGATCGACAAAATGAAGAAGAGGAAGCAAAAGCTAAGAAGAAGGGATCGGCCCGCTCCGGTGGTGCAAGCGCCGACAGGCGTCGCAGAACAGAACAAGAGGAGGACGCTGAACTTCTCAAGGATGAAAGGAGCGGCGGTGAAACGGGCACTGTATTCCGAGAATCTCCACCCTTCATCAAGGGAGAAATGCGCGACTACCAGATCGCCGGTTTGAATTGGCTGGTGTCCCTCCATGAGAACGGTATCTCTGGTATCCTGGCAGATGAGATGGGTCTTGGTAAGACGTTGCAGACGATCTCTTTTCTTGGCTACCTTCGACACGTTTGCGGAATCACTGGACCACACCTCGTCGCCGTCCCGAAATCAACACTTGACAACTGGAGGCGAGAGTTTGGAAAGTGGACTCCCGAGGTAAATGTGTTGGTCTTGCAGGGTGACAAGGAGGAGCGACACCGTTTGATCAACGAACGTCTCCTGGATGAGAAGTTTGATGTTTGTATTACCAGTTATGAGATGGTGCTTCGGGAAAAGAGTCATCTTAAGAAGTTCGCTTGGGAGTACATCATCATTGACGAGGCTCATCGTATCAAAAACGAAGAGTCCTCGCTTGCACAAATCATACGTGTGTTCCACTCTAGGAATCGATTGTTGATCACCGGTACTCCTCTCCAGAACAACTTGCACGAACTCTGGGCCCTCTTGAACTTTTTGCTACCGGACGTCTTCGGTGACTCGGAAGCCTTTGATCAGTGGTTCTCTAGTCAAGATGCTGATCAGGACACCGTGGTTCAACAACTCCACCGCGTTCTCCGTCCTTTCCTCTTGCGCCGTGTCAAGAATGATGTGGAGAAGAGCCTTCTTCCTAAGAAAGAAATTAACTTATATGTACCCATGTCGGAGATGCAAGTCAAGTGGTATCAGAAGATTCTCGAGAAGGACATTGACGCGGTGAATGGTGCTGCTGGCAAGCGCGAATCGAAAACTCGTTTGTTGAACATCGTCATGCAACTTCGCAAGTGTTGCAATCACCCATACCTCTTTGAAGGCGCCGAGCCAGGTCCTCCATACACCACCGACGAACATCTTGTGGACAATGCAGGAAAGATGGTCATCCTTGACAAGGTTCTGGCGCGCATGAAGAAGCAGGGCAGCCGCGTGCTCATTTTCTCTCAGATGAGTCGTGTTCTTGACATTCTGGAAGATTACTGCGTGTTCAGAGAGTATAAGTATTGCCGTATTGACGGTACAACCGCTCATGAGGACCGAATTGCTGCAATTGATGAGTACAACAAGCCTGACTCCGATAAGTTCATCTTCCTCCTCACGACGCGAGCTGGTGGACTGGGTATCAACCTGACGACTGCCGATATCGTTGTTCTTTATGATAGTGACTGGAACCCTCAGGCGGATCTGCAGGCTATGGATCGTGCTCATCGGATTGGCCAGACGAAGCAGGTTGTCGTATTCAGATTCATAACAGAAAATGCCATCGAAGAAAAGGTCTTGGAACGTGCAGCGCAGAAACTACGATTGGACCAGCTTGTTATTCAACAAGGACGTGCCCAGCAGCAAACGAAGAACGCCGCATCGAAGGATGAGCTGCTTGGCATGATTCAGCACGGAGCTGTTAACGTTTTCAACCAGAAAGGCGCAGCAGGACCACTGTCTTCGGAGAACAAGCTGTCGGAAGATGACATTGATGCTATTTTGCGCAAGGGCGAGGAGAGAACCGCGGAACTGAACAAGAAGTACGAGAAGCTTGGAATTGACGACCTTCAGAAATTTAGCTCGGAGAGTGCATACGAGTGGAATGGTCAAGACTTCGCGGACCGGAAAAAAGACATCGGCATCAACTGGATCAATCCAGCCAAGCGAGAGCGAAAAGAGCAATTTTACTCCATCGACAAGTATTATCGCCAGGCTTTGGCCACGGGCGGTAGAACAGCTGATCCTAAACCCAAGGTTCCAAGGGCACCAAAGCAGATTGCTGTTCACGACTGGCAGTTCTTTCCACCCGGACTTCAGGAGCTTCAGGAGAAGGAAACGGCCTACTTCCACAAAGAGATCGGTTACAAAGTCCCTCTAGCTGACGGTCCCGATGAAGAGCTCAGTGAGCGTGAAGCCGAGCGTGACCTGGAGCAACAAGAGATCGACAATGCCGTGCCGTTGACCGAGGAGGAGCAGGCGGCTAAAGCAAAGATGTCCGAAGAGGGCTTTTCTACCTGGAACCGCCGTGACTTCCAGCAATTCGTGAATGGCTCAGCGAAATTCGGCCGTACTGACTACGTTGGCATCGCTACCGAAGTGGACAGCAAAGAGCCGGATGAGATCGAGGAGTATGCTGGAGTATTCTGGAAACGTTACACTGAAATTCAAGACTATCCTAAATATCTCCGCGTCATCGAACAGGGCGAGGAGAAGCTGCGCAAGATGAACCATCAGCGTAAGATGCTGCGCAAGAAGATGGAGATGTACCGCGTGCCCCTTCAGCAGCTCAAGATCAACTACACGGTGTCTACCACTAACAAAAAGATATACACGGAAGAGGAAGATCGATTCCTGCTGGTCATGCTAGACAAGTATGGAGTCGATGGCGAAGGTCTTTACGAGAAAGTCCGCGACGAGATTCGCGAGTCTCCTCTCTTCCGTTTTGACTGGTTCTTCCTTAGCAGGACCCCTGTCGAAATCGGGCGTCGGTGCACCACACTCTTGAACACTGTTGCCAAGGAGTTCGAGACGGAAGACGGGAAGGTCAACGGGGAGGGCGGCAAAGGCCGTGGACGTGATCGGGACGAAGAGGATGTTGAGAATGAAGAAGAAGCCCCTGCGAAGAAGAAGACCAAGGGCGGTGCAGTTGTAAGTCAAAATCTCTTATTACTTGTCTCCCTGTCGGCCCAACTCTACAGGCTTCCCACCTTTTTTCTTGTGTATTACTCTGTTCACTTTGGTCCTTACTAATGCTTCTCTCAGAACAAGCAGGTCAAGGCTGTCAAAGGTGGGAGCAGAGCGAACTCAGCCTCCACATCGCGAGCCGGCAGTGTTTCTTCCAACGCGGCCTCAAAAACAAAGAGTCGCAAGAAGTGATATTTCCTTACCAGATGCGATCTCAATATTGAATGACTAAGATTTTATGACTTTTCATAGACTGTTTGGGAAGTCTTGTCAGAGGATGGGATCTGTTGGGTCACTGTGTTTCACATATTCTGGGTTGGGCGTTGGTAGATAGATGCCATTGTAGTCTATAATGATCCATTTCCATGTTCATCGCTGAATTTTCATTCATGTGTAGTTGATGCGAGCCGGTGAATGTTTTTCACTTCTCTGGAGGATACTGGGAAAAAGTACAGTCCGGCATAGTGATTTCTCCGCCTACAGAACCTTGTTTCACCGCATGCCAAGCTCACGATAAGATAAGCGCGTTATCATTTTTCCTTTCCATTTCGCGTTGATAGCATACTATCCACGCGTCTGCGCCTCATGAATTAATATCACCTTCTTAGGAAAATCTAAGGTGCTGTACATCTTTTGGATGATGAAATTGCGTACTTCTTTCCCATATATCATGCACATAATACACTCCACTCGCGTCACTTATTAGAGCCTTCGACTTCAGTGTTACCCTTTCTCAGCTTCGTCCCATCTCTCAATATTCGCATTTCACTCATCTTCCCTTCTTCGTCAGTTTAGGCTTGCGAGAGATATCTAAACCCCACCGTCAGCCAACGCGTCATATGTGAGACTCCGTCACAATGGAAGGAACAGATAGCCATAACGAACAATCAGACCAGCACATGGTGGATAACTCAGACAGCGAAGGCAGCCTTGTCGGGGAGCTTCTTGCCAGGTTTGCGAGCGGTCCCGCTGCTCGGTCTCCCGAACCAGACCAGGATGCGCCAGGCGAACCCGATTTACCGGAGGATAATAGATTTGATGATTTGCCACTTGTGCGCGATCCCCCAGAAGGCGACCTAGCACAGGGGAATTCACCAGAGTCCCAGCTACCAGAACTTGCCGTGGAGGTCCCAATTGCGCCCAGTAGCGTTGTCGAGGGCTGTGAATATTTACCTGGGCACTTTGAGGCTCGCTACATCATCAGTGAGGAAGCGCTTGAGACGGAGGGTGGGCTTCTATATCGTGTCAAACTAAAGAGTGGCGAGGTCCAAAAGGTACGTTGCAATGTTAATGTTTTCCACTCTTCTGTTCTTCTCCTCACCGTACTTTGTCCTAGACCTCATCCGAGCAACTTCAGACCCTCAAAAACGGCTCACAAGCTTTATCCAACTTTCTCAACTACGGTCCTAATGAGTCAGCCTCATCTCGATCCGACGTCACATCAGAAGAAGACTCGGCTTTGTCCGAATCAAGAAGTCGTACTAGGAAACGCACACAACGAAGTACTCGGGCCAGAAATACTGGATTCACAGCATTCTTCGGCAATTTGAGCAGTGACGATGGCATAGCTCACTCACGAGGTGATTCCTCAGATGACGATTTGGCATTATTGAGCGCTACACATAGAAGACGTCGCATGCTACGAGCTCGAAAGAGCAAGTCGCGCTCGGCAATCTTGTTTCCGGACGAAGAAAGCGATCGCGCTACCCCAGTAGGCACGCGACATTCGACAAGGGCTCGGAAGGTTTTGCGAAGGAATCTGCGTGAACGCAATGAAGACGAAATCTCTGAGAATGAAGGCACACCCAAGCATCATGAGAAGTTCTTTGGCGCCAAAGAAAAATTCCACAAGATACCGGAAAATGACCCTTTTCGAGAAAGACATCGAGGCGCTTGCAAGAGCTGTCACGTTATCGGAGACGATTATGCGAAAGGGCCCCTCGTTTTCTGTCAGGGATGTACCAGCAGCTTCCATCATCAGTGTCTAGGGCCTCGGGCTTCGCGAGACCATCTGGTCACTAAGGTCACGGATGAACTGTTTGTTCTTCAATGTCGCAATTGCCTGGGAGTCGCCACCGCGAAAGATCCGGCTGTTCCACACCAGGGCTACTGCGCTATCTGCGATCGCGAAGGGAAAATGTCAAGGCCACTACGGGATCGCTTAACGCCGAAGCAGGAGCAGCAGTCTCGGCAACAGAATGGCGGCAAGGACCCTATCACATTCATCGATATGACACGGGTCAACAATGTGGACAACTTACTATTCCGCTGCACTACCTGTCATCGAGCTTTCCATTTCGAGCATCTCTCGGACGTTGCCCATCTCACGTGGCATTGTCAGGAATGTGCTTCAGTTCCGGGAGAGGTCGGAGCTATGGTTGCATGGCGGCCGGTCGATCCAAGAGCGAAAAACGCGAGTGAAGCGCAGCGGGAATACCTCATCAAATGGAAGAACAAGTCCTACAGCCACGCGAGCTGGATGCCCGGCAGCTGGGTCTGGGGCTTCGTCAACCATCACATGCGTCGAGCCTTTTTCAAGAAAAATCTCGAACCACAGAGGACTATCGAAGAGGCTATTCCGGAGGACTATTTAAGGATGGATATCATTTTTGACGTCCGCTTTTCCGACACATCGCCACCTGGAGATACCAAGCGGTCTTATGAAGCAGACCTGGAGCGGATTGACGACGTGTCCCAAGTATATGTCAAGTTCAAAGGTCTGCCATACGAGGAAGTAGTCTGGGATACACCTCCCGATCGCAGTGATGTGGAGAGATGGGAGGATTTCAGGGCTGCTTTTGCAGACTGGGTCAAGCGGGAATATGTCCGTCAGCCGAATCAAGAGACCCTAAGGAGACATCTCGCGAAGAAAAGAAAGAAGGATTTCAAGACCGAGTTGGTCAAAGACCATCAACCTAGCATAATGACGGGCGGGGAGGCCATGGACTATCAGGTTGATGGTATTAATTGGCTCTACTACATGTGGTTCAAACAGCAAAATGCCATTCTTGCCGACGAGATGGGTCTCGGAAAGACGATTCAAGTCATTGGCTTCATGGCTACTTTGATCCAATACCACAGATGCTGGCCTTTCCTGGTGGTAGTGCCCAACTCCACCTGTCCCAACTGGCGCAAGGAAATCAAATCATGGGTTCCTTCAATGCGGGTGGTGACCTACTACGGGTCTGCAGTCTCTCGCAATCTTGCTAAAGAGTACGAAATGTATGCCGACGATGATCCGACTTTACGATGCCACGTCGTCGTGACTTCGTATGAGACGATGGTGGACGATGCATCCCGCAAAGTTCTGGCGAAGATCCCATGGGCCGGTCTGGTTGTTGACGAAGGCCAACGGCTCAAGAATGATAAAAGCCAGCTCTATGATGCACTATCGCGAATCAGATTTCCATTTAAACTGCTTTTGACCGGCACTCCGCTTCAGAATAATATTAGAGAACTGTTCAACCTACTGCAGTTTTGCGACCCATCAAAGAAGGCCATTGATCTTGAAGAGGAATACGGCACGCTCTCCAAGGAAAACATTCCAAAATTGCACGATATGCTACGGCCTTTCTTCTTGAGACGGACAAAGGCGCAGGTTCTCACCTTTCTTCCCCCGGTTGCTCAAATCATCGTCCCGGTCTCGATGTCTGTTGTGCAGAAGAAACTGTACAAATCTATCCTTGCCAAAAATCCTCAGCTGATCAAGGCGATCTTTCAACGCAATGGGGTCAAGGCGTTGAAACAAACAGAGCGACATAACCTGAACAATATTCTTATGCAATTGCGCAAATGCTTGTGCCATCCTTTCGTTTACAGCAGAGCCATCGAGGAGAGAACTGCCGATAGGATGAAGTCCCACCGCCACCTGGTGGATGCGGCTGGTAAACTTCAGTTGTTGGAGCTTATGCTTCCGAAGCTCAGGGACCGTGGCCACAGAGTCCTCATCTTCAGCCAGTTCCTCGAAAACCTTGACATAATTGAGGACTTTCTCGATGGTGTAGGCTTAGCACATCTCCGTCTTGATGGTAGAATGACCTCACTCGAGAAGCAAAAGACCATCGACGATTACAATGCGGAAAACTCGCCTTACTTCGCTTTTCTTCTTTCGACCCGGTCTGGGGGAGTTGGGATTAACCTTGCTACTGCAGATACGGTTATTATCATGGACCCGGATTTCAATCCCCATCAGGACATGCAGGCGTTGTCGCGTGCTCATCGTATTGGCCAGAAGAACAAGGTCCTGGTCTTCCAGCTTATGACCCGCAGCAGTGCGGAAGAGAAAATTATGCAAATTGGGAAGAAAAAGATGGTCCTAGATCACGTTCTCATCGACCGCCTGGTGGCGGAGGAAGATGACGGGCAAGATCTTGAGTCGGTCCTTCGGCATGGAGCTCAGACTTTATTTGATGATGATGACTCTGGCGATGTACGATATGACTCTGAGTCTGTCGATAAACTCCTTGATCGCAGTCAAGCTGAACAAGCCAAGTCGCCTATCGAGGGTGACCCGGAGTCTCAATTCAGTTTTGCTCGGGTATGGGCAAATGATAATCAGAACCTTGAAGATCGGCTTCAGGAGATGACTGAGCAGACTGAAGAGGCTGCACCCAATGCCGACATCTGGGAGAAGATTCTGCGCGAGCGTGAACAAGCTGCAGCCGAGGAGGCAAGAAGAAAAGCGGAAACGTTGGGCCGTGGAAAGCGGAAGCGTACTAATATTGACTATGGCAATGATGCCACGGAACCGTCACCTGTCAAAGATCGTATGGAGCGTCTAGCAGAAAGCGACGGGGAATACCGGGCAGACGATGGGTTTGACTCCGAGTCTGACTCGGCCCCTGACTTAGACGCCGAGAAACTCGCAAGTATCCCCAAGAGGACTAAAAGTAAGTGTCTGACTCTGAATCGAACAGACCCGCAGTTCGCTAATGCAGGCCACAGTCCATGGATTCCAACGGATTGGTCCCATCAACTTGCCACTAGCCATGGATGGTAGCGCGGAGCCTGGCCAAACTCAGCAACCAGCGTGTATTGCATGCAAGCAGGTTCACCCGGTGGGTTCTTGTCGCTTGAAGTTAGCTGGTGTCGAGCACTGTCCTCTTTGTGGTCTGGCGCACTATGGTTATTCGCGGACATGCCCGCATCTGAGGTCCGATACCCAGGTAGCCAGGATGTTAGATGCTATCAAGCAGAGCACCGAGGACAAAGAGCTTGTTGCTTTAGCGAAGAAGTATTTGACAGGTATTCGTGGTAGCCTTGCACAACAGAAGAGGAAGCTGGCTAGTAAGGCTGCAGCAGGCAGTGCGACTCTTCCTGCTAGCACCCCTGCCGCAACCAGCTCCCCCATTGTCGACCTTACGAGTGAAAATCGCATGGAGACAGCTGGCCATCCGCCGACATATCCAGCACAGCCTTTTGCTCCAGCTTCTGATATGCCTCAACAGCATCCTAGCCACAGGGTCTAAGATGGGTGAAGTCCCAAGCCAAGGGTAGGAAGTAGCAGGTGGCGTTGTTAACGGCTTTTCTTCTCTCTTTCTCCGTGTGGAATGCTTCAGCGTTATTGCGACAAGGAACTTGGGAGTTTGTGATTTCATAGCATTGATAGGGGTTGCATCGCAAAGCCATGTACTGCAAGTAGATAATTAGCTCTCCAGGAGATCAGTTGAAGCAAGCGCCGACCTGAGGCAGATAATTGGGGTCACATGCTTCCCCGATCTTGGCTACCTTCCCATTCGGCTCGGGCTGGTCGAAACCAGAACTGAACAGTCCACGGGCCCCGGGCTGCATTTCGGTTGATTTTATCAAAATCAGAATGTAGACCTCCTGTCTTTTGTTGTCCTCCGATCCTTTCTACGTACTGCAGATCAAAACTGGTCGCAAAACCGTTTGTGGAAAATGCTGATTTGCTCATTCGTCGGATCTTGCTTTTTCGTATCACCAACGTCGATTGTCGATATATCGTTACTCCATCCACGTTGCCAGCAGATGGCATTGAGATAAATCGGCATCTAGACGACGGGAACTCGAGAAGCGCAATTGTCAGATCATATCGTGAGAAATCTTTTCGAGGATAGGATGAGCTAGCGACTATCGTCTATCTGGTCGTCGAATTCGCATGAGTCCAAATGTTCTCAAACAAGGAATTAGTCAAGGCCACTGGCAGAGGGATGAGACTGGAGGGGACCCCTTCCAGCACGAGATGTCTCTCAGAGGCCGAATCTATCAGAAGGCCAGCGATTGCGCTCCTCTCCAAATTAAGCGGACTGAGTCCCCAGAGAAAGGATGCCGTGGTTCAGCGAGGAGGCTGCAGCCATCCGGGACGGTTGTACTGGTGAACATTATCGGACAAACACTGACGGCATTTAGTCATGGCTGGATCTGGACCCTGGAGCTGCTTTTATTCTTTGCGGAATCTTCGCGCTGATATTTTTTTTTTCTTTTTTTCTGGTCCTCTGCTATTACTCGGCCGGTTGAGAATCTTTGGATTCACTTTGGATTCTCAGGGCGGCGAACATTGGATGTGTACTTGGACTTTCTTCTTATACTCTCGCGCTGTCGCGTCTTTTTTTTTATTTTCGCGCGTGGTTGCTTTCATGAGGTCATCAGTGTTATATCATCAATCTCATTAATCTCTGTTGATTATACGCGGTTGAGTTACTCCTTTTACAGTTTGGTGAATCCTGTATCGCTTGTTGCGTGGTGTTGTTATCCACCCCCTGCTGCCAACGCCAGTCACCAAAGTGAATGAGAAAACGCTCTCTGTGCCAGCAATCTCATCAACAAATTCATTGGTGCTATTTATTTCCTTGACTTCTCACTTTCTCACTTCCTTCGTCACCGTGTTTCTTCCACCTTTCTCCATCCTCTCTGTTCCTATCTCTCCACCATTTGCCTTTCAACTCTTTTCCTTTTCACCTCCCATGGCAATATACTCTACATTTTAAGTCAAGTAACATCGCTTTCTGACACGCAAACTTCAGCCCTTCTATTATATCAGGGATAAGGTTGCATCTGGGCGTTGCCAAGCAGCTATGTCTTCCCCGATTCGCCCTCAGTTCTTTTGTACTCGCCCAAATGGCACCCTCACCCCCCTCGTCGCTGTGGACGAGCTGCCCGCGCATATATCCATTCGCGGTGCTCCTCGTGTACTCTCGGCAAGTGAAACTCAAGGCATGACTAGTCTGGGAACTGTGGGCTCGAGAATGCAATCCTACATCCTCGAAGGGGCTCACCCAAGTACCACACGCTCGTCAGCCGCTGCCACACCCGGACATCGCTCCCGCGACATCGATGTACAGTCGGCTCTTGCGCGACTTGCTGCCGATGAGAGTATTCCGCATAGCCAGAGACTTGTCATTACCGCGCTACTGCAGCATGGTGCTGCGCACAACTTGCTTGCAACACCTCCATCGTCCGGCGGCTGGCTGGTTCCAACCAACAGCGCGAATCCTACAGGAAACGGAGCTACTAGACAGGTAAGTGTTACTCAATACGTAACACACTATGAAATGTTCAAGTCTAAGGTAACAAACTTGGTTGACATTAATACAGAGCCCCCACTTCAACTCGAAGAAAGAATACTGCTCTTATTGGATCCGTCATGGCGAATGCGACTATCAGCAACAAGGCAAGGGCTCATGTCACCATGTGATAGCAATAGACTAATGCTTGGTGTAGGATGTCTCTATAAGCATGAGATGCCCCATGATCTGGCAATGTTGGAAAAGCTTGGCCTGCGCGACATCCCTCGTTGGTATCGCGACAAGTACAATATTCCCAGCCTTCTTCCCAACGGACATGGGCATCCTCGCGCTCATCTCAGCCATGCGCTTCCTGCAGTCGACAGCATTCCTTATAGGCCGATCCAATATCATCAGCGCATCGGTATCAACGAGGTCTTTGACGCCCCCGAGGCCAAAAATGAAGATGAGCAGGATTTCGCAAACCACCTTTCCAGTCAGCAAGCATCGTTGGCACTTCCTCATAGACTCGCTTTGACAGCAATCGACACAGCGAAGGCTCCTAAGGCTCAGCGGGTGGATTCAAAGCACATTTCCGGTTCCAAAAATGGGACTTCCAGAAAGCTTGATCTCCTGGCTTATGATTCGGTTCCGGATTACCAGGGTCATCCAGGCTTGAGTGCTGTCAACGGAAATAACTCTCCTGCCTTTGATTTCCCACATCTGCAGGACAATTCTGCTTACGAGAATGCTGACTTCGACCCTTTCAAGACCACTTCCAAGGACTCGCACAAAGCTTACAGTAACATGCGTCCTATGCTGATGAATCCTTGTGTGGATCCGGGTTTTCCGCCTCAGGGACGTTTCAAAAAGACACAGAGGTCCCGGCGCCTGTTTCAACCTCGATCGCAGGCTTCCATGGGAGAGTCGAGCTCTGAGATGGAGGAACGAGTAGCTATGGCGAGCTATTCCAGCCAGACCACTCTTCCGTCTAATTGCACATCGCCTGCCTCTAGGGTCACCTTTGGGAATTTCAGTACTGACATGGCGCATGCTAATACCTGCCTCATGCAGGGATGTGCCGCATCCGAACCACATACTCGCGATGCTTCTCCTTCAACCCACTCCAGTGCTGTCTCTTCGGAGTCCAGCCCTGGGAATCGTTGCAATCGCGTCAAGGGCAAGATTTCCAAGCCGGTTCCTGGAGCCATTGGCCAGAAGGTCTATCGTCAGCGCTCTGTCGCGTCATCCGAGGATGACTTTTTCGGCCTATCCATGGAAGAGGAGAAATAGAGTCACTACTTCATTGGCGACAATCGGAGATGTGGTTCACTTCAAATGAATTTCAGGCTTGCCTCCATTTGATCTGAAGTCCGGCTTGTCTTTTGTCACCCCCCACATACTACAAGAAACATGCGACATGGCCGGCTGCTGCGATACTTTCTAACTATGATATGATACACGGGATCTCCTCTGGGATTAAATATACCTTTTTCTGTTCTCTAAAAAAAGGGACGGAGACTCCCCACACCCGACGCTTCACGTGGACGTTGGAACGAAAATGGAGGTTCTTTTCGTCCCACTACTATCTAGCCTGGAAGGCGAACTTCATTCTAAACACACCCAAATGTCTCTCTTTCCTTTTCTCGAAACATGTATGCTTCCAATACGACGTCGTTGTTTCCTATTGCTCGTGTCTGCTTTCCAATTCCCACTTTTCTTTCCACCTTCACTTTCCTTTGCTACTTGCCCCCCTCTCCTTTCTGACGGACGCGGTCTCGCGTGTGAAATGTACAATAACAGAGGTCATGTCTATAATCGAATCGGAGCGGGAAAAAAAGAGGCGAAGGATTGGGAAATGTGAAATAACCAAGTTCCAGGCAAGTCCTAGTCCTGATGGAATGGAATAGCCCATTTGAGCTTTAACATCTCTCGTGCTTCTGAAATACAATATTCGTCAGAATGGTAGGTAGATCTAGAAGATGGCCGAGGGGGGTTTTGCAACATTCGTGAGCTGGTCGAGCTCATCATCGGGTTATAATGGTTTTCCCTTTCCTTCTTGTACAATTTAACATGAACCAGATCCCATGGGGAATATCTGGGAAGATGAATTGGAGTATAATACATTGATATGATGCATGAATCTAGTACAACCCCGCAGAAAAGAGCATATACGCCACCCTGTTTTGTCTGAGCTTACAGCGGTTTCAGAGAAAAAATGAGAAGGGGAAAAATGAAGCGCAATGGGAGATAAGAAGACAAGACCACAAGAAAAGGGGAAAAGGGGAAGTTATGAAAAAGGAGAAGGGGAAAGGGGGATTATTACCCTCCTTGCTCTCACCAAAATGAGACAACATCATACACACATATTTGAACAGATCCCTACCCACACACAAGCGTTCGCAACCGGAAATCATCATGTCTGAATCGTTTTGAATCTCTCAACGCAGTCTCCTCACACCCGGAGCCGGACCCCGCGCGCCGGGTCTGACGCCGGGTTTGACGCCGACCTTGATGCCGACCTTGGCGGCGGCCTTCTGCTCGTTGGTCAGGACCTTCAGCTCCGGGTTGAAGGCGGGCAGGGTCTTGACGGCCTCGGTGACGACCTGGTTCCCATCCACACCGCCGGCCGGGTTCTCCAGCTTGCGGGCTCGTTGGGCGGCGCGTTTGGCGCTCAGCTCGAGCTTGCGCTCTTCGGTGAGAACCCACTCGTCGGGGAAGCGGGGGCGGGGCTTAGGCTTGTGGTGGCGGAGGTCGAGCGGGACGTCGGTGAAGGAGTCGCCCTCCTTAGCCTCCTTGATCAGGGTCTTGATGAGGTCGCCCAGGTAGCGCTTGTTCTGGGCGCGGTGGGGGAACTTCTCGCACGACATGCGCACGACATCGGTGTCCGGGTTGTAGCGCACGCCGACGAGCTTGAGGAAGGTTTGCCGTTGGGCCTCAGTCAAGTGCTCCGGGGTAAGATCCGCGGAGCACAGCTCGACCACGACCTTGTGCTCGGCCGGGTGCTCTTCACCCATGTAGCTCGTGTACCGGAAGCGGAGAATTTGAGAATTGTTGGGGAGCTCGAAAGGTTTGTGGAGTTCTGTAGGGGTTGGAAAGGAATGGGGTTAGCCACTTGCGAATTCGGTTCATTCTTTTGATTCTTTCTTTTGTCATCTCGCAGAATAGCGTGGGAGAGTTCTAAGAGGAAAGATAGAACGACAGAAGAGGGGGAAGTGAGGTCGTACTGCTCAAGGAGGGCATATCCCAGGCGGCAATGCGAGCGTATTCTCTGATCTCACGGTGCTGTTCCAGCTCGGCGTATGCCATGGTCGTGATATCGTCTTCGTAGTATTCTTCGTCGGCATCCTCAACAATACCAAACTCGTCGGGCTCCTCTTCGGCCCAGAACCCTTTCGGCTTCCTCTCAGGCTCAGGCCGAAAATCTAATTCCCTCTCGGCTATGGCGACTCTGCGGTCGATCTCCGCAAATCTGGCCTGGCGGGCCTCGGGATCGTTGAATTCGGCAATCATGCGTCGATTGGCGTCGTCAAAGGCGGCACGATCTTCCGGGGGCATCATATCGTACATTGATCGCATCTCCGGGTTCATTGACTCGGGCGAATACGCCGGGAGGCTGGGGAGGTCCTCTGGGCGCTGTGGGCGCACGTCAGGGATCTCCGGATCTTCGGGCATGAAGGAGCGCGGCGTGACGGAGAAGGAGCGGTAGGAGGTGATGATGGGACTTCTCCGAGCCAGGGAAAAGGCCGAACGGCCCAGAGACCGGGCTACTGAGGCCATTGTGAAGGGTGTGAGAGAGGGAGATAGGCGACGGGGGGGATGCGGACTCGAACTTCGAGATTGGAAAGTTGGATGTTTTTTGATGGACTGGGAACTTCTGCATTCCCGCAAGCACTATCCCACTTTGGGAAGGCGGCTCTTTCACCGCCCTCGAAACTGCTGGACATTTGATTCCCTACAGTATTATCCACTCACTTATAGTTTCTCTTTGGAAGGTAACTACTATGTATTTTAACAGTGCATGTTATGTCATCTTATGAGCCTCAACCATCCTGACTTCCTGAATAAGTGGCCACCTCTTCTAGTGATTATCGATTCGGGTATGACCGTTGCCTTCCCACAGGCTGGTGCCTAGCCGCAGTCGAGTATTGTGCAGTGCTGTGCAGTGCTGTGGAGTGCTGTGCAATTGCAGTCAGTGCTGGTCATCGTGTCTTAATCCTCTCTATCTATAACGTACAACCTCCACCATGGCCACACAAGACCAGCTCATGAAACTGTGTTTCGTGACTGTAGGAGCAACAGCCTCATTTAACCTACTCATCCAATCCATCTTGGAACAAAGCTTTCTACGTGAACTGCGTGCACACGGTTACACCCACCTTCTAATTCAGTATGGTCAAGATGGCAAACCTCTTTTCGACGAATTCCTGCGCCAATATCCTCCCGGGAGTGAGGGCCACCACGGTCTTCTAATTGACGGATTCGACTTTAACCCTGATGGCTTAAGCTATGAGATGCGCCTTGCTAAAGCCTGGTCCTCAGAAGGCCGAGTCGGTGGCTTGATTATCAGCCATGCCGGTATTTTCCCACTTCCCTTGACGTGGGGGCATCCCGCAAATTGACCACGATGGCTCTAGGATCTGGCAGCATTATGGATGCATTAAGATTAGGGGTGCCTCTTGTGGTAGTACCTAATCCAACCCTCAAAGACAACCATCAGCAGGAGCTTGCAGATATCCTCCAAGAGCAGGGTTATCTTATTGCAGGTCAGTATTGGTAGGTGGTCCCAGTTCCTTCTTGCGTGGTAGTTTTCAATACTGAACATGGGGTTAGGGATCTCACGACATCACTTGATCGGGCAGAGCACTTGCGAGTCAAGATGGCGCATTGGCCGCCAATCTCCAAGGATCAACAAACCTCCCAACCAAGCCTGGATCAAGTTATGTGTGATGAATTGGGTTTCTTGGATTGAGTGTTTGGTACGGATTGGTGTTTTATCTCATTGCAAGGGCGAGATTATTGTCTAAATGTCAAGGCGTTACCGGGAGTGTGTACTTTATCATAACAGAGACTCTTGTGCCATGATATTCGAGACTGAGAGAGACTTAGCCTGAGACTGCAACTGAGTAAACAATGCATCTGTGGATGGCATAGTAATTCAATGGATGAAGAGGAGCGGTGGGCGTGGTCCAAGCTTCTCCGCGCGGGCAGATCAACCCGACTAAACCAACTGCAACTTACTTTGCTTTCCCAAACGCGCAAAAAGAATCTCACAACCATCGCTTTTGTTCTTTATTCTCTTTTCCTTCTCCCCCTCCCCCTCCTTTTTCTCACGCTCTTTCGTCTCCCTGGGCAGTCTCAATACTTTAAACTGAGTCTCCGATACACCTATCGTCCAATCAGCAAACCGACCCGGCCGCCGGGGCCTTCCCAAGTCCAGATAAACAATCGATCCCCAAACCACCCGCTCCCGGCCTCAACCAGCGCTTCGTTCCCCTTTCCTGTTCTTTCTCCTCACTCTCCTCCACAATGGCAGAAGCCACCCTACACAACGCCCCGATAGTCATTGACAATGGTAGCGGGACTATTCGCGCCGGATTTGCGGGGGAGGAAGTTCCCTCGTGCTTCTTCCCCTCGTTCGTCGGTCGGCCCAAACATCCGCGGGTGATGGCCGGTGGCCTGGAGGGAGATGTCTTCATCGGGGCCCGCGCCGAGCAACTGCGCGGCCTGCTCAAGATCCGGTACCCGCTGGAGCACGGCATCGTGACGGACTGGGATGACATGGAGAAGATCTGGCACTACGTGTACGAGAACGAACTGAAGACGCTGCCGGAGGAACACCCCGTGCTCTTGACGGAGCCGCCGCTCAACCCGCGCAAGAACCGCGACGCCGCCGCCCAGATCATGTTCGAGACCTTCAACGTCCCCGCGCTGTATACCTCTATCCAGGCCGTCCTGTCGCTGTACGCGTCCGGCCGCACGACGGGCGTGGTGCTCGATTCAGGGGACGGCGTGTCCCACGCGGTGCCGGTGTTTGAGGGCTTCGCGATCCCCAACAGTATCCGGCGCATCGATGTCGCGGGGCGGGATGTCACCGAGCAGCTGCAGTTGCTGCTCCGCAAGAATGGCCATGTGCTGCATACCAGTGCGGAGAAGGAGGTCGTCCGGATGATCAAGGAGAAGGTGTGCTACGTGTCGTTGGACCCCAAGCGCGAGGAGAAGGACTGGATGAACAGCTACCACAAGTCGGAGACTAAGTCGGTGGACTATGCATTGCCGGACGGGCACAAGATCAAGGTACGAAAGCTATATAACCGCGAATGAACGTCTTTCTCTAACGGCGACGAACAGATTGGGCAGGAACGCTATCGCGCTCCGGAGATTCTCTTCGACCCGGAACTCATTGGCTTGGAGTATCCGGGAGTGCATCAGATTGTCCAGGATGCCATCACCCGGACGGATCTCGACCTGCGCAAGTCCTTGTACCTCAACATTGTTCTTTCCGGAGGATCGACACTATGCAAGAACTTTCCTGATCGATTGATGCGCGAGATTAAGCGGTTAGCTGTGGAGGACATGAAGATCCGGATCTCTGCACCTGCCGAACGCAAATACACGACCTGGATCGGAGGAGGTATCTTGGCTGGCTTGAGTACATTCCGCAAGGTATATTGCAACCGCTCTGGAGCCCCTGTTTGACCACTTGCTAATAAAAGCGATTAGATGTGGGTGAGCGCGGATGAGTGGCACGAAGATCCAGAGATCATCCACCGCAAGTTCGCCTAATCGTGCTGCATCGCAAGACGACGTCCCGATTGCGGACCTCATGAAATGATTGACGGACAACAACCCCATCGCGCAGAAGCCAGTGAAAGCATCCCAGAGAGCCAACGACTAGCACGCACGAAGGTATCAGTTGTCCAAGTAGGGCCCTGATTAATCCAGAGCCTCACAACACCCAACAGCAGCCTTTTCATAGATACCCCTGCCTTCCTTGTCTATTCATGTCTCAGAGTCTCAAACCACCATATCCACCTTCACCTCGCCCCGACGATCCTATTCGTGTCTTCTCGGGAAACACTAAACTTGCCACTCTACCCAGTACATCCTCTGCACGTGCACAAACGATAAAGGGTGCTTCTACTACTTCCTTCCCAACTGTCACACCTCGTGGCTTGGCAGGTATCCCGTTATGGCTCCGTTGGGATGGACAATCCACCAATACAGTGGCAACCGGGAGTCTTCTCGGGACTATCTCCAAAGGCTGTGCTTTTCCATTTGAGCGGAACTTGTGTAAGAACGAGCGATGACCACCACTCTCGCCTCTTTACTCCTCCTGTCCATGTGCCTCGGTCCTGTTCTATTCTACTGTACTTTTTGTGTAAATATTGGATGGCATAGATGAAATGAATGAGCGAACCACACAAATACTTCTTTCTTTTCCCTCTCTGTTTCCCATATTCCACCGTAATGTAGTGTGTAAGCAAGCACCATTCCGATAACAGGCAGATCATGGAGGGCAGAATACTGTACTGTACATCACCGCTCTACCGCCTACAATTCCAACCCAAATACGGTTTCTATTCCTAACTGGAAACCCCCATTCACAGCCTCAACAGTGTGAACAAAGTGGCTGTGTAACCTTGCCCATGGAAGAGTAGTTATACGAGGAGAGAAGGAGCCACCAAACAGCGATTCTCAAGAGAAGAGAGGCAGGCAGGCAGGCAGTCAGAACCCTCATGCTTTACACACCGTAAAACCCATCTATACCATGTACTGTACCTACCTACCGGACTATCCGCATCGGCAGCTCAGCTTGCTCTCCCTCAAAATGAGGTCATAATCCCCAATCTAGACCCAAACAAAGTTCCCCTGCAGATAACTATACAAACCAACCAAAAGACCAACCACCAATTCCCACCTAACCAACATACCTACATCGCACCAGAACCCGCCACGTAGTTTAGTCTAGAGCACAGTATAAGTAAGGTGCGCTCTAGATTCACATCTAGATTCGCTCTGGCCGGGCAGAGGCGAAAGCCGAGGGCCAAGAATAAGGTTAAGCATCCCGCTTCATCCCTCGTACTCGAGTTGCGATCCCCCCACCACCGCAAAGCATTAAGTTCGGTTCGCGAGTACGACTCCCATTCTCTGGCTGTGCTTTGGGGTTTTGGGGGCAAGGTCTATGAGTTTACGGTTTACAATGAGGAACAATAGGTTTGTGTGTCTGTTTGGGTTTCATTCCACAGTGAGGTTGGTGGTAGCTATCTAGGGGGTACAGGATGTAGATAGGTTTGGGCCATTTGGAACGACCTGCTGTGTACAGTACATGCTTGGTAGGCTGCTGTGGAAGGGAAGGCTGAGGGTGTTGAAGTTGGGATCAGACATGTCACACACAGAAAAAAGAAAAAAAAAAGTAAAAAAAAGGCTATGCGATGGCGATCCAGAAGATGGATCATGGTTCGATCATAGCTAATGGGGGTATCATGTTGAAGAGGATGTGAATGGAAATGCAATTTGCAAAGGTTGAAGAGGTTGAATGTTGAGATGAGAGTGTTGTGACTCATGGGTGTAATCTGTAGCACCCCTAATTGGTTTGGAAAGGTGAATTAGAACAAACGTAGTTGAATGTTGAAGTAGAATCCTCCAAGCCGAGAAAGCAAGGCGGTTTTGTTGTGAAATCAAAAACTTTTTTGGTGGATGGGAGTCGTGAAGTCGTGAGAGTCATGGTTCAGAAGGACAAGTTCGCAGACGCTTTTGTGTAGAAGCAAATGTTGAATGAAGGCGAGAAGTTGCAATGGTGGTGGTTGTCCCAGCGAAAGCTAACCAGCCGGCCTATGCCATGCTCCGGAGCTTGCCCCATCCCTTATTCAGACCGCGAAGAGCACGCTCGCGCGCGGAGCCAGAGCTGCTGCTGGTGCCGTTGCTGCTAGCGGAGAGCTTGCGCGAGAGGCTGCTGGATGAGTCGTCGCGAAAGACCATGTTTCCGGCACCCCCGCGGCCGACGTGGTAAACGGGCGCGGCGCGGCGGAGCTCCCGTTCCAATTCCTCGTCGAAGCTAAAGATGGCGCGCTCGCTGCTGCTGTGCACATTGCCGGCGCCGCCCCGGCCGGACGTAAAGGTGGTGGGCACGCGCGAATCGAGGCGCGTCAACGACGCAGGTCCGGTGGCCGTCTGGGAGGGGGTGGTCTTGGTGCCCTTCAAATTGATAACATTGCCGGCGCCTCCACGAGCCGTGTGTAAAGCTGGACGGCTGGTGTGAGGAACCGACGGGTGCGGTTCAATGACTCGATATGATCCCGGCATGGTGGAATGTGTTCAATTGGTATGTGTGTATGTGGGTGTTATGATTCGATATGCAACTGCGCTAACGGCGATGACTCAATGCAGCGATGATGCAATGCGACGAGAGACAAGACGCGCAATTGGGACTCGGTATATGCGAATTGATTCGAGTCGAGTGGGGGGGAGGGTGAAAGGGTGAGTTGAGGATAGCTATGATATCCTTGTGCGGAGGCTGAACGGTGAAGTGAAAGAAGGCCGGCAGGAACTGTGGTTGAAGTATAAGATTCAAAGAAGACAAGAGAAAGAAAAAAATTTCTTTTTCTTTTTAGTTTTCCTGTTTAGAAAAGACCGTTCTCTTTCTTGGATGTCGTGATGATGGAACTATCCACTATAGCCTCGAACCAGACATTGTGGCGGGGACGGATTTATATAGAATGGACGAGTAAGCGGAGAGGAAGGCAGTCCCCCTTTGTGACGGCAGACGACTCATGATTGCACCACGGGGATTAGCCTGGGAGTTTTTCCCTTTCCAGGCACCGCAAAAGAATAGTGAGCCAGCCCTCAGGGTCACACGCGGTGCCAAAGTGGACCAGCAGCAAAATCTCTGCTGGCATCAAGTTCCAGAGAGAGTTTGCCGGTTGAACCGCGCGCATAACAACGGGAACTCCAACTCTTGGGCTGAGCCCCGTTTAAAGCAGCAGCGAGGAACGTGCGGCTCATTCAGCCAGTCGTGGGCAGTCCTGGTCGACCATGCGGTGGTTTGGGAGCAATGACTGGGTGGGATGAGATCCACTGCGGCCAGAACCCGTTGCTGCTTTAATCGACTCTCGCGATCATCTGACCCCAACTGGTCAGTCAAATTTCCAGTCCCCGCCCAACCAAAACGTAACAGAAACTGGCCCCAGAACCAATCAGCCCCTGACTCAACGCCCATCGCAGTTTCCTGGGGGTAATGGAAATTGTCTGGTCGGTCACGCGTCATCGACCTTTCCTTCTTTGTGATTGCGTGAGGGAGTCAAGGAGAGAGAGAGGCAGGGATGAGGATGGCGCAACAGTAACGGTAAAAGCAACAGCAACAGTGACAGTGACAGTGTTAGTCAAGGTATTATGGTTGTGATATTGACCATCACTTTACTCTCTCTCTCTCTCTCTCTCTGCCCCCCTCTATCCAACCAAGTAACACAATTCTAAGATCAATGCGGGCCTCTTTTTTTGTCCTTTCTTTTTCTTTTGCCCTCGTGGCTCCAAGAATAACGAAAATTAAAAAAATATATATATATGTATATATAATCAATAGTGTGTGGTGGGCAGATGCAGGCAAGCCACGCTAACCCTCTGCTGCTTTCCCCGCAAAAAGCCATCGGAGGAGCAGTACAGTTGCATCATCGTTGCCCGGTTCCCCTCGGTGTACCTCCAAACAACATTCCCAACAAGGGCGGCATTCCCCCCGACAGGAGTTCCCCTCGAGTATCCCTCGAGTACTGGCATTGGCCATTACGAAAGAGATTGCGTGAATGATGGCAATTTTCAGGTCGTCAAACCACTGCGCACTGCGGCATGATGCTGATCAGGCACAGCTAGCGGAATGTGCGAGAAGAAGCCAACCCTGCCGTCGCTCGCCGCGCCTGAAGACCCGGTGCATTATTGCATTGTCTTGCGCCATTGTGCCCGGATGTCCGTGTGTCGGTGGAAAGGGGGAGAATCAGGAGAATCAAGGCATCGTAGAAGGCGGTGGTGATGCTGACTGTGCTGGTGATGGTGAGTTGTTGTCGATGAAAGTTGATGTTCGAGACCATCGACGTTAGTCACGTTAGCCCCGATTTGATATTCCACACTACTGGCATCGTGTGAAGATCTTTCATCCACTCACTGCCCCTCTCTCTCTCTCTCTCTCTCTCTCTCTTGCTCACCGCCCATGATTGTTCCTCCCACTATCACCTGCCCGCCATGCTCATTGCCTCACTTCAGTGGCAGTGGATAGTCATGAAGGAGCCCTGCTGGCCAAGGCTGAGTGTATTGGGCCCAGCCATCACCATCATCATCATCCATCAGCTGGACAGCCAAATTCTACACCGAAACAGAGTCAACCCTGAGTAAGGATGCCGCTAACCCCAAGGGGGACAGCTTCCCCAGAATTACTGAACTATTACCGACTAGACTGGACTGGAGGAGAAACTGAGAAATTTTCACCATGAAACGAGTCAACCGGCCCTAAGAGGGGCCAAACCGAAGGATCCAGGATGACGATGGGACCCCCCTTTCCCCCTTTCTCTTCGAATGCCAGAAATGCCTCACTGTGCAATTCGGGTGCACTGGCCACTGATGCTATTTTCCTCCTCCCAGGGATATGAAATTTTCACCCTTTTTCCCCACACGACAGGGCTGTCGCGGACTCGCGTTAGTCATTTTCTCGGGCCAGACTGGCGGTTATTACGAGTGACACTTGGCTTGGAGACTTGGAGAGGTGTCTCCAACCAATTGCAAGGGGGAATGCCCGCATAACCCCTCAGATTCTCGGTGGTAGTCTACGTAGGACATGTAAGTTGCGATGAGACATGAGGGGAATGAAGGAACCTTGAAGCCTTGAATGAAGAAGAGAGATGGATGCTCTGAATGGTCCTGACAACCGAGCCGGTCCAGCCGGCAAATGGCCGGTCCCGCATGGCTGCAGTCAGTCAGTCGCTGCTGCATTGGCCTGAGGCGGCAAGGCGGCAAGGCGGCAAAGGAAGGATGGTTCGGAAAAGAACACGTCGTTTCCCTTCCACTGATTCCACTCTCTCCCTCTTCCCCGGATTTTCCTGCCGGTATTCGTTTCATCAGTCAGCAGTTCCCCCTCCCTCTCTCTCTTTTCCCCTCCTTTCCTCTCTCCTAAGCATGACGTTCCCAACCAGACTTCTTCCTTCGCCCTTCCGGATGTCTACTCCGTTGCGAGGTTATGGCCCGGCCCTCGGTTGATTCTTGATTCCAATTCGCGTGGTTGGAACAGCCGATTTGTGGGGGTAATGCAGCACCTGACCGTCCAGTCTCGTCAAACAAGGTCAAGAACCACTCCTTGCCGGTCCTGAAATCCGGGGGTGGACTGATTCGTTTCGAGATCCAATTTTGGTCCTTGAGCACGAGGGAGGCAAGCTCATAACGACTCACGGGACCAACGTCTTTCTGGCCACTCTTCGAACTGATGGACGAACGCACCCCGGCTCTGCCAGCTGGGTTGCGAAGATTGATTGTCCCAGGGACAATTCCCGGGGCCCCGGGTCATCTCCTGCCTTGCCCTGATGATCACGAATAATCCTAGCCAATGGAGACTCGCTCTTGGCCTATTTTCCAAGATTCATGCTCTCCCTTTTAGCATTTCTTCTGCATGGTTGGATCATTCCCCTGTATTCTTTGATTTGTCTGCCCTCAGCTCCTCGTGCTCGGCCTTCTGGCCATGCAAGGTGCCCAACCGTTGAGTACCATTTGGGCCTCGAGCTTACTGGGTGTCATTATCCATGCTGTATCTCATTTGAACAGCAAGGAACTAGGGGTCACTTGGGTGTCCTCCCTTTCTAGACGTGACTGTTGTGGCGCACCTATGTCAAGGCCTGGAATCCACGGTTTTGCTCAACCAATCAACAGCTGTCATTATAGAGAAGACCGCAGCAATGCGCAAACAAATCCCATCACACTCCGTCATCGTCCCCTATTCATAGTTCAGTCGAGAGGGTAGATCTCTTGCAATCAACGACTTCAGACTCCGGATTCCGCTCATCAGGACAAGGTAGGATCATACCGGATAGCTTTCGCTGCAGATAGGCATCGTATCCTCACTGATATCGGCTCGTCGAGCCTGCATCATCCTAGGTAGCCCCGATCCTCGTTCTGTGACCACTATTATCGACACTAGTGAGAATACGCATGATTGCCATGATTAATACTGGGACTACTACTACTGATCACGGCTCCCGATGCTTATATCGGCTAGCTCATTGTATAGCTGTAGCATAGCTTAGTTAAAATAAGTCCGCATGCTTCAATCATGCTTGAGCACAAGAGCATTAGATCTGGGATTCTACTTCAGGTCTCAACATGCATCAAACCTGTTACCTTGTCCTACGATTAATCCAAACTGTGGCACTGAATCTCCCACAAATGCGCAGAATGCCTTCTGTCACACAAGCTTGATGTGATTCTGGTAATGACTGAAAATTTGTTCACAATATGCACGCAATATGCCGACTTGTGCAGCTGTCTCGGTAGAACCCGATTAGTATATCTTAGATGTTGATGCCTAAGGCTTGAGTGTCGCACGAGATATTCTGCCCCGTATCACCGCCATGATATCGCCTCGAACTCCGCCCTCCAGTTCTCCGTTTTCGATCAGGTCAAAATTTCCCAGCATCCAACAATTCTACGCGCGAAATATACTCAGCAACCCGCAATTTTCGGTCTCTTTTTCTGTTCTATACACGCGCTGAACGACTTCGAGCGAATCGCCCCGTCCACGCGCAACGCGCCAACTGAGCGCTCCCGAGCGAAGCTTAATCCGCCTCAGTCACTATCTAAGAATCAAAATGCCAAAATATAAGTATTCGCCCACTCGCTCAGCAGGACCTTACTGACAGAAACCTCACTCTTCTGTAGGTTATCTCCATATAGCGTCCTCTTCATTTCCGATCCCTGTGCTCTCGTACTGCCGACAATCTTATTCCTGTGGACTTCACGCGAACTCATCCTACTACATACTCACGACGCCACCATGAAACTGACCCACGACTTCGAACGATAGGTGATTACTGCGATGTCTACCTTACGCACGACTCGATGAGCGTGCGCAAGGCACACAACTCCGGACGCAACCACTTAAGAAACGTTGTGGAGTACTATCAACGTACGGCACAGTCTTCCCATGTCCGACGCCCATGAGATCGCAACAGTTATCTAACACATCTTGCAGAGATCGGACAAGAGAAGGCCCAATCCGTCATCGACTCCATCACCTCGTCATACGCCGCCGAAGGCCAGGCCGTACCCAACCCTGCAATGGCTCCTCCAGGCGCTTTTCCGCCTCCATTCGGATTCCCCGGTACGTTTCACCCAGCGCACCACTCTGCCCCGATACGAAATGTCGAATATGGACTGACCATTCAGGCCGACCAGGTCAACTTCCCCCTCCTCCGTTCGGAATGCCCGCACCTGGCGCAGCCGCTGGAGCTCCAGGCATGCCTCCTCGTACGTCCACCCAGACCAAACAGCACATAAAAAACCATGTATACTAACGATATAACAGCCCCTGGAGCACGAGGTCTTCCCTTTCCACCCCCGTTTCCCGTCCCCGGCGGCCCCGGCGCCCCAGGCGGTCTCCCTGCCCTGCCCAACATGCCCCCGGGAGCCCAGGGCTTCCCTCCTATCCCTCCTCCGGGCGGATTCCCCGCTGGCTTCCCCACGCCTCCTCCCGGCGCCGCAGGCTTCCCGGGTCTTCCTCCGCCAGGCCAGCTTCCCCCAGCAGGATACAGCCCCAGTCCGACTCCCGGGATGAACGGCCCACCAGGGCCAGACGCATATGCTCATGCAGCGCCTCCCCCGGGCATGGGGTCCGCAGGCCTGCCTGGTCCACCTCCGGGTTTGAGCGACAGACGATAATCGAAGAGTTGAGTCTCCTCTGCCGTTGCATGTTGTCGCCTTTAGTTCGATATTTTACTTCCTCATATCTCATGTATTTTCTTCTCTCTCTTCCATATGTTTCTTTGAAATGCCTTTATACCTTGAACTTGACTCTCGGTCTATCTTGTTTTTAGACATGTCACTCGGGCTTACTTGAACTTGCTTCTTGTTTTGTGTGGTTTGTTTCTCTCATTCTGGCGTGGTATCTATTTGAATATGACATTTGTGGATTCGGGGTTTTCCTTTCCTATCTGGTGTCCTTCATCATATCTCTCTCCTCTTTCCGGCATTGTAAGAAACCAAGAAGTAGAAAAAGAAACCAGACAGCTGACTAGTAGACTAACAATGATGAACTATGCATTTACTTCCAACCTCTCCCCATTTTTGGTGAACAGAACTAGCGATGCGTCCGACTACGTCCTGAATTCCCAGTAACTTACAGATCGATGCATCTCATCCGCATTAAACAATAAATCCATCCCATCTTTCTTTCCTTTTAAGATACCAGATAAAGATACACACATAAATCACAGAGGAAAGCAGAATAAAACAGGGATATCGCGGATTACCATCACCAACCAGGTCAATCACACTCTTTCTTTATTCTTCGCACATCAATCAAGTAAAAAGAAATGGAATAATAGCAGAAGATAGTAATAGTAGTAGAAACATGGTGAATAATCCGTGGGCACAAAGATATAGAAATAGAAACAAAAATCCCCCATGTTCAGGTGTATATAACCGATCTCCAGATCCAGTTGTTTCAGAACGCCAGCTGTAAAACTTAAGAGTAGGAAATTGGGAAATTGGTGGTATGCGAGGTCAGTTGTAGACCCAGTGGTGGGTGAGAGGGGGGTGGGATGTCGGTCGGGTAATGTTGGTAGGAAGGTAGGTAGGTAGGAGGTCGGTAGGTAGTAGGTAGGTAGGAGGTAGGTCTTGGTGGAGGGTCTTCGGTATAACACAGTACACACAATCCGACATGGAAAGAGATGGAAATCTGAAAAGCAAGAAAAAAACGCACCTGGTGCGGGAAGAATTGTATAGGTAATAGAAAGCTAGAATGGCTCTTGAATAGAATAGAAGAGGAGTCAATCCATGCCTTTTCCCCGCACGTGCACACACACAAGGCCATAACTTCATCACAAGCAAGGCTAGATAGAAAGCAATTCATGTGAATTTATTCAACGCTCAGTGATCATATCCTGCCCCCCTTTGCCATGGACTCGGATTGTTTTGTTGGCGGTATGCGTGTGGGTTTTGCATTGGGGATGAGGTGTAGCCACGCGGGACAGGCGATGGTGATCGCCCAAAGTTGGCATCGTGCGAGCCGTTGCGGTTGTCGCTGGGGAACAGCGGCAACGAGGGGTCCACGGGGGAGGCTGGCGAGCGCGCTGCGTGGTTCGGCGAAGGGTCGGGCGCTTCGAGGTTCTGACGGCTGACGCTAGCCCCGTTGCCGCTGGAAAAAGAGGCGTTGTCATCCTCAAAAGGACTGGACTTATAGGGCGAATCCTTCACGTCACCACGCGCAGTCGCACCCAGAGCGTCCAATTCGGTTGTCAGCTGGCTGCCCGACTTGATGAATGACCCCCGATCATCTCTCATCGGCTGATAGCGTGTGTCCGGGTTCTTGGATACAATGGCATAGATAGAAGCGACAAGCACCATAATCAAGAGCACAAGGGCGAAGATCGCGTTGATAACAAAGAACACAACACCCATAACACCAGTGACAATGCCGGGTTGGTTGAACACGTTCGAGAAAAAGAGGAGGAAGATGACGTTAAGAAAGTTGATAGCAGCGATGGCGATGTTGTAGATATTAGTCTTCTTGTCCATCCACGGGCGCAGCACACTAACAGCGATAAGCATGCAGGCTTCGATAATAACCAAGGCGATAGTTTGGACAACCGGGGCCGGCTGACTCAAGCCGATAAACATGCCCTTAACGAAGATGTATCCCAGGAAGGGAAGAATAAAGTAGTATGCAGTTGCTCGATACTGCACATACAAGAAACCCCACTTGTTCAGACAGGTCGGGTCAGAAAAGAGAATATAAGCCGGGTTTTTGTGCATCGCCGTTGACCGATTCGCTAAGCGTAGCACCTTGAGGGCTGCCCAGCCCAGAGCAGCGATAATCGACAGAAACATGACAACCGCCAGGACCACCTCTGCTGCAGAATCCCGCTGGGTGAGCTCCCATAGGCACAGAACGGCCATTTGGGGAAAGCCGATCAGGGTCAGTCGGAAAAGAATGCCACGAGCGACTACTTTCCAGCCATTGCGGAAGTCCTGGAACTTGTTGCTCTTCATCCTACCATGCTTGGCCAATAGCTCACAGCCGAGCTTGAAAAGGCCAACGAGAATCATGACCAAAGCAACAAAGACAACGAAGAAAATGAGACCTGTCATGAAGATGTTTGTCGATTCGATCTTGGCCGTGAAGCCAACGCGCTCGATACCTCGCACAATGACAGTAGAGTCGGTCGCCGTCTTGCTGGTCCCTGACGCGCGCTTGCGCATGTAGTTCAGATAGCCGCTCGCTCGGCGGAAGACGCCTTGTTCCTCGAGAGAACGCTTTCTGCGTTTATAGGTTGCGACCGAGGTTGTCGACAAACTCGACAAAAGCGTCGCGGCGGTGCCTCCGGTGGCTCTTTGATACCAGGTACAGATATCCTCCAAAAAGCCGACATGGATGATACCCATACTCCACTGGAAGTTCTGCGTCCAAGCTTCAACGATCGGGGGCATGTGCACCGATGTCATGCCAATCATGGCCTGAGACTGCATGAAGCTGAACAGAGACAGGGCGTTGGCTGCGACATGGGCAGCGGTATTCGAGTGTCCCAAGCCCGAGGTGATGGCAGAGGCAGCCAGACCTAATCCAGAGATGACGGCGGTTGCCCAGCCGACACCCTTTTGATAAACGGTCTGACCGTTGGAGAGGGCTGCTTCCATACAGGTGATGCTAGTGTTGGTCTCCGTGGAGTTGATATAGATACGCACTCTGGCGTCGAGATCGGGGACAGTATAGGCGATTCCTAGGTAATACCGGTTAGCGTGTCTAGGGATTCTGCAAGGCATATGATGCGTTTGAGTGCTACTCACCTGGGATGTCTTTGATGACAGACTCGGGAACGGTCATTGCGGCTTTAGGGACATCAATGGCTCCGGTATTCATAGGACAAAGACCGGCGATACCCATTTTACATGGGTCCAATTTCATCGACAGGGCATTGATGCCGTAGGCCGTGAGCTGCAATTCCGCATTGACATAGCCGGAGATTGCTGACACTCCATCGAAGCTAAAGGAGAGCGAACGATTGCCGGGCGTAAATACGACACTAAAGTATGTAACCGTGAAGTTGCTGGTCTCTTGACAGAGGTTGAGGGCGCTAGATTCGATGAGTCTGGTGGCGGTCACCTGCAAGGTATTGAGGAAGGCGAGAAGAAGCCCGAAGTAGATGGAGGATAATCGCATATTGGCCGAGACGTGTCCGGGGACAACAATATCATTAACCGATAGGGAGGGGACCCGTCAAATATTTTATCTAGCAATGCGGAGAAAGCGAAGCGGACAATCCGAAGGTGGTACTCCAGAGCACCAACTTGGCGCGAGCCGGAAGCGGAAGTCGTGGGACGTCCAAGGTTGTCCTGCGGCAGGGCTTATTTGGTTCAGGTTCCAGGGAAGGTGTCCTCGATGGTCAAGAAGATCGAGATGGATCGGTAGTCGAGGAACGGTTCGTTGCAATTACGGTTCACAACGTCATTGATGGCCCAAGGCGGTGGTGGTTGGTAGAAGAAACAGGGTAAATGATCGGCTAAGTAATTCTAGTTGGTCAAAGGAGCGACTGGAAGTAGTAATTCGGTATATAAACGAGCGTTAGACTGAAAAGTCGAATAATTTGCGTAGTGAGAGACTGTTTTTTTTTAACGAAGTCGAAAGTTGGAGAAATTCAAATGAGCGAATGTGGACGGCGACACACAGTATGGCCGTTGGAGGGGGGAGGTGGTGGATGGGAGGGAGTGGTGTATGAGTAGGAAAGGGACAGGAGGAGCCCGGGTCGATTTGGTTGCCTGAGTCTCCCTAAAAGTGGGTGCTTAGAGAGCAGGCAATGTTCGCACCCTCTCAACTAAGTCAAGTTGAAAAGACGAAAAAGAGATAGAAACGAGAGGGGGAAAGGAAAAGGTAGTACAAGTACAAGGAACGAAGGAAGAGCGTGAAAAGAAGCAGAAGACCCTCTTCACTACCCAGTGATCTCACACATACACACACAACACACACACGCACACAATCACTCGACTCTCACTCTCAGACTGTGGCTCTCTGGGGGGCAGGCGGAGTGATTTCTTCAGGGGAGAGAGTGGAAAGAGAGAGAGCGAGACCCAGAGCTGGTCGTAGGAGAGACGGGCGGGAATGCTTGTGAAACCATCGGAGACCCTCTTACGGGCTGACTCAGCACGGGGCCGTGGTCAGGGGCCAATCAACGACGCGGGTGGCCTTGTCACGGATGGGTGGGGCTGGGCTCAATCAGGTTAAGCGCCGAGTATGGGGTCTGTATTTTTACCACCAGGGAATATTCAGACCTTCATCAATCAATCATACACTGCTTCAATGGATCATAGATCTGGGGGAGAGTCACAGATAGACGAAGGACAGGGCACAAAGGCGGAGGAGAGTGAAAAAGAAGACAGAAAATGGCGCTGGAGCCTTCGGAATGAAAACCTTATGATTGTTCCGTGGGCCCTCTGTCCTTTTTCCAGGTATGCACTAACGCTGACAGCAATGATGATGCTGCCGCTGCTACTACTCTACTACTGTACTAACTACTGTTGTTGCTGCGCTGATCAAGACAAGAGGGCCAAATTGTTAAACAGGAATGGGAATTTGCCGCTGAGGCAGCTGGCAGGATGCTCTGGTGTGTGTCTAGTGATCACCACCAACACCACCACTACCTCTTTCTGCTACCTACACATTAAACTTACAGTACCATTATGCGTAGTAAGTGCACGCGCGTCCCCTCAGGGGGGGCAGGGTCTGGGCCGAATGCGGATGCGGATGCAGATATTGTCTCGCTGTGAACTTCTCCCTCGCCCGTCGCTCCGCCCTTGACTCTGATTTGCCTCTTCACTCACGGCCCAGCGAAAATCTATGGGCGCTTGAAGAGAAGAACGATTGGGACTGGTTGAGTGGTCTCCAATCTATCCACGGATTGTGAGATTTGGTCTCCTGGAGTCTATGCTTGAGGTCCACTCGACTGCTACCTACGTAGTCCATCCGCTACGTTTGAACTCTAGACATTACATGTACCAAGTGAGAGAGGGAGTGGATCTTCTCGACGGGCGTTCATGATGATGGTCAGAGTCGAGGTTTAACCACCATGGATGCGCAACACACCGACCGACGGGCAAATCATATTTTACCCCTTTGGACTTCTCATGGTGTGCTTGCTCTTGGTCTCGCCAATGTCAGTGATATTCTTGCTATTTTTAAACCGGACATTACCACGAGTCTGCTCCTACTCCTAGCTGAAACTGGTCGGCGCATATTTGATCCAGTAGGGTAAGCGGAAGACTATGCCGATCGATCAAGCCCCGTGCCTTTTACCACTTTTTATCTACCTTGTCTATGAACTATCAGGCTTTGGCGTCTGGCGACTTTCACAAACCATTCCTCCACTTACAATCGAACCACGATGCCCTGAATGACTACACTGTGATACTGGGTAGCGTATAGAATAAGGTAAGCGCTTTCGTCGACACGCTTTTAATCAGGGATTGACAAACGGCAGAGAAGAGCCAATTGTTGTCAGTTTCGCAGTGGTACCTCTGCTACTCCGAGTTGATCTGGCTGATCCTCAACGTATTCGTATCCTTTTTGCCCAGTTATACTAACAGCCCGAGTCTTACTCCCTGCACAGCCTCCTCCTGCAGTAGTTCTTGACTTCCCATTTTCGCAGAACACCGGGTGTGGGACTGCGATATCTCCTTTAATCTATTCTAATCTAACCGTCTCCTTTACAGTGTATGGAGCGATCTCACTTAGAAAGATGAGCTGCGAGGAAGTCAATGAATCAACCCATATCCTCCCCACCTCTTGATGATCCAGGTGTAAGTAGGCATTGAATACCTGTCATAACATCTTCTATGCCGCCCTGGTCAACAATTGAAGGGGCAGTCGATCTTTACGCTTGGCCGTCCGTGTCTGCGCATCATGACGTCTTTCCCCATTGATCCACTTCAACCCCATATATTATTGACCATAGATTATGCGATGGTCTGCTCGCATCTTCTCTCATTTAGCAGAAGACAGTAATTCCGCAGCAATCGGTTTATTTTCTCCACGAACGTTCTGCTCCTTGAGGGGTCCTGCACCTGCACCTGCACCTGCACCGGAAACTCAGATCGGTACCTTAATAATCAGGGAAAAGGGTCCAACTCAATCCAACATGCTGGGCGCTGCGAACCACGGCGCGCCCCCTCCTATTTTTGGCATTTGAACTGCAAATTCTGTTCGCAACCCCCAAAAAGAACCAAGGTTTTGCGTGGCTGTCCGCCACACCGTCCATTTCTGCGATCTAGTCCAGTCTATGGCGGACTCGATCGTTTTGCCCGTAATACAACCCTAATTCCCCTCTTGTGCTTTTTGCCTGCCAACTTGATCTTGGTTACTAAGATTATATCAAAATCGATCTCCCTGTTGTCATTGATATGCTTCAATGCAAGGTGTGCTTTCGAGAGGTGACCAACCCACCCCATGAACCCAGCCTTTTCCCTGCGCGTCCAGGTTTAGTGTTTAATGCTCAAGATTTATCCGAGCTTCCGAGCGAACATTATCCCTGTTGCCTAATACGCAAGCACCTTGGCTGGGCATCTGGTATACGCATGAATTTTCTCAAGACACGGCTGGGAGCCTTGGTAAACCCCCCTGTCATGTTTATGCTTACATGCGAATACTAGTGGGGGTAATCAGAGATATCAATGGCCTTCGTCGGTTTGTGGGCGGGACGGCATACCTCTCGGTTGTTGATCGCAAGCCAGCCAGCTGTCTTCACAGTAGGATGACGTGTTTACGTGCTTCGAGCACTGGCTGCCCCAGCTGGCCGCATAACGGCATTCATGTCCTAGCACGCGCATCAAAAAAGACATTACCATCGTCAAACAGGCTGAGATTTGCAAGCTCACTTCTATCATACTCTGAAAGCCTATCTCTCGCGCATTCGGCTAGGAAGAGCATTACTTGAGAAGAGGTATATATATAACACCGTAGCTCGCGCAGGGGCACACATGAGAATGACTTACATGTCTGCTTGAATGGCTTGCGAGCTTGACATTTCGCTCCATAGCTGTTGATTCTGCCTTGAAGCGACCGTCGGTCGAAACTGGCAATAAGGGGTAGGTTTCTGGAACGCCAGACCGCAAGTCTTCCACTCACCAGGTATACGAATCTCGGCGTACTTTCTCAGAATGTGTATTTTCTCACAGCCCCAGCCATGGATAGTGGGGATGCCGAGCTAAGCATTGCGGAAAATTAAACGTTGATGCTCTCTGCTTCGGCATGACAACTCATATGCTGCAGAGTCCTCTTGATTGAAGCTGTGTGATTGTCATGGTCTCGAAAGAGCTCGCCTTCTGGTCGCTCGAGTATCATCCTAAGACATGCAAGCTTATTTCATGGCCTGGGTACCTGTAACTATTGACAAGCACTTGACAACAATCCTTCCCGCCAATGACTTGGCACAACTCAATGCTAAGGACATGCAGATGAGCATTGAAGGCTTATACGATACGCAGCACAATTGCGTCCGTCAATGTAGCACCTTCTTAATCTGCAACAATCGCTTGGTACCCCGCTGGACCTTCTATGAAACCGTCGAATAGATGATTACAGACCAAAACACAGCCGTTCTAGCTTAGAAACCACTCGGGTAATCATAAATCTGAAGGTGGTCTCCTGCGAACTCGCAAGTCAGGCATCTTCCCGCAACATTGATGCAGAAAATCGGATGTCCATATGGTAGCAGCGCAGTCATTACAACGAGACAATGTTCGAGAAATACTCTTGACCATACTACTAGCTCCTAGCTAGCTTACAGTACAGTATTCATAGAAGAAGCTCATCTCTAGTAATAGAAGTTTTCGGGCGATAACTCTGTGCTAATGGAGAATATCCAAGTGCCATAAAGTGCCTGAGGCACCACTTGTCCCGACCCACCATTATCTTCTTATCAGCACGTGACGCGGAGTTTGGCAGAAACGGAGAAAAAAAAAAGAGAAAAGCGGCCTCGCGATTCCAGGCCTTGACTTCCACCACCAGAATTGTTTTTCAATCTGTACAAAAAGGGAACCGTCGACACCAGACCAACCCGCAAAAATGCCGATTCCAGTGGACTCCGCAAAGTCTATCACCAAGAAGCGCAAGAGAAAGCACGCTGGAGGCGCCCGCCCTGCGACCGACAACGAAGAAGCCTCCGCAGTTCA